GAGGGGAGAACAAGGAAGGACATGAGGAACCAGAACTCACTCTGCTTGCTTCCCAGGCACGGGGGACGGGACAAGAGCGAACGATATCGGCCCACGGTGTTCGCTTACGGGCCTGGGACCTTTTCCAGTTCACCAGCACAGCGAAGCAAGGCCTTGGTTCGAGACGACACCGAATGTGTTACCGTGTGACAAGGCCGTATCGACCACTGTTGGGCGGAGATTGTAGACCCAGGCTGAGTTGCCGCGGTCGAGGGGAGGTCTGCCGAGGGGTGAGCGCAAGACCGCTTGCAAGTTAAGCAAAAGGACGAGTAGTGTTCGCCGAGGGCGGGCTGGCAGAGGTGCGTATGGGATGAAGAAGGCGGGTTCGTGTGATTGGGGAATAAGATTTGGTGGACAGGATGGGTTGAGTTATGATGCCGTGAGACGAGACCGAGTGAGAACCGTCTGATGGCGACTTCTTTCTTTGTTTACGACTGGAAGAAGTCGAGACGGAAGAGCTGCATGTTCAGACAGATATATCGGTTCTAAGTTAAGGTGTTCACGGATCAACTGCGGCTATAAGTCACCCTCCCCGGTGCGGTACTGTATCTTCTTCGATATACGCGTGCGGCCGACCGCTAGCCGGTTTGCGACTGCGTGCGGATTTATCCAATCTTACATCATATCATCGCCGAGTCTAAGGACGTCCTGAGGGCCCGTTCCCCCGCTGGCGACGTTGGCGGCAGCTCTTCGAGAACTCACACCCTACGGTTCGGCCGTTGTCCTGCACACGGGCGTGACCACATGTTAGAAATCTCAATTAGCTCAGACCATTCACTGCACCGAGTGTCGATGTTCTATCCTGCGGAATCCGAGTAGTGCAACCTGTCCCTTGTATCCAGATGTACCACTGACTTTATGCAGAAGGATCACAGACAGCGTTTGAGGTCTGAACCTACCATGGCGGAAGTCGGCGGGATAGCCCACGAGCCGCCCGAACAGTCGTATGTGACATTCGGCCACGCGCTTCATCCTTTCCCTACACCTGCTCATGCGCCCTACAACGGAGGAGACGCCGTTCGAGCGAGGTGATAAGCAGGGTGGCGTAGCGCGACCACGGACTTCGGCCACCCACAAGATCCTGTATATGGGCTTGTGCATCGATGTGGACCACGGAGGCCGACCTGCTCACGGCGGATGATCGGCCGTTGCTGGTACCAAGACCAGGCTTCAGGTGCATCTTACAGGCGACCCTGCATGGCGCCTGGCGTAGCGCACACCGAGCTAGCAACCGAGCTTTGCTGTGAATGATATGGCTAGTGCGGTTGCACGGTCTGGTCGGGTTGGACGCCTCGTTGCTCCCACGTAGGACATTCCAGGAAAGCACAGCGGAATCCTTGCCAGGCTAGATCTACCACCGAGTGAACGTGCGGCTCGTGCGGGATGGGCGGATTTGATGGTTCGCCATTTGCTCCGACATCAATCGTCAAAGCCACGCAGAGGACGGTCTGCGATTATGCGCAACCCGATGTCCTGAAAACGAACGGGAGGAGCGAACTCCACCTGGGACATGGGACATCTATCGGGTGAAATGAGATTACCGTGACGCTGGGGGGCAGAGAGCAGACGGAAGAGAGCCCAGTACGTCGCGGGCCGCCAGGGCTTGCCGAGTCCGCCAGGCACGATCAAGGGTTCATGCTCATCCATCAACAATCAATTCCCGAAATCGCGCTCTCTCTCGTCAGCCAGCGCTCCATTGTGCTCACATCAGCAGCTGTCACCCAGGCATTCACCATACCTCGGCCTGCAGCTTCCAATTCTGACTGCGCCGCACCACTTGGCCGCCCGGCCAATAGCGGCACAAGCACAGTCAGCACCCCCGACATACTCTGCTTCGTGATCTGCCGCGTACAGCCAACTCTCCATCCAGGACGTCTTGCCCTCGTGCGGATACGGAGGGTCGGTGTTGAACGTCTCGCCGAATGGCTGTCATGCGTTCCTATTCTTTCCCAGCTAGCTATGGGGATCCATCCAACTTAGACTGCCTGATATTATGGGCACAGCCCAGGGAGCAACACCCCACTACCGTGGCAGGACGCTGCGGTCAGCCGTCGCCACGGACCTCTGCTTGTCACCCGCTGTTTCTCGATCTCCCTGGGTTTGAGATGAGCTCTGATCATTTCTCAGTGTCAGATCATCGCACTCCGGTAACCGTGTCCCAATTGATTTAACGCAGCCGGAGCCAAAGTGCAAGACAGAAACTGTTGAGAATGGGAGAGCGGGAAATATTAGCTTGACCACTGTTCTGCCTGCCATGCAATTGCGATCAATTGATTTCCGCATGCTCCGTTCATTTGGCCTGAACCGTTCAACTGCTCCAAGACAATCCGTCTCTCATAGGTTTTGGACAGCGGAGACCGTTGAGGCTGGCCCGAAACCGGCTTCGGCGGTGGCTTTCTGACGAGCAGGATGGGCTTGGGATGCACTGCACTTCCTTGGGCCCTAGTGGATTAACCTTCATCCACCCCATCCATCGAGCCGGAGCGGATAAGGGTTGGCCAGGGATCTCGTGCGTCCCAGCATCCAGACTATTCAGGTTAGGCAGCTATGAGCGATGGCTCGGCGCACAACGACCCAGAGCTTCGAAGGCGCTAAGGGCGCGTAAGGGTACGGCGGTAACCTTACTTTCTAAACCGTTCTCGAGCCGACACCAACCGCCCATAGAGCCCGAGTTCATTACGTTATGGGACCCTTGAGGTTTAATGACAGCCTTTGGCGCTCTAGCCTCCGACCCGGTCTACTGAAAACGAAATCACTCACGAAATGCTCACTACGCATTCAGCATTCAGCTCGCGGAATATGCATTCATTCGACGGTCAGTCAGCACGCCCCCTTCATTTTGTGCACCAAATGCGTGGTGGCGCAGACATAACATTGAGAGCTGAGCCCTGTGCGCCGTGGATGAAATGCCAGCCTAAAACAGCGAAATAAGTTTGGCGAGCTGGTGTGCCTTCATCACAAACACACCACCGACCGGTCGTAGGATCTGTTAACTAACTCAAATCGAGCGCTGCAAGCAGGCGCATTGTGTTGGACGTTGAGCAACTCGTGCGTGATGCCGCGAGGATCCCGGTAGTTACGCGATATGGAACACTTTTGAGCTGGAGGGAGTGGGTACGGGGTCGGCTATGTTGGATGACCAGTAAGCTCAGTCAAGTGTAGAGGATTACGCGATGGCGTGTTTCGACACTTTGGATCCGTGGCCCATGACGGTAGGCTGAGTTGTCTCAGTTGATTATCGAATATTCTTCGGGATGGTCGCTTGCTGCTCTCACCCGACACCGGGAGAAGTGTCCTCAGAGCCCTGGGCCCTGGATCCGTTGCTCGGGGTGGGGCCACGTTGTGTCGGTGACCTACAGTACACCCACAACGGCGATTGTTCATCGTTGGGGTCGCGAACATCTTGCATTGGATGCAAGATTCGCTGGCGAAGCCTTGCATGTCTGGGAGCCTGAGGAATCACAGTTCCGATGGGCTGCCGCGGTCCATTTGGGAGTGCCTCTCGCCAGAACCAGGGAGCCCGCTCTTCGGAGGGAATTGGCACATCTACCGTTAACTCACTGCGGACCCAGGCATGATATTCAGTTGCGCTTAGGCCGTCTCAATGGAGTTCAACCTTGTGACACCAACATGACCAAGGCCAGGTTTGATGATGTTGGAGGTGGCCGAGAGTTCGGCGTCCGCGTCCTCGAGTCTCCGAGCTCATTATTTTGCTACCCCAGGAGCTCGAGCGCTCTCCCTGCTCTCATCAAGTCAGCCGCCGATCGTTACCCAGTTGTTGTAAGGATCGAGGCTTGGGAGGCGAGGGGCCTGAGTCTGGCAGTTATTGCTTGAATTGTGCAGTCTGAGGCGGTAGGGGGATCCAAGAGACTTCGCTCCTTGCAGTCTACCAGCCTCCCCAGCTCCCACGTCAGGGCTAGACTTAGATGACTACAGAAACCCCACTGCCTCATTTAGCGATAGTCAAGCTGTCACGCTGTCATATTTGTCACTTACTCAATGCGCTGCGCATTTTCCTCCTGGGACGTATGGATGCGCCCAAGTCTGGTCTATCCCTGCACCCCCCCAGGTCCCTGCAGGTTCTGTGACCAGCACGGACGATAGGGCCCGATTCCGGCCTGGACATTCCCAAGTAGTGGGCCGCCCAGGCTTGCTCGTCTCAGCTGCCCCCTCTCCTCATACCCCTGTCTCTGTCAAGCCGGTCAGCGACGCCGAGGGGACGGCCTCGCGGAGTAATGTTGTACGATTGTTTGGTGTAGACAGAGCCACAGAGCCACAGAGCCAGAAGCTTGGGGTTGGACTTGGGGTTGGACGAACCGATTAGCGCCGGCTGAACGAGTGGGAAGTCTACAGAGGAGAAGACTCGTTACGGTGCACGCCGTAAGCTTCAGCGCTTCAAAACGCTTAACCTAACGCCACTGCACAGCCTACCACCTGTTGAGCGATAGGGAGCATGACCCCGCTGCTCAGGAGTAGGAGAGCAGGTTTATGCACACACCTCCTCGAAACATACACACACTATTCAGGGTCCAGCCAATGTCAGGTACCGCCCCACTATTGTCAGGGTCTAGAAAGGAGAGCAGGTTTATGCACACACCTCCTCGAAACATACACACACTATTCAGGGTCCAGCCAATGTCAGGTACCGCCCCACTATTGTCAGGGTCTAGAAAACGTGCGTTTAGCGTGGCAAATACCTCCGAGTGTGGCGTTTCGAGCTCCGAGATCTACTACGACCAGCCCTAGTAGAATCGCACCAAGTGCAGCGTTCTAGAGCCATGACGTGTCCTTTTCGATGCAGAGAAACGTGATTCATGCCTCTTTGGGGCCGTTCGAGTGGGCTGTCCACTCAAATTTGCCCAGTTCTAACTTCTACCAGTTTCATGATGTTCGATCACTTGCAACGGCAACCTAGGGTGAGCACCGCTGGCGTTTCGGAGTGTTCTGCCCCTCGTAGATCACTGCGCCCTCACTGTCCGTCGCTGATTCAGGCGTCGCCGCCATGTCCGAGGTCGCCGGCGCCACCTCGGCGTTCGGCACCTCTAACTGGGTCTCCGGAATCACAGTCTCCTGTGTCTCTGGCGGGTCGGATGGCGTCATGAGGACCTGCAACGGCTGCAGCTCTTGCCATTCATGGTGAATCGAGCCGAGGCACTCGTGGCGGAGAGCCTGGGTCCACCCAACGATGTTGTCAAGGTTCAGGTCGTCCTCAAACGGCGTCGGAGATGGCATGAGGCGGTCTAAGGGATCGGCAAGCTCACGGTTCGGCGAAGACGGCACCGATTGCGCCCCCTCTACCTCACGGTAAGCCATGTCCATCCGCTCCGAAACGAGAGACCCGCCTCCGTCACTCTCGGCGCCCTGCTCCGCCGGGGAGCCCGGAGAGTCTCCGTTGCCACCCTCTGAGGCCGAGACGAACTCGGCAGCCGGTGTCGGAGCCCTACCGCGCTCGCGATCGTTGTACCACTTGCGCCAGGAATACAGGCGTTTACACCAACGCCGAGTGTGCTTCTTAGAGCAGAATGGACAGCCGTCGGCGTCGCGGGGCGCCAGGACCAGGTACCGAGGGTGTACGTCGTCGTAGTCGCTGTCGTAGTCGTACGGATCGTCATCGAGGTCTTCAGGGTCCTCTGCGCGCTCTTGAGATCGCTGCACCGCTGCTCGAGCGTCCAGGGTCTCTCGACAAGGGTTTTCGGGTTGGTGGCGACGCCGACAAGTCCGACAAAGCGGCGTCTCGGGCTCCTCAGGCCCCCCGTCGGCGATCTCGGCCTGGGTAAGAAGACGGCCACTGCTGGTTGCAGGACCAGAGCGCTGGCTGGCCCGCCTCGAGCGCTGGCTTGCAGAGACAGCCTCTCCGGCCTCTCGGCGTGCCACCGCCGTCACTGGATCCCTCAGGCGGCGAGCGCCGCGCACATCAATGGTCTCGACCTGGTCCAGGCCGTTGGCGTTCGCAACGGCAAGGTCAACGGCCTCTAGGATCGACTGCATCCAGGTTGTGGAGGACAACCACCAGTGAGGGCTGAAGTGGCTGGCTTCAAGAACGCCGCTGCCACCGTTGGCCGTGTCCATCACCTCGGCGATCGTGTGGGCGCACGGCAGGCCCATAGAAGTCCGAAACTGGCCGGTGCACGGCCTTGTCTCGGGGATAGGACGTCCGTCAGGGTGCCGACGCTCGCCGTGCGCCCTCTTGACGATGTTACGAGCAATACCTACCTGATTCTTCAACTTGTTGATGGCGTACTCCGCAACAACGGTGCGCACGGCGTGGAAAAGGGTATGGGCGTTCTCGGAGGGCCTGTGGCTGATCTCGTAGTCCATTTTGGTCCGCAACTCGGCCCATTGAGCGTGAAACTTGTCGAGACTGAAGATGACAAGCTCGTGGACCCCGAGCCGGCGTCGCCGAGAACGATCGCCAACGTACGACCGGAGGCTGGCGTGCAGCGCCTCGAGTCGAGACGTGGTCCTATGGTCCAGGTGCATGAAGCCGTTGATGTGGCAGTGCACGAACCCCTCTCCATCCTACTCAGCGTACCGGAGACCGAGCTCAACGACGGCGTCGAGAACGCCTCTGTAGACAGGGTGACGCCACCAAGCGGCCCAGGTCTCTAGGCCGTTGGCCAGCTCGATCTCTGTCTGGGCCTGGACCACGAGCTGCAGGTAGGACTTGCGCACCTCCTTGGAGAGGTTGGTCCAGTCGCTCTTAGTCATTACCTCGCCGTCAACGGAGATCCATAGAGAGCGGAGGTTCGGAGGGCGCTCAGAGCCGTTCTCGCCACCCTCGTCCTCGCTCTCGGCCTCTGTCTCGCCGTCAGAGACGTCTGCCGGCAGCCTGTCTAGCTCGGCAGGGTCCTCGGTCTCGCTAGAGGTGTCTGCAGCTGCCACTGCCACCTCTGGCTGGTCCGAGACCCCTTCGGAGGTAGCCGGAGCTGCTCGGCGATAGACGGAGATGGCCTCGGCAATCCCAGTTTTGAGGTTTTGGAGGATGTGCCAGATACAATAGATGTTCTTGGTCGCCGGGGGAGGCCAGACAGCCGCCACGGCGTTGCGGATGGCCATGGAGCGGTCTGTCACCACCACTGCTGGACGTATTTCACCTACCAGCTCGAGGAGAAGCCGGAGATAGTGAGTTACAGTCTCCTCGTTCTCGTCAGGCATGGCAGCGAGCGCGACAGTGAAGGATCTATTATTACAGGTGACGCCGGACACGTGGAGGATCTTGTGAGCGTGACGATCGCCGTTGTACGTCACATCGACCGCCAAGACCGTTGGAAACCTATGGACCAGCGCGCGGGCCGGGCGGTCCAACCAGATGGCCCCGAAGAGCGTATCGTCGTCGCTGCACTGGTCCAGCCTGTATAGGATACCGTCCTGCTCGGCACGCTCTTCCAAGACCCGTCGGAGATACTCAGCGGAGCCGGCACCACATAGCTGCTCGGCCCTGGCTCTCCTCCGATAGCGACGGATGTCCTGGAGCAGTATATCGTGAGTCTCGGAGGGAAACTGAAGCCTCAGGTGCCTCATGATATGAGCAGGGGCCATGTCAGCCCTCGAGAGGGCCTTTATCGACCTGGCTACCTCCTCGGAGACTGGTCTCATGAGGTAAGAATCGCCAGGTTCAAGTATAGGATGGTTATGCTTGTGGCTCTCGGGGTCCAGCGTATGACCTACGACCCTGTAGCGTGTGCTGTCCTCGAAATACACGAGGTGCACCTTGACGGCGTATGGACAGCCCGTCAGGCCAGTGCGGGCCTCGCGTTGGCGAGTCTCAGGATCGACAGCGTCGCGGTATTGGCTTCCGCGGATGCACTGATAGATGAGGTAGTGCCTCTCGAGTCTGCCCTCGCTGGCAGAGCGGCGTTGACTGGTTCGACGTTTCAACATGAAGCCCTCCTCCAAAGCCCAGTCGAACATCTGCTCCTCCACCTCGGCGAGGGTGGATGCGGAGAAATAAGGCATTGGGAGGTGCTCGAGGCGGCGGGTATGCTGCGCGTGCAGCATATCTATGTTGGGAACAAACTCCGAGCGCTGTATCTGTGCTGGCTGTTGAGAAACGCCGGTCGCCGTCGAGGGCTCGGCATCAGCAGTGGGGGGCGCACCATCAGGTTCTGCAGTGCGTATGGTGGGGCTGGTCTCGAGAGGTAACAGAGGCGGTTCTGCAGAGCGCTGCTGGGCCCTGGCGATGTCTTGAGCTATCTCCTCCTCAACAGAGACCATAGACGCTTCGAAATCGGCTTCAGGATCGAAGAGACAGACGATCTCATGTTCATCGGTGTTGCGCGGGGTGGGCCCGAGATGCTCGAACCCAGGAGGGGGATATACGAGGTTTCCGGACATTTTAAGGATATGCACGAATAGCTTGAAGATTGTAGATGTCGATTCTGACGCGTTTGGGCGTGAATTCGGGTTAGTTCAGGTAGAACGGTCGCTAGGCAAGTGAGAGCGATGGAGAGGGTAACAAGTGCATCTCGTTAGAACGCGTCCGGAGGAGGAACACGGAGGTATTTGCCACGCTAAACGCACGTTTTTTAGACCCTGACAATAGTGGGGCGGTACCTGACATTGGTTTGGACCCTGAAAGTGTGTGTATGTTCCGAGGAGGTGTGTGCATAAACCTGCTCTCCAGGAGTAGTCCGTCGCTCTACGGCGCTTTATTCGCCGCAGAGGCCGAGCGGGGTGAAAGTGACTCCGGTGTCACTCACACCTCCCCCCTTCTCCTGCAGCTTTGTGACGAAGTTCTCTTCACACTACTTCGCATGCGAGAGATGCGAGACTATGGGAAACCCTGGAGCACAAGGCCGGGCTCGACGTGGAAACAGCTCAGAATGTGTGCACATGATGCATGGCTTGGCAGGAGGGCTGCAGGAAGCGGAGGCTGGTCGCTGCGAACCAGGTGCAGCGGCTAAATCTGTTAATTTCGCAGGCCAGGCATGGGACCAGAGGTTCCGCCGTGACAGGAGCCTGGGAGGAACAGAGGCACCTCGCAAGGTCTATGAGTAATGGCGATTGCGTTTCCACTGGTGAGCGTTGTGCTTCGCCTGCGGCGCCCAGCACAGTTCGCTTGCGGTATGCGGCAATGAATACAGCTTCCTGCGACTTCGCTGTTACTTGCGGTTTGGTTTGTTTGGTATGCCTGCGCTGTTGCGCTGGAGATCATCTGATGACCTGGCAGTGCACACGTACAGGGGTCGACTAATAGAGAAGGGATGAAGGTAGGTCAGGGCGGCAAGCAGCTCTCCAATTCAATCGCACTAACACCTCGGGGTCATTCCAACTTCGGTGCTCCGGTGACTGGTCACGAACCCCGAGATCAGCATCGGCCATGGCCTCGAGCTCGGCATCGCTGCCTACGTCTACCTATAGCTCATTCCAGAGGTGGGACCAGACAAAGGAGATTGAGGCTCTGGTCAAGCTACCCACGTACGGCTCCAGCACGGCCGACCCCAGTCTCAACTGCCACGTCGCTGTGCCAGAGGCGAAGCAGGCTAGGCCAGGGAGAGGTTGCGACGATGCTCGGCCTTGGCCGCTCCTGTCTCCGGCGTGCTCCAAATTCCTCGGCGGTAGCCAGACCAACATCGGTGGCCGGATTCGTCTCAATCGGGAAGATTAGTGCATGTAAGTCGGGTCTGTGCACAGGGCCCAAGTCGGTCATCTCGGAGGCAGTTCTGCCAGAATATTGAGACAGTCTCACCCGGCCCCGAGCTCGTCGTCAAGCGGCTGCGTTGATGAGCATAGGTTCAACTTTTCTGAGGGTGTCTGATACGGATAGCCGCGGTAGCTCTACAATCGCCGAGTGTTTCGAGCGACCTACCGGTCCAGATATATCGGGTGTCTGAGGATGCCGCGGAAAATGGCCTGCAGGGTAGCGTTTAGCACCGAGCAGATCGCCGACAAACCGCGGCCGTGCCAAGAGTTTGGGGTATCTGGGACAGCCCGGCCGCAGCACAGCAGGCACGGGTAGCCGCGCGCCAATCGCGACGTCACGAAGGAGTGAATGTACTGGGTGTGATAGCGGTACTAAGGAGGGGGCGAGGCGCCAGCGAGATGCCAACGGAGACAGAGGGGTGACGTCTGCGGACAGGAGCCTCGGCGCCGGCCCCGGACTGGAAGTTCTTCCGATGGAAAACACTGGGAGTGATCGTCGCGAAGATCTGCCGATCCGGGCCGGTTGAGGGCGAGGGCCGCACGGGCGCGCCAGCCTGATCGCCTTGTCTCGGATTCCGTGGTTTGGGCTAAACATTTACGCTCTGCACGTGCAATCGCCCCTGCTCTGGTACGCTGTCCAATCGGGACGAGGATTGTGTTACGCGCGCGGATCTAGCCATAATCTCCTCAAAATGAGTCTCGGTCCCACCGGAGTCTTGGGATATCCGCTCGGTATGTAGTAGGTGGGAAACGTAGCTGAAAAAATTCTAGATGGCCAAATTTGGCAGGCGCGGGGCGCAAGGAATAAAGCAAGGAACGGGTAGAAACAGATGCAGATCACTAATGAATGTATTGTTTGATGATCGTCGTCGCACTGAATTGATGTGGATCGCCCAGACCCCAAACCTCAATAATGTAGGCCTCCTTCCGCGCAACTACACGCTCCATCTTCCAGGTTGATCTTCGGAACCCACCGAACCAGTAACCGAGGCAAGAGCGGCGTTTGCCGGTCGGCTTGATTACCAATAGGGGCACGCGGTAACTGTAGCCCATGCACGAGACCAGCGGTCACGAGGGAAGGCATGAAGTGTGAAGCAAAAGTGATCGACGAGAACCCATTCAGCAGTACAATTTTTGCGCGCAGGATGTTGCAACTGCGTTCCAGGCTTCTACTGAAGACAATAGGGCGTGATTGGTCGAAAATGAGCCGATATTCAGGCGCCGCCGCGATCGTCAGTGTGCCTCTGTCGGCTGCCGTACAGTCTCCTCGTTACGGATCGCAGACGCCGTGCACTCGAAAATTAGAGGCATATATCTTGCATGTCGATCATCAAGGGTTAGGAAACCTAGAAGAACTCTCGTGTGGGTTATCCGATCCTCCAATGATGTCTGGTGGCGTTTGGGCGCTTACGGCGCCGCAGGTTCCCTAGTTTCGGTTTGAGTGAAAAGGAACAAGGTGGAGGGCCAGAAGGCACGGGGTTGTGAACACAACGCTGCAGATCATTCTTACAACACGGCCTGTACCTTACAGATCGACGTCTGCCCTCTCTCCTCGATCTTACGTTCAAGGCCCCTCGCTCTCATCAGGTCCCGTGACCTGAGCCCACCCAAAAGTATGGTGAAAGCCAGGCACATCCCTCCCTCTGCAGGTTTGATCATTTTCATGGGGCCCGGATGGGGATCAAAATTGCAGGGGATTGCAGGATCTCAATATCATAAAGATGCTGTTCCATCAGAACGGGCGCTCAGCATGCGAGGCTCATTCCAAAGGACCGCCGTCTTCTCGGTGAACCGATGTGAACCACAGCGGCGTCAAACCTTGTTCTCACGTCTTGGAGCTTGCCTCAAGTTCGCACACCCTCCTCTCGCCTACGTCATCCGTGGCATGTGCTGAGCCTTACGCCATTCTCGTCTTTAGTGAACGCCGAAAAGCGAGGGCTTGCTTCATTATAGCACAACCCGTGCACGGTGCATCGGATGGATGCGTTACTGAGGTCCCGCCTCTGATTGTCGCTCCACTTACATGCTTTATTGAAGCAGTGAGTGGTCTAAGCTCGTGCGCAGTGCTGGTCATCGCTACTTGTCTTTTGAAGAATTGCCTGAAGTGATCAGCTGCCTTATCGTTCCGCATGAAAGGCCCAGGACCCGAAGCGGAAACACTTGAGCACGGCCCACCGGCTCCCCGTTCGGCAAGCCCGGCACCGGATGGGCCGGCCTTTCTCTGTCCCCATGCACGGTGGCGGAGGAGCAGAGCACGCGCGGGACACCACATGCGACCAACAGGCTCTCGGACCTGGCCTTGGGTCTTGAGGCACCTGGGCCTGATGTGCATGACAGCATGATACAATTGGGATCGTGCTGTTGCGGCATGAACAGCGGGGCGATCGCATGCGAAAGCATGCCGCCGTACAGTATTCAGACCTTCCCACCGTTACCTCGGTCGGACGGCATAGAGCTCCTCCCAGCGTTACCCGCTCGACCATCATACGCGTCCGCAACGAAGACCAAGCAACCGCTCTACAGACATGACTTCTTTTCTCTCTTGTGACTCCGAGTGGAGCGGAGGCGTGGCCCAGCTTACGCCTCCGCTGGCATGGGAACCTGACATGCCAGCCTTCTCACCACAGTCGTCACTGTCTCATTGCGAGGCAGTCCATGGAATGCTCTCTAAGACGTTCTGGGACAACAATCTTCCCTATACCAACCCACTAGAGCACGAAGTGGTAGCTTCAGTAACCTGACATCACGCATTGCCCAAGCGCAAGAGGCCGGTGCTGGCCATCGCATTATAACGATATGGCCATGGGTTTGAATTTGCTTACGAAACCTTCTGTTTGCCCTACATGGTGATGTGAGCGGTCCAAGGGTCCATATTAGGGACACCGACTGGGAGAAGAGCATGTACGTTTGGCATGCGGCGGTTTGCTCGCCTAGCAGCTGCTACCCGACACGGAAGCTCCTGGCAGGTAATGAGTGCCAAATGGGAGGATCAAACACAACCTCCTGCTCTCCTTGTGCTTCATCCGGTTTATTCTCGTCTCCTTTCGTTTTGGGCATGCTTCAGGAGTACCTCAAACATGGAACAGACCATCTGAGACGCCAAACACGCTCAAACTCTCCCCTCGTTATCCAAGCCGCTTCGATGATGGGTTAGTTCACAAGTCTGCCATGCCTGTCAATAACCCTGATAGGTAACTCATCTGCGCTTCGCCCATGCTGTCGAGGGGCTGTGTCGCAAATCTGGAGGCCGATCGGGTAGCTCTTTCTGTGTGCCGCAGACAGCCTCTGCATATCCCACTGCTGCTCGGGCTGGGCGGCTCATTACAGCGCGAAACTCAGTTTGTGTCATTCAAAGCCTAATTCTCGGCCCATTCCTTCCTCTAGCAGAGGCGCACCACGTTAAACTCCAGAGCGTTACATCTCTGACCTACAGGTCCTCAACCCGTGTGTGACAATGCTGACCGCCATCACTCCCACCTCTACCACTCTGAATTTACGTGCCGTACACCCCCGTGTCCATTTCCCTATGCGACCCGCTTCGCTACAGGTGCCCCAGGATGCATGTCAGATGATCTGAGAATCGCATATCAGCATCCGAAGAGTATGATGTCGTAAGCAATGTGGCGAAACCATTATCAGCCTTTGCGGTCCCATAGCTTTTGCCAGCAGTCCGAAACCATCCAATGCTATCCAGCAGCGGAACCGGAGAGCGCAATTTCGACCCACAAGGCAAAACGCCTTCTATAGACCGCTGCTCACAGATAGGGTGTATCGGAGTCGGACAGGGCCGGAATTTACCGAATGTAGGAGTTCATTATTCTTCTTGAGCACCGTAGCGAAAGGATTGTCTTGAAACGGCTAGCGCCGTTCCACGAAGCTCATTTTTTGTTTTCGAGTCGGCGCATTGCCTTCAAAGCTCAGAACCAAACCTGCCATCACCCTTTCGGGACAACTCACGGGGGGACCTGGACGGACCATGCCCCCAGAGCCCGTCACTGTGTGCTCACTGATGATGAGCTGGATAGGGCGGCCAATGGCGCGGTAATGGACAATGAATGCCCACCCGCCGCACCGCGCGCGGCTGCCCGCTCTATTGCACTACGATGCGGCACATCATGTGATCGTCCATCTGAATTGTCCCAGCAACCAGAACTAGCGCAGACATGCAAGCAACACAGACATCTGTATATTGGCTGCCGGTCACCGACCCAAACCGCACTCCGTGCGCTGCCCATTCCGCGCCTGCTGGGAGGTATCGTGACTTTGCCCAATTACCATCTAAAGCGCCGTGTATCCGCCAGAAGGCGCAGTCGCCCCAGAGATAATGCAGAACTGGGAGATTCGTATGTCATGCCGCGTCTAGACTTGTATGAGGCTATCAGCCTCGTGACCAATTGTCAGAGTTTGGCATGAGCGCTCCACCGAATATCAGGCATTTGTGTGGCCACCCTGAGATACCTGTGTAAAACAAATGAAATGCGCGGCAGGCGCGGCATGCGCGGCACATCTTCGGCATTGCATGCCAGTCAATGCGAAAGTCTTTAGGCGCTTCCATGCTGTTCACCGGCGCTCCATCGAAAGTGATGGCAGTCTCGAAGGGCCTAGGGTGGTGACTGCCAATACTCCGCCGCATCTGCTGGGGTCAAGAGCTTCGTCCCACTCTTCCACAGTGGTGCGTGACTGGTCCAACTCGAACCCGCTGGTATTTCGCGATCGCCATCGCGCCCAGGGCTGTTGCTGAGATCATCATTGCGTAACCCCGCACAGACGAAGACTGCCGGCTCTCACGTTATGCCTGACCCAAGCTTTTATGCAAGGCTCCGAGAGGGCCGGCGCAGCAGCCGTGGGTCCCATACGATGTGCCACTCGTTTCACCCTCCCACCTCCAGTCAATATGTCTTACCCGGCCACAAACTCTGTTCGCTCTGCCGAATCATTCGTCCGTTTTGCTCCACTTTCCTCCTTGTTCGGGTCCCGTGATGTTCGGCACCTGGAGCTCCTATCGCACTTGTACACGGGTAGCAGGACAGCAGCGCCGGCCATCCTGCCGAAACACACTCCCAAGTTCAGCCGCATACGACACCGCGCCGCAGTACAGATCGAAGGAAATAGGGTGGCTCAGGGTATGTCTGATGAGCCGGATGCAAGTCGGAGGTATGCCGACTGTGCCGCCCTCGGTCCGCGATGGCCGCCTTGACGGCGCCGGTCTGCCGCGCCGCGCACCCACTGATCGATTGGCACGAGACCACCGACCGGCGGCGCACACCACAGTAACGTGCCGCGCAGCCCTCGGCTCTACTAAGATTCAACCGTGACGTGTCTTACCCACGACATCATCTGTCTCGCTCGCACCAGCTTATGTGGGTCGCGGTGCTGTAGTTTGGATCAGCGGGTTCAACGGATGTGGGATGAACTGACACCGCAGCACGGATATCGGTCGGGCCTCAGTTGAATTTCGTGGTGGGCTTAGAGGGAGGGACGGGCGGGCAGATGAAGCGGGCTCCAGCGGGTTCCAACCTGCTCCAGTGCGCGGCGTAGTGACTAGCCACCGTCGATCACTGGACCTGGGGAACTAAGTAGTGATGCTCGGTACCTGGGCTCCCGAACCGGCGCGATCATGTGAGATCCTGTGGTCGTGCAGGATGCCGTGCTCCAACGTAAGTCAATTCGTGATCTTCGCATTGACGTCCCTAACGCAGTTTCTGTTCAGCCGTATCTCTTGCTTCGGCGCCGCTCCATCGCCGCTCGCAAGCGTGGCGGGTAACTGTGGCATCTGGCAATTCGCATCGAATTCATAATGGATGTTTGCACTGCATCCTCTAAAGTGTGGAGCGACAGCTGCTGATGTCACTGCTACTGTAGCTAGAATGAGAAGACGGGCGAGCTCGGCAAACCTAGGGCTATACTACGGCAGGCCTTCCTGATTCCCCGCTCAGCCGGCGAGCGAGCATGAGGGACATACATATTCCAGACCCAGTCCGACTCTCGCTGATGACAGCAGCAGCCTCGTACGCGTCCTACCGAGCTGCTGACACCGGCGATCGGTTCCTCGGGCCTCGATTCTCTGGGGCCGGCCTCGGCGAGCTTTGTTCCCGAGCGCAGGTCAAGGACCCCTCCCCGCCCTCTCTAGCCTCAATCTGGCCAAAAGTCAAACGAGGCTGCAGAACCTAGCAACAGTAGCAGGTGCAGCACCTGGAAGCACGCGCTGAGAACTGAGGGAAGCTGGGAGAGGAGTTGTGACAAGTCACCGAGTCTCACAGCCGTAAATCGGAGAGTACCAACACTCGCAGCCGCAGATCTCTCCTGCGATCAAAGAGGAGCACAGCCCCTCATGCGGACTCCCATGATCTTGTGTACACTAGGGTAGGAAAGAGTGCTCACGCGGTACTTCTTCGACACGAGTCAGTAGGCAGGAGGCGAGTAAGCGGAAGCATGGAAGCAAGTCAAGCACGAATCTTATCTTGGCCCATTCTCCGAGGGCACATCTGCTCCCCCCCCCTTTCCCCCAGGGTGAGGTACGGCCCTGTAGTCCTGCTCGCTCAGTCTCCTCCCGTGGCCCTGCCATAGAGCAGCTCGCCAAAGCAGAAACCATTGAAGACCAGCCAAAGCCCATTGCTCCATAATCAGTTCCGCACCGCAGCACAACGCTCGTCCCGCCCGCTCCATGCAAGGATGCGAGAAACAGTAGAAGAGGTCGACATGAGGAGGACTTCGCGGTGCACGTCGCAAGCCCACGCACCGTGCCGTCGATGCCGAAGGCGGCTGTGCCGTGGCATAGTGCCCTGCCACGGTGGAAGCCATGGAAGTCGTACTTCGAGCGTATGTATGCCTTCCACCCTACGAATGCCCTCCTGTTCCTTCTCCCTCAGACACGGCAACGTAAGAGGGATCTCGCGGCCATTGTACCTGTCCCAGCGCCAGGTAAACACTGACCTCCGGGCGTTGGCGACCTTATGCCGGGCAGGGGCCCGGCCCATGCAGGCGGTGACTGAGGTGATGCTCGGCCTGGAATTCCATCTCCCAACCTTGTATCCAGCGTCGAGTGGTCCAACTGATGGGCCGGCACGTCGTCGATGGCTCAGCTTGCATCCGAGAGGATCCACGACAGTCCACCTTACGTACAGGATATCGTGCTCTACGGCGCTTGCGGGTTGTGTGCAGACGGCTGGCGGCCCGAGGGCGAGCTTTCAGCAACCTTGCCTCGGCGTGCATACGACCGCTCTTATCACATCATCTGGAGCCTCGCTTCAGAACCCACAAGCCCGGTGTATTACGATTCCATGAGGCTGCGTATCGCGCCAGGATCGTGCCACGGATGACCGCACAATGGATGCCGGATATTGTCTGGATGCACTGGGATGACAGGCAAACAACCATAAGCATGAGACTGGCGTTGCACTCTGAACCTACGCGCCACATGCAATGGGCATTCCTCGTGAACCTCACCAAGCAGCCGCGGAACAGACTCTGGCTCTGGCTACGATCCACCTCATCCTCCCGACAACGCGACAACACGGTGCTAGAGCGATCTTAAGCGGCGATGCCGATCGGCACCGCGAGTGAGGGACAAGCGTATGGCGGCGCACGCAGCCGTGCCCGCGACCGTTCAAATAAGGTTCGGTCCACGCCAGGTCCTGGTCAAGGTTGGAAAGCAAATGCATTGTTGAATGGGAGTGATATGTAGAAATCAAGGGGTATTAGTCTATTCCTCCGTGGTGACATGATTATGACCCCAAAGGTATCTATGAATCGCGCCAGACATCTACGCAGAGGCTTTCCCGAGTTTCCGTTCGTGAACAGACTTCGCGAGCTGCAAAAGGAGTGTCAGAAAGTGAAACAATCGAAGATGAAAACAAGGACAACAAGGACTTGAGTACCCGCTGCGGCCCCAATGCACCGTCCGGTGCAACTGAGCCGCTCTTCAGACACCCTGCACCACTTCACCCGCAGGATGCGCTCAGAATGAGCTCCACCATGTCACCAAAGACATGGGTATTGCCATCCAACATCCATGGTGTAGCTGGGGGCCGGAAGGATCCGGGCATGATGCAGCAAACCCATGAGGACAACACCTGGATGTTCGCTGGTGCTATCCCTCGCATGCGTGGGTGGGGGAGTTGGAGTGGGGCACTCGTCGGCGCAAGAACGCGTATGTGAGCAAGCACTTGGAGCCCTCCAGACCCTACCAATTCTACTCTTCGCCTCCGATAAACTCACCTCGAAGAGTTGGGCCTCTTCACCGCTCTGACGGCAGAGGTCTCGGAAAATACCACTCTCGTCCTGCAACAGGTCCCAAGGCGTCCCAAACTCAACGACTCTGCCGTGATCTAGGACGAGGATCCTGGGTTTAGGGTCAGCCGCATGTTCTGCCGAAGGCTTGGGTACGGCGGTCCACGCGCCATCATACGACCCGAAACCAAATTCGATTATTGACTCACTTGTCCAGACCACAGACCGTCATCAGGCGATGTGCAATCACTAACATCTGCGTATCCTCAAGCGAAGTGCGGAGTACGTTCTGAATTGTTGCGTCGGTTGCGTGATCGAGGTTAGCTGTGCTCTCGTCCATGATTAGGAACGACGACGTTCGCAGCTTGAGCAGGCCACGAGCGAGCGCCAGGAGTTGCCTCTGTCCTTGACCTGCATAAACGAATTGTTTCGGTAGGGAACACGGAGGGTTGTGTCAGCTACACTCAAAGCAGATTCTATAACGGCATTGCGATCGGCAAAGAATAACCGCGGGGGAATCCCCGAAGCGCGGCGTACCTGCAAGACGGATTTTCGCCTCATTGGCGATGTTTGCGAGGAACGCCGGCCGGAGGTCATTCTGCCGCTGCGCTTCGCGGCCGCCAGCCGGAGCCACTCACTGAAGTTCTTCCCTCCTGCAGCAACCTGGTCATCGAGACTCCTGATGGCCACTCGCTCCTCAGGCTCGGGCTCATCGACCCCACTCATCCTGAGCTGATCCATATTGACGACGGATGCCACACGGCTCTGCGATCGAGAGGCGGCCCGACTTGTATTCGCACTCGTGCGGCCTGCAAGCCCGCATTGGCGCAGGGCCTCCCAAATCTCGACGTCTTCATGCTGCCTGAACGGATCGAGGTTATCCCTCAGCGAGCCAGAGTAAAGTTGTGCCTCCTGCGGCAAGATCGTAAGACGCGAGCGCAACGTTGCCAGGGACAGGTCGCTGATGTTTTGGCCATCAATCGTGATACTGCCGCCCTCTTGGTACAAGAACCGGAAGAATGAGAGAGCTAGCGCTGCGAACATGTCAGCGGTAGATCAAAATCGTAAAAAAATCGTGACGAGCGTCGCCAGCCCATCCTTCCGCTGCCACAAATGCCGACGCCAAGGACGTTTAACCCCTTGCGAAAGACCTCCCGGAGGCGCGACACGAGGGTACTGATGTCACATGAACGTCATCCCTGCAATGGTCCCTGCCCGGGCTGCACATTTCCACGCCGTCCTTTCGACTCGACGTGGCAAAGTTAAAGTGCCATTACGGTAGTATACACTTCCGTGACGACCAGAAAGCGTCGCAAGTTCATCCCTCTTTGTCCTCGGTGCACCCTACAGCGGCTAAACTCACTGCTCTTTCCTGAACCAGTGCGTCCGCAGATTCCAATCTTCTCCTTCGGGCCAATAGTAAAAGAGACGTCTTTGAGTACCGGGTCGAGTTGAGGCGCGTACTTGCAAGTGAGGTTTGAGACAACAACGGACCCGTCTTTGGTGGGCCAGTACGCAGGAGGCTCGACGCCCCGCTTGGTGTCCTCTTCCTCAACTTCGAGGTCGAGGTCTGTGAGACACAGTGAGCGACCGCAGTGCTTTTGAAGATAAAAAGGGATGCACTCACATTCAGCTACGCGCTCCACGCTGTTCATTGACATTTCCGCAGCCGCATACATCCTGACGACCCACAGAACATAATCAGTGAACGACACTTTGTCCGTGAGCATCCGATAAAGGCGTCTGAGACTTACAGGCGTACGAAATGGAGAAACCAGCATCTCCAGCGCTCATCGATGGAGAGTGAAGGGCAAGCACGCAGGCAGAGACGGTGATCAACGAACCAACAAAGTTGCTGAGGTTATTGAGCACACGGTTCGTCTGCCAAAGATACCAGAAGCAGCGTGTGTTGGTGTCATTCTCCGAGAGCAGCTTGCGAATAAATCTGGCGCTGTCGCTGTAGGCTCTGATCGTCGAAGAGCCTGTCAAAGCTTCCGAGAAGGACTGGAAGATAGGAGATCGAGTCACTGAGTCGAACCGCTTGATCTCACGGTTTGTGGTGACGTACAGCGAACCAACCATGTAATAGAGGACGAGGATGACCACCAGGGAGAATACGAACGAGGGCGTCGAGTACGTCACCACAGCCAGGACGGCGGCACAAGACAAGACGCAGTTGATGAAGTTTGTCATGATCTCTGCCGACTGCTGGTCAATTGACACCATATCTCTGCTCAGTCTGTTGATGATCCTTCCGCTAGGCGTCGAGTCGAAGAAACGGAGCGTGGCCCTCAGAAGACGCTTCAGCATGCCACGATACAGCCTGCTTGAGGCGCGAAGAGACCCCCAGCAAGTGATAGCGACACGCGCGGCAACGCCAACGAGGTAAAGCGCTGAGATGAGAAGGTAGCCGACCATGAAGTACGTCGTCGAGTGACCGCCAGCTGAACCTGAGAACGATTTCGCCCACGTCTTCAGCGACTGGATGCGTTGCGAAGGATCATTTGCGTTTGTCCAGTCACGAACCCAGGCGTTGGTAAGAACCTGCAAGACCTGTGTTCCGATCAAAGCGGTCAGCGCCAGTAGCCAGAAAGGAAGACCTCCCATTGACTTAAAGTACAAGAGGTAGGTCCGCAGACTCGTGGCTCCTTGACTTGAGGTCTCGGCCTGCACCAATTTTTTATTCTCGAGCTCCGCGGCTTTATCAGCATCTGCGGCCTTCTTGGCAACGAGAGCATCGTGATTTGCTCCGTCGAGGTCGTCTTCAATGGTCGCTGTAAGCCTACTGAACGCACTTGTGCCCGCTTGGACGGCGGTCTCCACATCATCATCGGCAATGGAGTCTTCCAGATCTTCAGCGGAGAGTGTGCCGGAGGCCGCGAGCTCGGAAGGTGTGCCGCTAGCAGCGACTTGACCATCATCAAGCATGACGACGAAAGCGGCTGCGGGAAGACACAACGAAACGGCGTGGGTGACGAGAATGCAAGTTCGACCCTTCATAAGGGATCCCTGCAGAACATTCTTGTATATGTGGCGAGCCGTTTGAGCGTCAACGGCAGAGAGAACGTCGTCGAGAATAATCGTCTTGGAAGAAGAATACAGTGCGCGAGCGAGCGCGATACGTGCTTTCTGGCCACCCGAACAAGTCGTGCCTTTTTCGCCCACCTCCGTGAGGTCTCCAAGTTCGAAGATTTCGAAATCACGGCGAAGTGCGCAGCAGTCGACAACTCTATCATACCGAGAACGATTCCAAGGCGCTCCAAAGGTGATGTTGTCCCTGATAGAGGCGCCGACGAGCCAGGGCGTTTGAGCGCAGTAGGCGACAGTGTCGGCGAGACCTGTCTGTGGGTCTATCGGACAGATGTCGCGATTTGCGTGGTCGTCAGGCATGAAGACTTTGCCTTGAAGGAGTACAGTCTCGCCCAGGAGAGACAGGATCAGGGTAGACTTGCCAGACCCGACAGGTCCGGTAATGAGAGAGAGCTGGCCAGTGGGGAAGTTGAGGTCAAGCTGTCCGAGGCGGAAAGGCTGCACATCGCTGACCTCCCCGTCCTCAGTCGTACTGAATTCCTCCTCCATGGTTGGGTAGGCAAAGATTGCGTCGCGGAAACCAATGGTCGGGTCCGAGGGTCCCGGCTTCGAAAGCTGCTTATATTTCAAAGTTTCCGGCTCGTCGAGGGGGGGGGGGGGAAATCTTGCACACGGTTGCAGGACGTGTATGCGCGAACAAACTGGGTGATGGTGTCCTGCAAGATGGCGACGGGATCACGGAGCATGTTGAGGAGAATGAGTGACGCCCAAGCAATCTCCGCAGTGAGCGGTTCCTTGACCACCAGCACTTGCCAACCGAAAGCCGCACCAGTGACGAGAACGGGAGTACCCCATGCGAGGACCTGTCCAGCGACGGTAAGTGCGAACAACTTGCTGAGCGCAAAGAGCTCGCTGCGACGGCTAATCTTCATGCGCTCGTAGAATTTGTCCTGCCACGAGTTGAACTTCAAAAGCTTGATGAAGTTGATGACTTCTGTGGCATCTTCGAGACGCTTGTCCGTGGCTGCGAGAAGCTTGTGCTGGTACACTGTCATGAGTTTGGCCATGATCGTCTGAGCAGGTATAAGCAGGATCAGCATCGCAATGCCGGCGATGGCGGACTGGCCAAGCGTGTGGTACAGCAGGGCCACATTGAGGATAATCGCGAAGGGGGTTGACACCAGGTAGAAGCTGTAGGCGCAGACTTCAGAGATTAGAAAGGCGTCGACCGATACCAGGTTAGCGATTCTTCCGTCCGTCGAAGACTGCTCCGTGGCTTCATCCTCCGTGCTCTCTCCTGCAGCCTTGGTTGTCTGGGCTTTCTTCACTGTCCCGGATCTGTCTTCCCGCCGAAGAGCCTTGGTGAAGACCTCGCCGACAATCAGCGCACGCATTCGAACGCAAATTCGACGACCGATCATAAGGGCCTGCCCGTAGACAGCGAATCCAACACTTTGGCCGAGGACCATCATAAAGATGTAGATGTACGCCATATGGTCCGGCAGATTGCGAGTTTCCCGCTCCGTGATGAACCGCAGGAGCAGCCTGAGTCCCAAAGGGGGAAGGTACTGCAATACCGTGAAGAGCAGAGCCCAGCACACTTGCGCCACCAGCTGTGGCCAGAAGAAACCGACAAGATCACGACCGAGATTCTTCCGGCGAACCCCGCCTTCGTACTTGATGGCGTACTGCGTGTCCTTCCTCGCCTGGAATTTACGGAAGCTTCCCAGACTGGCTGCAGCTCCGTCGTCTTCCCTGATGGCGGGGATCTCGTCCTGCCTGATGGGCCGCCAGTAGTATTTCCAGAGGAACGGTATGATGAACCAGTAAGTTCCCCTAGACATGGCGCTCGTGGGCTCCTCAATGTGCCGGGCCAGTGGGGGTGCGTCGATTCCACCGTGGCTCACGGCGCCATCAAGAATGCGATCCAGCTTATCATAGTATGGGATGCACATAAGCGTACACCAGTAGAGCAGCTGGACGCATGTCGGTGCGAGGATGAGATACGATGCGCCGCGGATGGCATCGCTGCGGAAAAGGAGGAGGGCCGGAATGAGGTCGAGTGTGATAAGGGGGAGGAGGGGAAGGCCAGGCCGGCGAAGAGCGACGAGGGAGGCGATGAAAACAAAGACCTGAATTGTCAGCTAAGCGCTGGCTGAGGGATTGAGGAAGACATACAGGGAAAACCAATGCACGGCCATCCTCCTGGCTCCAGGTGACAGCGGCGCCTTGAGCTAAACACCATGCCGCGGCACCGATGACAGACGCTGAACGGTAGACAAAGTCCCAGTTGCGCGAGCTCTTAGTGGTGGTGCGTCGAAAGTCGTTCACGATCTTGTCCGCTTCCTTGGGAGGTAGGGGCGTAGGTTCCGAGGCTTCCACAGCCCTGTCTAGAGGAGGAAGGACCGTCTCAGCTACCGTCGCCATAAGGACATCGGCCTCTAAGCGCGAGATATTGTCGCCATTGGGGGACACGAGGTCATTGGTCGAGAAGCTCTGGAATGGGCGCTTGCGACAGCAGAGGACAACGACAGCCGCGCCGAATGCGGTCAGGACAAGCGGCGAATTCTCGATGTACTTCTCGCGAAAGCACGCTGAGAAGTCGACTCCATCCCAGACCGACGGGCACGACATAATGAATGATACGTCGGTCTTCGGGGGCGGAGCGTTGGGCAGTGCGAGTCGAGTTCAGACGAGCAGTGAGCGCGAAAGAAAGGATGACGAGGTTGGGAGAGGAGGAGCGAGGTCAAAATTGGAGGTTGGCTGGATATCAGTTGAGATCAATCAGATAACCCTGTCAGGGCGGACATGTCCGAAGCCCGGTTCCGCATCGTCCGTTACGGGCCGCCTGGTGGAGAGACTTCCGCGGGCCTGCAGTTGCTTATCAGTGCTCGCTCCGACTGCAGTGCTTGCACCACTGCTTAGAGCAGACTCACGGTAGCATTCAGCCTGTGTCTGGATGCGAAAAGAGGGAGAATCGTCTAACACTTGTCTGTTCCTTTATATGACCTGCGTACGTGATCCCCTGCACCTGGAGGAATCAACCCCAAACCGTGACGGTGTTCGGGTACGTCTGCGCGCGCAATTTACTGCTCCCATTGATCAGGCTCAATTTTTCTGGCGCCCACACCAAATGTTGTCGTACTCGTCGTCACCCAGGCGACCGTTCGCGCTGACTGCTTCACGAAGGCCATCACATCTCCCCACCACCAACGACGTCTCTTGCAGGTTCCACTGAATTAGCCACCCTGACACCAAGCCACGGCGCAGGGAAGGCGGCCTAGCTGACAGGAGAAGGAGAGGCTTGTGCTCAGTGGTTTTTCAGCGCGCGGTGAGCGTTGCTCTTCCCACGGGAGTATGCACTCCTTCTGCGCAATCTCGTTATAGCACATACGGCCTACGGGTGTAGTGTGTGAGTTTCATAACTTCGGGTGCGCACAAGGCCCACGTCGCTTCTTGACACCACATCCGAACCGCGCCCGTGTCTCAGCGGCCCATCAGGCCGTCGCGGCTGTCATCCTTACAATCTCTCCGCAAGAGACATCGAATGGTCGGGAAGCTTGTAACGTGCCGGAAGCGTATCAGAGAGCATTCCTTCCAAGATACCGCGCTCAGGATGCTTCGGCGGTGACCGTTGCGACAAACCGTGTCGACGAGCCCTCAGTCGGTCATTTACATCACGTGACCTGTTTCTCGACTTGTTTGGGCCTAGATCTGACAAGCTGACATCATGATCATCTCGGGAATCCGCTCTATACAATACACACCACCATGTCTCAAAGGCACTCGGATGGCACCCCATCCGCCCTCTTCGACTTGACTGGAACCACGGACGACTCTTCCAGTGATGGGGACTATGGTCCACCTCCGACACTGCCGTCTTTAAAACCCCGACGTACACCAATCTCTCCCCAATACGAGTCGGACGACGAGGACTACATCAACGGCATCTTGCTCGCACCAGCAGTTAACGCTCCGGACGAAGGAAAGGATACTGACGACAATATGCCCTTGCCGAAACCCTCGCAACGACGAAGGCGGGTGCTGGCCCATAGCGACGAGGATGTCGGCCCGGACATCCACACCGTCGATCCGCAGAGCTCTTCACCGCTATGGGATAAGACCGGTCCTTCCCTACATCGTGGCGCTGCTCAGTGGACAGGAGATAACAAGAGCGAGAGCGGAACAGTCTCATGGGACCGGACAGGGCCGTCGCTGCACCACTCGTCAAAGCGAAGCCGAGAACAGCGAAAGAGCGACACTCCTTCGTGGGACAAGACTGGACCTTCCCTGCACCACCAGTCTCCGAGGGCCAAGCCGGCAAGCAAGATGGAGCCCTTTGCAGAACATCGGACAGGTCCCTCTCTCCATCAGCCAACATCTCTCGCTAAGGCGAAAAGCGAGACGCCGTTCTGGGACAAGACCGGGCCGTCTTTGTATAAGCCGTCTGCGAAGGGCAAGGGGAAGGCGGTGGACGATGGGATCGGCTGGGGCAACAACCGGGTCGCAGTCGTGATTGAAACGCCAAAGTCTTGGTTTGAGCGGCAAGCGGAGGCCCGAAAGCGCGCCGGTGTATCGGTGGCAACGGAAAGCAGCGTGATGCGGAAACCCGTCCGTCGACGGATCGTGGAGGTCGTGATTCCCGTCCCCAGGTATGCGCCGTTGTACATGCCAGAGCTAACGATTGCAGGCGACGCGCAGCCGCGCAAGGAAGGAAGCTGGAACCGCTATCAGATCTTGACTCGGATGTCTCCCTCGGCGAGATAATCCGCAAAGCGCCGAGAAGATCGAAGGCTCCACCAAAACCCGCGCGCCGGCGGAGTCCGTCCTTCATCGCTGACTCGTCGGATGACGATGAGGTCGTCTTCCGGCGGAAGAAGGTGCTCACGAAGAAGCGCCCGCGATCCGCGAGTAAGGAGAAACGCATCAAGAAGCGCAAGGACAAGCGGCGGAGCGATCCGGATTCCTCGGGTAGTTGGACAGAGGACGACGATGGTGCGGCCATGATCGAGCTCGACGAGCCGGAACGCTTCAAAACGGCATCGCGCTTGCGCGAGACGGGACCGACCGCGTTCCAGGCGAAGCTCAAGGCATTGGGCAAGCTGCGCGACGAGCGCGACAAGGGAACGCAGTACGCCTCTGTGCCGGTCGAGCTCCCAACGTCAGAATCAGGGTCGGAGGACGATGACGAGGATGACAGTGATGAGAGCATGGGGTCGAGCGACTTCATCGTCGAGGATGGACCGGGGAACAAGGCTGTCCAGCTCCCCGAGGAGTTCACGGTGCAGAAACAGCCTTGGCAGTACAAGTTCAAGGTCATATTCCAGTACCTTGTCCTCCTTGTCGTCAAGGGCGAGGATGTGCTGCCTCTGGCGCCAAAGGATGCAGCCTACTTCTCGCGCCCGGTGCGCGAAGTCCGCTCCCTCTTCACCGGTATCCGCAACTCCGTCGCGGGTCAGGTGTGGCCGGCAAAGTACCGCAAGTCGCTTGAGAAATATCCCAGGTTCAATGTGAGTAAAGCAACCGCTAGGCGGACGTTGAGGTGCCGTAAGCTAACGGACAGTGGGACCAGCTGAAGAAGCCGCGCGAGTTCTGCTCCGCCTGCGCGCGGCACAAGCAGCGCTGCTTCAAGTCAGCCTTCCTCGGCGGCGAGCCGTATCGCCGCGAAACGCACCGCAACATCCACGACAGCGACGACTCGTACTCGACCTCCGAGGACGAGGACTACGAGCTCGGCTACCTCGGCAACGTCTGCTTCCAGCGCACAAAGTACTTCCACGAAGTCGCCCACTGGGAGCACCAGATGTACCTGCGCATCCGGTCCAGATACCACGACCTCCTCCGCGCAAAGGGGAAGCAGGAGACGATCGAGACGTCCTCTGACTCTCTGCGTTCTGGGAGCGACGACTCGGATGGCGGCCGCGCGGAACGTAACGTTGCCCGCGCCCGGAGCGAGAAACGCGTCGAGGCGCTCCGACGTGGCGAACTGCCCAAGAATGTCCGGGACCCCAACGAGGTCACGGAGTGGTTTGACAGGACCGGGTTCCAGAAGAACCAGCTGCACTGGCTCAACGCGCTCGAGACACGGGGCAAGGAGCTCGAGCGGGATCTGCTGAAGTAGTCCTTTCTTCTCTTCCTTTCCCTACAGTATTCTGTTCTTTGCTCGGTTGCTTGCCTATGTACAATCCTGTAACTTCCTATGCGAACCAACTACAAACTATGATTATGAACTAAGCTCAAGCGGTGGCCTGTGCGCGGGCCTGCGCCTCAGCCTGGGCTTGCTGCTGAGCCTGCGCACGCTGCACCATCTTGAGGAGCATGGCGTGGTAGTCCTCCCAAGCGGTAGTGATGTCGCGCTGCCGCCGGATCTGGTCGTCGAGGTGGTTGCTCAGCGTCGTGCGGAACTCATCGACCCGCTCGCGCTCGAACCGCGCAAACTCGGCCTTCACCAGCTTGCTCTGGGCCTCGAACTCGGCAGCCGCGTCACGCGCCCTCCGTTCCGCCTGAATGTCAGCTAAGCGAATAAGTTGGAACAACTATCGGCTTACCTCTCCAACCTCATGGCCGCTGCCACCCGCCCGGCCAGCGAGGCGCTGCTTCTCCCGCGCCGAGCGAACCTTGTTCACCTCCTTCTCGCAGCTCTGCCAGTAGTGGTAGGCCTTGACGCGGCTCGCGAAGGCTAAGCGCACGCTCTGAATGAAGCGAATGTACTCGTCAGACAGGTTCAGGAGCTTGGATACGTCGTCCTTGGCCTGGTTTTCGTTCATCTCCTTCTCCCGACGGACAAGGTCGCTCAGCTTTTTGAAAGCGGTGCACATGGCGGCGCCCAGGTCCGACTCGCTCAGCGCAAAAGTCGAGTCCGAGAACACACCAAGGCTGTCCGCCATGTCGAGGCGCGCTTTCGACGCAATGTCGAGGCTCTTCGAGATGCCCTTCAGCTGCGTCTCGAGGTGGTCCAAGTACGCCTTGCGCTGGTCAAACCAGTCATCCTGCTCCACGTACTTTGGCCCGGTCCATGAGCCCAGCAGGCCAGAGCTGCTTGTGCTTTCTGGCGTCTGGCTCCGGCGATTCTTGATGTCCATAGCAAAGCTCTCAGACTCGAGGAACAGCCGCAGGTCCGGGTCCAGCTGCAGGATCGGGTGCGACGTCATCTTGCCAAGCGCGCGCTGCAGTGCTGCACGCCTTGTCTCGATGAATTGGTCCTGGAACCGCCCGAACGGGTGCTTGTCTGGGATCGGCGGGACGATGACGCCTGGGTTATTCGCGCACAGCTGCTCAAACAGCCATAGGAAGTCAGAGTACCGGCGAAGGACGCTGAACTCACCCCGCCGGTAGTGCGGGGAAGTCGTCTTCGTCTTCACCGTGTACACGACGTGCCCACGAACAGGGTCCCCAACCTTGGTAGGATCGGATACCGTGATTTGGAACATGGGCGTGTTCAGACGCTTCTGCCGGCGATCCGGTGACGACGTGCTGTCGCCGCTGCCCGCCCGCTCCGACGAACGAAGCGGAGCGTTGTCTTCTGAGTCGTCATCGCTTTCTTCCTTGGCTGCGCTGTCGTTGTTCCATCCTCCACTTCCTCCCTCGTTCCACGGATCGCCCGACCCGGTGAGTGGAGTGTCGTCAGCCTCGATCGCACCCCAACCTCGGCCGCCAAAGCGACCAGCGGTAGGACTGGAGCTCCCGTTCATGCCAGACGAACCGATCGCTAATGACTGGAAGCCAAAGTCCTTCTCTGTCTCACCCGTAGGCGTTTCGAGTGGCGAGATGTTAACGCGGTCAGTCGAGAGCGTCGGCGTCTCGGGGCGGGATGTCGTGGGCGTGCCGGCGATACTCTCTGGCAGAGGGATGGATGCCGGGTTGACATCCTTCTTGGCTGGAGGGAGTGCGGGGAGAACGGGTTTGTCTTTCGGCTTGAACACATACTTCTTGTCCGGTGTCGCGGGCGCGCTACTCGTTCCGGCAGGTGCATTGTGCTTGACGAACGCCTTCTTCAAGCTCACGCTAGGATCGCTCTCGTTGAGCAGCTCCTCGTCGATAAGGCCAGCGGGGATGTGCTTCTGGGAGACAACAGGACTCGTCTTCGTAGGAGGCTCGGGGGACTTGGTGGGGGAGCGGGCTGCAGGCGTTCCGAACGGTGAGGGCGCATAGGGGTCCTCATCGAATCCACCACCGAAGCCTCCACTGCCGAAGCCGCCGGCGCCCTCGAGCTCCGCACGCTCGCGAGCAGCGATAACGCTCGGGGGATCGGGCGGTAGATCATGGACGCTCTGTTCTGGGGATTCGGGGGCCGGAGCGGAGGAGGTCGACGTCGAGGGTTGAAAAGACGAGATTCCTGGCTCACCCCATCCGGACCCGGCATCGGCATCCGCGAACGGGTTAGCCCATGGATCCGCCGCGACAGAGTCTTCGGAAGCACCCCACTTTGGCTTAGGGGCAGGGGTCGATGCGGAGAGGAGGCGAGCAAAGTTCTCCTCCTCGTCCATGGTTGTGCTGGTTGAAGTGGTTGGACGATGCGGAGTGAGGAGCGGTGAGCCGATGAGGAAGACGTCAGAGGTGGCCAGAGCCTGGCTGTGACGGTGGCTGCTTGGCCGCTGATGACGGACCCTGTGCGGTTCGATTCCTCGCGTGGCAAAGCGCAGTCCAACCACTCGCCCGACCCTGGCTAGTCACTCAGTCCCAATCCGCGACAATCGCGTCTTCCTTCTGCATCGTCTCTCTACCCAGCGTGCATACTCCTCAATTGCAAGTTCTTTGCTTTCGCCGAACTCAGGTCCAACATATGCGCGGACATTGTCAACTATGAGAAGTCCTCAATCAATCAGTACTCAGGCATGGTGGATTCACGCTCTCTCAACTTCGGGTTACTTTCCTCTCGTGTTCGGTGCCTGTCGCGCCCACAGGGCGCTTTGAGAAACGGGCTGGCCAGCTACTCACAGCAGTAATCGGACGTTAGCCTGGCCAAACGAACGGCAGCTTACACGACAGAGGGGTCACGATTGGAAAACTCGCCGCAGATGCAGGATATGTGCTTCGCCCCATTGAGACGGCCCCAGAGTGCACAAAGATTCCGTACGACTGATATGTACACCACTTCCTTCCTCGTCCTCGTTATTGGGCCTCTCGGTATTGAGCGACCGTGATCCCCGCCACACGTCAACTGATGACAATGCAGGTAAGATGCTTCATTGCGTTCAGCCGCAGCATTGGTTGTGACTGTCTCGAGTTAAGTGAGCCCTTCTGACTGCTATCAAGGTATCACCTCCTTGTCTGGACGCGCTCTCCTTCCCTGTCCTCGCCTTCAGTACGGAATGGTCTTCGACGCCCACCGCTGGGACAATGTCTTGGTGCCGTCGTACGTTCGGGAGAAGTCAGTGCAGGAGCGTGAGGTGACGTCGGCAATAACTGGGTACAACTGCGGTGTCTGCGGCTTATCTCTGCAACCATTCTCCAATCTACGTCGAGAGCACAGGTGAAGGGTGTCGTGAGTCCGGCTAGCCGCTCGCTCAGCGCGTGGAGGTTCCTCTCTGCAATCATGGCCTTCTGGGGAATCGGACCATTCTCGCGGTGCAATCGCAATCCTTGAGTGTAGTGGAGATAAGGAAGCACATATGGGGTACGGTGGACTACGTTGGACGCTTTACGGTGCGAATGCTCAACTCACGCCGAGTCTGCTCGCCCTCAGATTTAGGATGAAGCTCGCTTCGAGTTTGGCGAGCACCCTGTTCTAGGTGCTGCCTGCGGGAGTAGCCTCACAGATGTATGGTCACAGATGACCCCAGGAAGTGGTACGCAATAGTTGCAGCTGCGGAGAAATATGGTGTTCTCGACGCTTATACTCGTCGCATTTCTGGCGTGGAGAACGAGAGCATACCGTTGCGCTTGGCGAGACATGGCGGCGGAAGATGCTAATCTCTTCTCCGCCAGATCTTCGTCGAAGTCTGGACCGCCGAGTGCGCCGACGCCGAGCCACTCAGCACACAGCCTAGACCTGTCGTGCATCAGGAGGCGCGGACGTGGCTGAATGCATGCAAATCTGATCTCCTCTAGTCAAGTCGCGGGTGGACGTGCTGGGTGGAGGTGGAGGCCAGGGTGACAGTCCAAGTTCGCCGTTTTCACCGAAGAGCTTCATGACGCAGGCATTTGCCGCTCAGTACCGGAGCTCGTGATGAAGGACAGCTCCCCGGCCAGGCCCGGTTTAAATATCGAGGCGGTTCTCGTGACTTGGTTCCTCTTGCAACACCAGACTTTACACAGCGCGCGCCTGACTAATCCTGTCCTCGCTGTTTATACTCATACACCATACTTCCGCTCAGATAGTGGATTCAGCTGCTCAACAGGCAGCGGCAACCCACAGAACCTCGGCAACAGATCGACACTTCCCGAGCACACGTTCGTCATGCCCGCCCGCTTCACGCGCGAGAACGAGGTTGTCTACTGCGGCGACACACGCTACCCCGGTCCGGCTTACTACCCCGCCCCGCCCGAGATCACGGGCACGCCATCGCAGGCCGAGCTCGATGCGCACCCGAGGTTGTTCACGTGGGGCGAGCTGAAGGAAATCATCCGTGAGTAGACTCGGAGGAGCGCGGCGACGAAGGCAATCAGTGAGCCATGGGGGACTTCTCCAGGGGTTAGAGGTGTTGGGGAATTATGTACAGTCCCAACGAGGCCAGCACGAGGTCGTCGGCGCCGAGATCTGAGACAGAGGGAGTGGCGCAGGCTTGCTCCGCACAGTCTTCCCCGCGGGGCTCTCATGTGGCATCCTGCACCACTTGGTGCGGGCTCGCTGTTTCCATGTCTCCCGAAACTCGCTCCCCAGTGTCCTCGGAACGCTCGCCGTGCTAGTGCTGACAGCAGACACCTCGACCCTCGGCCGCCTCTCGCGCAACAAGGAGCTGCAGGCGCGGTACGAGTCCTGGATGCGGGGCCAGAAGGAGCGCTGGGGCGGCACAGAGAAGTACCTGATGCACGCGCGTCTCCCGTGGGCGGACGAGTTCAAGGCTGCGTCGGCCTCCGAGGCCGGTGGTGATGACAAGGCAACTCCCTCCGCCTCTGGCCTGATCACGCCAGCAAGCGAACCGACCTATGACCAGCACACGGCCCTGTCACACCCCGAAATCGACCTGACGCCATCGACGAATCCAGACTCGAAGCCGCAGCCAAGTTCGAAACCGAAACCGTCCCGTCTCTCGCTCGGTCGCTCTGGAGCGGCAGTGGCGGCGCAGCACGCGCTCAGTCCCAAGCACGCGCGCTTCCCCAGCGGCTCCGGCGGCACGCCGGGATACTCCCACCAGGCCACGGCGAGCGAGACGGCCACGCCTGGCTCTGGTGCGAGCACGCCGAGTTCGGTAGCGTACGTCCCAATCGACGAGGCGCTGGAACGCGTCTCGCGCCGCCTGAGGCGGAAGGCGGGCTCGAAGGCGGGGTCGGTGCGCTCATATGCGTCCGACGACGAGTCGGCGCGCACCTCGCCAATGCACTCGACGCGGGTATCTGCCGAACTCACGCGGCCGAGCGTCTCGCCTCCCCGTCAAGCGGGTCATTCTCCCGAACGCACCGACGGGGCTGACGGTGTCGATGGAGTGAGGGAGGAGGACGCTGGCCCCGACGGCAACTACGGCCTGAAGGACGACGAGCTCGAACACGACGTGTACCTGACCTACGACCCCCGCCGCGGCCTCGACCACAGCAAGTACGCAGTCCTGCCAAACGACTGGCCGTACTGCGTGCCCTATGGCGTGCGCCACTTCTGTGTCTGGTCGCGTGTACCCATCGCCCACCCCGAGCTGGTGGGGTATGACCGTGCAGCCTGGCAGCATATCGAGACAGAGGGGTTGGCGGGGTTCACGGGCGTGATCCCCAGTTTCACGGACCGGAGCGATGGCGCCCCTCCGGGGACACCGACGAATGACGGCCCCGGACGGTCGGGGCCGGCCGACCCGCACAGCGAGGGGGGATGGTACGCCGTCGACCTCGCTTACGGGGGACGGGAAATGAAGCGCTGGGCAGGCGTGCAGTTCGAAACCCCCGGAGGGCAGAAGGTCGGCGAGATGGTCAGAGGACTGTGGGACGAGCGGGGGTGGGAGACGATCTGGTTCGTGAACCCTGCGCGGCTGCAGAGTGTGCCGGGGCTGGCGCACTTCCACGTCTTTGCACGCAGGAAGACGCCGGAGGAGATCGAGGTCAGCGAGCGCGTGTTCGCTGGTCCCGGGGAGATTACGCGGGACATGGTCAACCTCACTGTGGATGGGCAGGATGTGAATGGTGACGAGAAGGCCGAGAACAGGCGCATGAGGAGCTTTGCCGAGCCGGCACCCTCGCCCGCGCTCGACGACACCGAGGCCGCCAAGCCGCTGACTGTGACTGCTTAGCTCTGCTTGTATCCCAATGCTCGGGGTTAGATAGAATATGATACATAATGCTACAACAACTACCACATGACATTGCCGAGCACGGCAGCGAGGCTGCTCGGCGTCGGCGGCTCGCTCCGTCTCTTGTCCCCCTTCTCCTCCCCTTCCTTGCCCTCGCCTCTTCCTTCCTTCAAGCCCTCAGCACTCAGCGAACTCACACTCGTCGCCGAGGTCTGGCTCACGCTCCGACTCATGCCCTGTGCCGAGAGATTTTGGGAACTCGCGCTAGAGATGGCGGAGTTGCGGCTCGCCGTGCGCGAGAGCCCGATCTCGCTCCCGGAGGATCCAGAGAGGGACACTTTCGGGTTGGGACTGGGCGAGAGCGGGGTCAGCGAGGCACGCTTCAGGCGCACGTCTTTCGGACGGCTGGGCGGGGCGGCGTCGGGCAGCAGAGAGGGGAGGGAGGGAAGCATCGACTTGATGCCCGTTCTGATGTTAGCTTCAAGCGGAGGCTCACAGCTCTCGTCCGCCAGGCGCACCAGGCGGACGTGGTGCATTGAGCGGGAGAAGCCTACTCACAGACCAATGTGGCTCTCTGGCCGCTGCGACTTGCCAGTGTTGCCCTGCGGCGACGCCGTGACGCTCTTCATGAGCTGGCCCCAGAAGCGCTTGCCCTCCTGAATCGTCTCCTCCGCGTCCTGCGCCATCGCGGACCAGAGCGCGCCGACGCCGATCGTGTCCTGCGCTGGATTGCTGCTGCCCAGCGACTCCTTGAGTGTGGCCAGCGGGCCCTCCTTAGCTTCCGCCTTTGCTTTGTCGGGGGACCGGCCCTCGCCTGACGTGCGCGGAGCAGTCAAGGGGCGGGAGGAGGGGGTGGTGTTGGAGCTGGGGCTGAGGGCGCGGAGAGGCGCGAGGGGTTCGGAGATCGAGGGCGTGCGCGGCTTCAGACGGCGAGGCGGCGTCTCGTGCTCGGCCGCGACGGCGGAGGAGAATTGCCGACGCAGCGTTGCTAATGACTTTTCCTCGGCCGTTAAGGCTGACCTGAGCTCGGCGACACGGCGCTCGCTCGCCGCAATAGCATGCAGGAGTTCCGCATGTCTGTATCGTCAGTTCTACCACACTTTGCCAACTCACCGCTCCGCCAATGTCAGCGGCGCTGACCCATTCGGCGTCCCGGGTCCTGGCGCCGGTTCGCCCTCGAGCAGAATACCAAGGGACGACCGCCGATCCGCCCTCTCGAGCGAATTGCGCTCCAGCCGCTCCAGACTGCTCCGAGCAGCCGCCGTGGGCGAGAAAGAGTTGGACGGCGAGTACGAGATACTGCTGCGCTTGTTCTGGTGTCGGTTCAGCCGGGGCGTGATCTGTTCCAGGGGGCTGGGGCCGTTCGGCGGCGTCGGCATCGAGTCGCTGCTGCCCCTGGAGCTCTCGCTGGAGAGCGAGTTGTTCGCGCGGTGTACTGGTGTCGTCGCCGTGGTCGTGTCAATGCCCAGGCCGATTGGCGTTGATGATGGCCCGTTCGCCGCAGCGCCCGGCATGCCTGATGAGCCCGCCGCAGCTGTTCCATTGCTGCCGTTGGACGGGTTCGAGAGTGCCGAGTGTCGTGGCGCGGACGCGGTGTAGGTGCTGGCACCCGCCCCGCTCGAGACATAGCTCAGGCGAGAGCGCGGGCTCGTTAAGTCCAGAGAGTCGCCCCTCCCACTGCCCAGGCTACTCGACGAACTCGAAGACACCAAGTCGCTGTATATGCCGTTGTTACCGTACATGCTCATTGGGCGGCGGGCCCTCGTCGGTGTCGTCTGCCCCTCGAAGCTGGCCGACGTCGGGCTGTGTCGTGCGACGAGGCTTAGCCTCTTGAGCTTGCTCCCGCCTGCGCTGTTCGCGGGGGTGGACTCGGCCATGGCTGCGCTGATCGGGTGTGTTCGCTAGCCGTTGGTCGAGAGGGGAGAAGCCGATACAGGGAACTGCTGAGAGCTGAGAGAGATCGTAAAGGAGTGTGGTCAATGTCGGTAATGGAGTTGCTGGCGATATGATGAATGCGGGGACAGGTCAGCCAGCTTGATGAGCGCCAGCGATGGGCTGCCAATGCGCATTGCGGACGACTTTGGCGCAGTCAGCCGCGCCCTGTCCCTGCATTCACTGCGCGGCGCGACGCGATGGACGGGCCCACGCGTAGAACTCGTAGGCTCTAGCCGGCCCGCGGCCAAGGCTCAGGGCGCCGATCGCCCCTGAACCTCGTTCCAGCACCTGTCCACTTCGGTCAATCCCTCGCTCACAGTTAATCTGGCTTTCGTAACGTTCATGCATAACTAAGACACCATCCGGCATAAGGCTATGGAGTACTATGAATTTTGTCCGGAAGTTCATGACGTTCGTCCGAGGTATGTGTGTCCGTGGCTTACGGCTGCACTATACGCTGTAGCGCGGCAGTTGGGCTCGCCTACTCCTTCTTGAACACCTTGACGATCTCCGCCTCACCCTCAGCAGCGCCGTTCCAAAACCCGTGCCCCGCGAGCGGGTCCGGGCCTGCCGAGTTGTCGAGCTTGGCGAGCACCTGCTGGGTCCTATCTGCGTTGAGGGTGCCGGCGCCATCAACAATACGCTGCTCCTTGCTTCCGCGCCAGAAGAGCTTCTCACAAATGCTCGTGACGAGCGAGTTCAAGACGAACCACGCGTGGCTGGCCGCGAGAGCAACGAGAGCGACACGCACAAGCGTGCCCCAGATAGTGCTGTAGGACGGCAAGGCATCGAAGGACGCAAGGTACTTGGCCGTGGTCGAGACGACGCGGTCAGCCGAGGGACGGAAAAGGTAAATAAGAGTGGCAGAGGTCCACGCGCCAAGCCAGCTAATAATGCTCAGCGTGTCGAGCCAGGTGCCGATCGACTCAACGCGAGGACCGACAGGGCGACGAACGTGCTGGCAAATCTTGAGAGCGTCGGAACGCAGTTCGAAGTAGTTGTTGATGAGAGCGAAAACGGGCGCAAGAGGCCAGACGATAGCCCAGATGACAACGTAGCCGAACTGAGTGACCATCTCGGCGTAGTCGGTGAAGATGTTGTACTCGGGCAGCTCGAGCTCAGCGGCGACTTTGTCCAGGAACTTGTCCTCGGTGCTCTCGGTCGCCTCGCGCTTCTTCTCCTCCTTGCCGTTGAACATGCCCTTGACGCTCTTGTTGCCGCTGCGCAGGTCGTTAACCCAACGCAAGATGAAGGGGAGGCCGACCTCGAGGAAAGTGTTGATGACCTGGTTCGTGACAGTGTAGGCGAACACCTGCGACTTAAGGCGCGAAGCGTTGATCTTGTCGCGGTGCGCGCCGGGGTGGTTGCGGGTACGGATCGAGGTGTTCACGCCGTCGCTCTTGATCACGACCTCACCCTGGTCAGGCGACAGGATGTTGTGGATGTACGACATGAGGTACGGGCCGAACGGCAGGTACAGGTACGCGCTGAGGTAGAGACCGAGGAAGGCGACGGTCGCGTTGAGGGCGAAAGTCTTGGCAGTGAGACTGCGGCTGGCGCTGGTGTACGTCGGGTGGTTCTCCCAGCGTACGAGGCGGCGCGCGAGCGCCGTGAACAGGGCAACGACCTGGGGCACAACAAGGGAGAACAGCGCGGTGGGGAGCAGCGGCAAAACCTCCTTGCCAAAGCCATCCCAAAGGTGTCCAACGAACGCCTCGAGGAAGAAGATGGCCATGAGCACGCAGCCGAGCAGCAGACCGCAACCCATGATGATCGGGACAGACAGGACAATCTTGCCGTCGCGGCGCACGTCGGCACGGCGGTGGGACTCGGTCGTCGTCGTGAGGTGGTGCGATAAGACGTACTGCGGGCGCATCAGGCCAATAACCTGCTCAACGCCACGGAGGCCCCAGCGCACAGCGAGCTTGCGCTCACGAATACGCCAGCAGGCAACAAACGTCGTCGAGTAGAGAGCGAGAGCAAAGGCGTACGCGGGCGGATACGAGTCGGCGGGAGCAAAGAGCCAGAATAGCAGCGAGATGGCGGCGATCGGAACGAGCGACAGCGTGTAGAACACGAGGTAATTGAAGTACAGGCGCACCGCGGGGGGTTGGTCGCGGCTCAGAGCCGCCTCGTCCTCGCGGCTGAGGCCCTGGAGCAGACCAGTCTTCCAGTCGGCAACAGCCCATCGTTCAACCCAAGCCTTGTCGCGCTCGTCGTCGTGAAGAGCCGCGATACTCTTGACGCGGGCCCAGTCGCCTTCTCCGGGCGTAATGCCGAGACCGTGCTGGAGCTTCGAAGCCGTCAGCAAGTCGTAGAGCAGACGGATGCGGTCCGACGGGAAGTTCGGGTTCGATTCCGCAGTTCTAAGACCGTGCGACTCGTCCACAACACTGCATGTCAGCTATCGCCTGAGAGAACTGTAGCCACGTACTGCTCCCGCTCGATGAGCTCCTTCACCTTGCCATCCGACGCGCCAACGAAAACCCAAACCTCCTCCTGCCCTTTGCCCTTGCCCTTGGCAGGTCGCGAGGCGATGCGAAGTCCGGCACTCTGCAGGGCGTCGGTGAGACGGCGGTAACCACGCTCGATCTCAGCCTCATCGCCCTTCTCGCCCGAAATGTCGTAGGGAATGACAAGGTCGACGCCGAACGGGTTCGAGCCGGCCGACACGACGCCGCCAGAGCCGTGCGTCGTGACCGGGGCGCTGGCCGCGGTTCCGGAAGCGTGCGCGGGAACGCCCTCGTTGCGCTCCAGGCCGCCGGGAATGCCGAAGGTCTCGGTGCTCGCCGAGGCAGGCGAGTTGGAGCCATATGCGCGGCCTCCGAACGCCGAGCCGTAGTCCTGCTGACCGGCCGAGTTGTTCCTGCTGTGCGACTCGACAGCACCAATGCTACTGGTGCGCGTTCCCGGCTGGATCGAGCCATCCCTCAAGACCTCCTGGTCCTGCTGCTGGTACGGGTGGCCTTGGTACGAGTGGCGTGTCGAGTCGACTGGCTGGCCTTGGGGAGGAGGCACACCGTGGCCGACAGTCCGCCTGTCGCCGGGAAGGCCGCTGATGCCTCCCACGGCACCGCCGACCGCGCCGCCAGCAAGCGCGCCGCTAGCGACACCGCCACTACCACCCGCCCATGGAGCTGAAGCTAAGCCGCTGTTCATGCTCGACATGGATGCACTGGGGCTAATGCTGGCATCCCTTCCTCCGCGGGCTGGGGTCGACTGGGCCGAGTGAGCGTAGGCGTCGGGCGGGCCGGGGCGCGTCGGCGAGGAAGGTGTAATCTTCGTCCCGGGGACCTCAGAGTGGAGTCTGGAGTCCATTGTTGGGACGGTTGGTTGGTGTGGTGTGACAGACAGAGAAAGAGAAGAAAAAGGAGGTGATAAGTTCGGAGGGAAGGAAGGGATCGAGAAAGGTGCAGAGGTGGTAAGGTTTGATGCTGCGGTGGGTGTTGCAGAAGGTACCTTGCAAGTGACGCGTGATCGGGGGACTGGGAGAGGAAGGAGAGACTGGGAGGGAGAATCCGAAGTCGAGTGACGCAATTAATCCACCCCGCCCGCGCACTGCACCCTGACACGTCCATGCCTCCCAGACCTCCCAACACCAGCCAGCCTCGAACGCCCCCTCGCCCGCGCGCCGCAAACGGCTGGAAGTCCCACTCCTCATCCTCCAGGCGGCCAGGCGGGCCAGGCCAGGCAGCCTAGGCGGCCCAGCCCCGCAGCACACAGACTGTGCAACTGTGCACCGCGAACCAGCGATCAGCGATCGCCACGGACGCAAAATCACACACAAACCTTGAGCCTTAGTGGGTCCTTCCTCCTCCCCTTGCGCGTAGGTATGGACGTCGTTCCTGTCTCGCTGCTCTGGCACAACGGATCACGACGCGTCACAAACAGCTCATGTCCCACCGCTCCATCGCCATCAAAGATCTCCGTCACAAGCGAGATCCCACATCTCATCCATCTTCGTGTCCGTCGTCTCATCCTCGCAATTGCGTGGCACCGCTTTGGATACTGCCAGCATTGCCGGGTATATGCATGATACATCTATGAGTCCACATGCTATCTGCTCAACACTCAACCTTCCTACGCTGTCGCTTCCCACTCAAACTCTAACCTTGGTTGAACCTGATCACCATCACACTCAGGTTGTCAGTCGAGTAGTTGCTCAGCGCATGGTCCAGCAGCTTCTTCGATGCCTCCTGCGGATCCGGCTCGTTCCGGATGAGATCGACCGCGTCCTGGTCCTCGCACACATCCCACAGCTGCAACGTCAGTTCGCTGTTCGTTGTAGCTCAACTCACCCCGTCACAAGCAATGATCAAGAACTCATCTTCCTTCTCCAGCCGCGTCTCGGTCGTGTACGGGGATCCGACGACGAAGTCCTTCATCGAGGCGTCGCCAAGAGATCGCGTGACCGCGAGTACACCGTTCACGCGGTGGTTCATGACGAAGCCACCGGCATCCGTGATGCGCTTGGCTTCTTGGCTGTCACTTCCCTTGTGGTCATAAGTCAGACGAACGGCCTTGCCACCACGGGACAGAACGGCACGGGCATCGCCAACGTTGGCCGTGTACAGCATCCTCCTAATGCCGCTGTCGCACTGAGGGCTCAGAGTCTCAATGTTAGCACCGTCAGACGCAGAATCGTCGTCGATGGCACTGTCGTCCTTAACGTGACCAGTCAGACCACGTACGAAGTCCCGAATTCTTCGTCCCGACATCTTGCGCCTGAGGCTCCCCTCCTGCGCGGCAGCGCCGCCAACGACTCCTGCCGATCCACCGCCCATCGATCCACGGCGCTCCATCTGGCCGCTCGTCTGCGCCTCCAATTCCTCCTCGTTCTTGCCCTCCATCAAACCTCGCGACGTCAGTGCGGGGTTGATGAACCCGCACGGGCCATCCTCGTTCTTTTCGACGCGAAGGAACGCAGTGACGGCAGTGCAACCAGAGTGGACCTTGGTCTTGTACGCAAGGGCCGAGATACGGCTGTCCACGGCGTGGTACGTCTTGTTGAGCACGTCGGGGATTGATTCGTTGGGGTAGTCGACAAGCGCGTCGAGCAGATATTCGTGGAAGTTCTGACCACACCACTCCGCAGCCTGCTTGCCGGCGTGTCCGCTGAGACTGTTAGTGTTTCATGTCAAGGTTGTGGGGCAGGACCTACTCGAACACGGCGAAGTACCCCTGTCCACGGACGCCAGCATAGTCGTAGACGAAGCTGTGCGCGTCCTCCATGACTCTCCGGCAGCGCTTATTCCTGTCCTCGCTGACGCCGACGCGGAAGCTGAAGTTCGAGTTGTCCGTGTCCGCACCTTGCGACGACGCGGCAGCCGTGGCAGCAGGGTGGCGGTTAAGGGCCTGCATGGTCAGTTCAGGCTGCAGCAACAACGCTGGTGGTAACGCACTCCGTAGGTCTCAGGCCCATCGGCCACAGTGATACTCTTACTGCGAGCATTGGGTGACTCGTCCACACCCATGGGCAAGCGTTTCAGCATGCTGGGATGCTCCGAGATGGGAGAGTCCTCCGAAGATGAAATCGATGACGGCGTCATTGTCTGGGGCGGGGAAGCGAGTTGCCTGTTGACCCAAACACGGAACCGAGACACCGTCAACATGGTGGAAGGATGGTAAGAGATGGGTTGAGCAATAAGCGATGATGCCGGGTTCGCGAGAGAAGATGTCAGCACTACAGACGCACACCAGATAGGGCCCAAGCGCAGGGGGCAATATGACGGAAACGCGGAAATGAAATAGATTACGAGGATCGACCCCGAGATTCCGGGCAAAGATCTTGATACGGTGCGCGTGTGCTAATTGTCGAGGTTGGGCAAGAACAAAGAGCCACAGAATCAAGGGGTGTCTTTTGACCAGTCGTGGTCGGCTCCACGTTCGAACGTCGGTTGCCGCACCGCTATGTACAACCCTTGCGCTGGTATAACAGATGGAACTTACGAAGCGGTGGTGGTGTTCGGGGCTGTGACTGAGTCAGCAAATAGGGTACTCGGAATGCCTGTGTGCGATAGAGGGCTCCTCGGCGATGAGCGCGTCCGGAGGCATGCGCAGACGCTTGTCCAACTAGCAGGCCGCACAATAGACTCACATTCGGGGGCCGTCTGAAGCTGGGCGAGAGTGGGATGGTCGGGGTGAGCGCGCGCGAGAGAGCTCTCGCCCGTCGATGTACTACTCGTGTCGGGCATAATGCTTCAGAGATGTGCAGAGCCGAAGACGGGTGCTGGATATGGCTGACGCGTTAGATCTGAAAGACGGGTAGTGGTATGTTTGTGCACGGTGGCGCGGGTTATACAAGGCCAAGAAAGCACAAGAGAGCGGCGAGATGAGAGTCCAGCCGGAGACAGTGTGGAGACAGAAGGACGGGATGCTTGGTGTTTGAAAGTGCGGGGAAGGTGGCCGGCTGTAGATGGGGGCTGGAGGCAGGGTGGGGGGAAACAGACACGAACACAAGCACAGATGCGTCGAAGATTGGGTTGATCCAAACGACGTCGGGGGCTGGTTGTCGGGTGTGTCGACTAGTTTTGACGGTGGATGCTTGTCGTTGGAGGATGTGGGTGGATGCAATGCGCGTTGTGTGCGGGAGAGATGGAGGGATGGATGTTTGAACGTCGAGAGGACGTCAAGCGGGATGGTGGTGGACGGCGGAGTGAGGGGGGAGGGTAAGGACGACAGGGAAGGCTCATGGCATGCATGCCAGGCCGCATTGTACCAGCGTACCAGCATATGGAGTATGGCGTACCTAGCGACTTAGCGTGTCTGGCTCTGGCTATGGCGTGCGGCGTGCGGCGCGCTTGGGCTGCGCGCTGACGACTATGGCGCCTAAGGCCGGACTGGACCAGGGACCGCAGTGTTACACCCCCTGCGTCATCAATTGGCACCACCCCCCCTTGCCCCCCAGTGTCCAGTGGTGTGCCCCGCTTCCACAGCTTCCAGCGAACATGGCTCCGTCTCCATGTCATCCTCAGCGTGCTTGTGGTCGCCTGCGTCGCTGCGTCGTCGTTGACATATCGCTCCCTGCTTCGGCAGTCTCCAGACAGCAGCCCCTCCAATCACTGCAGGCGGAAGCAGTCAACAACGCGACACGCCCACAAACCCTGGTGCTGCGTACGCCCAATAGCCCGGCTAGCGGATGTAGAGCTCTCTCCTCCCTCCTTGCCGGGTTTCGGTAGCCGACACGTGGGTCTCGGCACTGACACACTCGTACTCTGAAAATGAAACAGAATTAACAGAAGCATCCCTCGCATCGTACTGCTGCGCTCAGCAGGCCAGCAGGTAGCCTGAGAGTCTGATCGCATGCGATGATAAGGCCATTGCAACTTGCACCTACGCCGTGATCGCCGTGATTGATCACAATCAATGCGATATCACAGCATAAACCGCTCTAGCCGCTCTTGCGTCCATCGGAGTCAGCCTGGGCTACTTCATGATCGATGCTCTGGACGCAGGAGAAGCTGGGAAGGCGTTCCGCGGTAGAATGTCGGGGTATCAAACAGTCAAAGCATTGATTGACACCAAGTGGATGGAGAACACTGCACAGCTGTACAGTTGAGAATTAAAGCATAATTCGGGACTCGCCACCGTAGCAGCAACGATCCTGGCATTAGACAATTGGACACCTACCGCGTAAAGTTGACTGGACTTCCCAACTGTCGGTCGGTGATTGGTCATGAGCAAGTCGACTTTAGATGCCGAGATCAAGCGGTGAAGGCCGATAAGAGTAGTCCATCGCAACCTCAACTTCACGGAGTATCACAGCAGAGGGAATGTCGTTGTTTGTAGCTGCTGCTGAGTTGTCGGAGCTCTGATCTACAGAATCGGTCTGCAACGATAACTGCGGTGGCAAAGAAAGAACGGCTGGCTGAAGAAGAGGGCAGAGGAAAGGCTGGAGAAACCGGAGTGGTAAAAGTCGACTGCTTACTAAGCAAGCTTCTCCTGCCATGAATCAAAGTCTGGGATGGGAAGATTTTTCGTCTGTAACGTCTGTGATAACTCTGCGTCTGGCTGACATGCATGTGGGGAGCTCATGTTTCTGAGCTCCGAGAGAAGATCTCTGCCATTTGCGACCAGTGCCAGACTGTTCCAGTAGGCACGCTGCTGCGAATCACGTGCAGGCGGGCCTAACCGTTCGGATCCGAGACTGCAGAACTTGCGTCCATCTCTCTCGATGTCATGACTCCGCATCTCCTTCCTCCGATCGACAATAACATCGACTCATCCCCCAATCCTACCACCCGTATAAAACTCGACTCTCGGGCGTAGGAACCATCACTCAACCACAACCTCTACCCCCGCCACTCCCTTCAACAATCATAGCAACCGCAACTCAGATACCCAGCCCACCGATACCCCCTGGCGCAGCCAGCATGGCCGCCACCGACCTCCCTCAACCGGGAGACGGAGCCTATCTCGCCCGCACTCCCCAGCCAGGAGACGGTGCTTACCTTATGAGCTCTTCCGGTGGTGCAAATGGTACCAGCGCTGGCCCTCGCCGTCAAGGCGACCGCCGCCGCAACAACGGTAATCGCAACGGGAAGCGAAACGGTGGTGGAGCATCCACCCCGACAGCATCGACCCCGACCGCTGATGCGAGCTCTATCTCTGGACCCTTGGAAAATTTGTCGATCAACGGCAACTCCTCTGCTGGGCCCAGCCAACAGACTGGGAACAAGCAGGGTCGCAACCGCCGCAACGGCGACGCCTCGCGCCGTCGCGATCCATCCAAGTCCAATGGCGACGGAACGGCGAGTGGCGCTCGCACCCCCAAGTTCCAGCCAAACCCATCGGCGCCTGCTTTCGAGCCCGGACAAGCCATTGACTTCTCGACGGTCATCCCGGCGCCGACTTCGAATGCCGGCCCGAGCCAGGAGCGTCGAAGGAACCGCAGCCGCAAGGCGAACAAGGATTCGTCCGCGCCGAAAGACCAGAAGCCAAAGGAGCCGAGGCGCACCGAGTCGCCGGCGCCCAAGGTATCGAGCCGAAGAGCCGCATTCGAAAAAGGAACGAAGCTCACGACCAACGAAAAGAAGGAGTCGCGCCCGCGGAAACAGCACAATGTTCAGCAGCAACCTAGCCTACCGGAAGCCGACGACCTGAATTCCCGTCTCACTCGTGGACTCGCCAAGAAGCCGTACATCGAGTGCCCAATTGTAAGTCATTGACCTATGGAACCATAGCTAACGCCCAGTGTTTCAACGCCATTCACCCCCACCAACAGACGTGGTCGTGTCTTCCCCCGCCGGGCACCCCGGTGTATCCCAAGTCGATGGAGGAGGACGAGCGACCGGCCTTTGCAGCTTCTTGGTACACTGCCTGTTACACTCCGTTCCACATTTCCTGTATCCGGGACTGGGCTTCGCGGTCTCTCCACGACGACGCTGAGCGCCTTCGCGTGACGGAGAACACGACCGACGAACCGAGCTGGCGCTGCCCTGGCTGCCAGAAGCATCGCACGAACAAGATCGGCGGCTATCGCTGTTTCTGCGGTCGCTTATCGAATCCTGCCACGAACCACTCAGCTCCTCACTCCTGCGGTGACGCCTGCTCCCGACACAGGCCCCACTGTGACCACCCTTGCCCTCTGAACTGTCACCCAGGCCCCTGCCCGCCCTGTCAAGTTGCCTTAGTCGTCCAGTGTCCCAGCCACGGCTCGGCTTTGACTGTCAAGTGCTCGGCGACTCACGCGAACAATGCTGCTTTGACTCCTGTCTGCGACGAGCCGTGCACGAAGAAGCGCAACTGTGGCAAGCACGAGTGTGATCAGCTGTGTCACTTCGGTCCGTGCCCGCCCTGTGACGAGGTCGAGACCGTGCGCTGCTATTGTGGTGAGGACGAGAAGGTCGTCCCTTGCGGCTGGAATCTGCAGGATGAGAAACTGTGTGCGACGAAGGATGAGCAATGGGTTGGCAGATTCGCCTGTGAGCGCACGTGCGGCAAGATGTACGAGTGCGGTGTACACTCGTGTACCGAGGGCTGCCACCCGCACTCTGTTTCGCCAACGCCGTGTCCCACTTCTCCCGTCGTCATCACGCGATGCCCCTGCGGTGCGACCCCGCTCTCCGAGCTTCCAGGGTATCCGCGTCCGGACTGCCAGGCGCCGATCCCAACATGTGGGCAATCGTGCCCGAAGACCCGCCCGTGTGGTCACGAATGCCCGCTCCGTTGTCACACTGGCCCCTGTCCTCCCTGTCATCAGACAGTGACGCGTCCCTGCCGCTGTGGTGAGTCCATGCTGGAGCTCGACTGCGACCAGGTGCGCGAGCGTGTCGAGGCTGGGGACACCGAATTCCTCTGTGACCGTGTCTGCCACGCCCTCAGGAACTGTGGTCGCCACGAGTGCCGCCGCGTTTGTTGCCCCTTGTCGTGGAAGGCGAAGCGCAAGGGACGCCGTCACCTCACCGACCTCTCCGATCTCGACATCGAGGGCGACAGCGATCTGCACGAGTGTCCCCTCGTCTGCGGCAAGCTCCTCAGCTGCGGTCTGCACACCTGTGAGCGACCCGACCATAAAGGAGCGTGCGGACGATGCCTGCAAGCATCCTACGACGAGCTCATCTGCAACTGCGGCAACACTGTCATCTACCCTCCCGTTCCCTGCGGAACGAAGATGAACTGCCTATTCCCATGCGCCCGCCCCGACCCGCCATGTGGACACCCCAAGACACCCCACAACTGTCACGAAGCGCCCGACTGCCCGCCATGCCCCTTCCTTACGACCAAGCCGTGCGCATGTGGCAAGGACCCGGCAGTTAAGAACGTACGCTGCTCGGCGTCGACGGACCGTGTCTCCTGTGGACAGGTCTGCGGCAAGCTTCTCGGGTGCGGCTATCACCGCTGCGAGAAGACGTGCCATCCCGGCGAGTGCGAGGCGTGCACGCAGACGTGCTCCAAGCCTAAGCGCATCTGCAAGCACCCCTGCACTGCTCCCTGCCATGCGCCGGCCAAGTGTCCCGAGAACGAGCCCTGCACGGCCGTTATCAACCAGAGCTGCTCGTGTGGCCACCTGCAAGTCCGTACAAGCTGCGGCGCGAGCACCTCGAACCCGACGAGCCGTGAAGCGACGCAGCTCAAGTGCAACTCGGAGTGTCTTGTGCGCCAGCGCAACGCCCGCCTCGCCGACGCACTCGGCATCAAGTCGCCCGTCGACCGGACACTGACCGAGTGGGCTCCTGAACTGAGGGCGTTCGCGCGCGGCAACCCGCAGTTCGTGAAGACTGTCGAGTCGACGTTCAAGGACTTTGTCAATGGACCCCGCCAGACGCTCGTCCTTCCTCACATGCCTCTCGCAAAGCGCACATTCGTCATGTCTATGGCGGATGTGTACCACCTTGGCCGCGAGCTCATCGATGCTGAGCCCAACCGCTCCGTCCAGATCAGGAGGCGTGTCGATACCCGGCTCCCCAACCCGCTGCTCAGCGCTGCTGCCCCGCCCATCGACAACAAGCTCGGTGGGCTCGGAAACCTCCGCGCTGCTCCGGCGACTACCAGTGCCTGGTCACCCAAGCCGTCCACGCCTGTCCTCGGCAGCGGATCGTCAAGCCGCGTTCCCTCCCGCGTTCCCTCTCCGCGATCCACGGCGCCTGCTGCGACACCGGCACCCGCCCCGACCCATTCGGCGCCCGTGCCCGCCCCCGCCCCTGCGGCTCCGAGCCCGCCTGCCGCAGCCTTTGACATCCCCGTCCTCTCGCCTGGCGAGGACGACTGGGACCGTGACTAGATAAATCATTCAATTTGCATAACAGTAGCACCAGAATCAAAATGCATGTTCAGACACTAAGTCATATGCGTTGCATCCCGAATTTAAACTAACATTTCCTCAGTCAGGAGCATAACCATGCAGTAGCAAAGAGTAACCCAAATACATCAGAATGTCTATGTACAGTCCCACTCTGGGGTCTAGTCGTCGTAACCTCCGCGCTCGTCCTCTCCCTCGCCACCCGAGTCATCGTCTCCTTCGCCGTTATCGAAGTAGTTCGCGTCGTAGTCCTGGTGGTCATCCTCCTCGTCGTCGTCAAAGTCAAAGTCGATCTCCTCGTCCTCTCCATCGTCGCTCTCTTCCTTTTTGTCCTTCGGCTCATCGTCATCCGAGTCGATGACGCGGCGCCGCTTCTTGCCCGCCGCCTTCTTGCGCTCAGCAGCAGCTTGCGGGTCAAAGTAATCCCCGTACAGCTGCGGCGGGAGCAGGTCTGCATTCAGGTGCAGCGCCTGCGCATCCAGCTGTGACGGGCCCGAGGAGGAGGCGCCTGTCTGCTTCCTGTATCGATCCGAGTAGGACTCGATTTCGACGCCGACCACCTTACGTTCGCTCGCTAGGCGCCACGGCGCGCCGCCCCGCCGTCCGCCACCCCGCCGCGGGCCCTCGGCCATGTCACGCAGCAGCTCGTTCGTGTGTTTCACGACCAGCGACTCAAATTCCGTCGGTCCCGGGAGTTCGGAAAACTTCTCGAGCGGCTGGATAGTCAGCTTCCTTCCGAGAAGGCATGCAGCTGATAAGCAGCCTGAACTTACAGGGTAGAGCATACCGGCGCCCTTGACTGGCTTCGAGAAAGACTCGAACAGCGCACGCGAGTCCTCCTTGCTCAGACCGGCGAAGGCGGCGTTGAACGAGTCGCGGACTGCGTTCGAGCCGCCGCGCCCGCGTCCACGTCCTCGAGACATCCTTTGGGTTCGTTAGGAGATTGGGATCGGCGAGAGGAGGTGTAAGTCAAAGAGCCGAGGCGAGCCCACGAGGATAGGAAAGGTGAGAGAAGCAATAGGTAGAATCACACCAGCAGCCAGCACTTGGTCTTTGCCGGTGGTGATTTGTATGTAGAGTAAGGAAGGTTGAAGGTGGATGCACTCGATCTGTTGTTGCGTCTGAGAACCGTCCCAGTTGAGCGCAGGAGGGAGCCCAAAATCCATCTCCGCACCCTGGAGCAACCGGCCTCCACTTTTCGCATGGTTTTCGCGCGGCTTGCACGTGCCCCGAAAAGTCAATGTCAGCGCGTCGTTTCTGGCCGACGTGTCATGTCATCGGCGACAGCGAACGCGACGCTGTCATCACCCTCCGTCTCGCCACGCACTCGACCACCTCGGACCATCTCAGCGGCTGACGAGAACTGACTCTTCGTCTTTCGTTCTCTCGTCTTTGTGTCTTTTGCCCCTCTTTCACCGACTTCACCGCCTGCCACGATTCAGATTTGGCGGTTCGAGCCAAAAATCACAACAACAAATCCTCCCCGGTGGCAACAATTGTTACGATGTGGGGAAGAGTCGTCCTGCTCCTCTTCCTCCTTGTGGGGGTGCTTGCCGCCGACTACTACAGCGTTCTCGGACGTGAGTAAACAGCTTCCCATCTTGATTCATAGCTGACGTTCAGTGGACCGGAGCGCAAGCGAGGGAGATATCAAGAAGGCGTATAGGGTGAGCCGTCGGAATGTCATTCCAGCTGACAGACAGAAATTGTCGAAGAAGTACCACCCCGACCTGAACCCGGAGAAGGAGGCTCATGACAAGTTTATCGAGCTGTCGCGAGGTGAGTCCAGCTAAGCGGGCCTCGCCAAGAGCTAACGAACAGCGTACGAGGTCCTTTCCGATGATGAGGTTAGTCACCCTGCCCATCTGCTATTTTGCTGCACAGTGAGCAAACTAAGCTGACCCACAGTTGCGGAGAATCTACAACCGAGGAGGCGAACCGGCGCTGAAGCGACACGAGGAGCAGAAGAACGCTCCGGATCCGTTCGCGCAGTTCTTCGGCGGTGGCCGTCAGGAGCCGCCACGGACGCCGACGGTGTTCGCCAATCTCAAGGTCCCGCTTGCCCAGATGTACAACGGCCACACCGCCGAGTTCAACATGCCCCGCAAGATTGTATGCCCGCACTGCGCCGGTGGCGGCGCCGACTCGCCCAAGCACATCGCCAAGTGCGGAACGTGTGACGGCCAGGGCGTCGTTGTCCAGAAGCACCAGGTTTTCCCCGGCATGTTCACGAACGTCCAGATGCAGTGAGTACTGGAGTTTGAACCTCGAAAAGGCGAAGTCTGAACCGGGAAAGCAATAGCTCCACGTGCTTGGGATGAGCTAACAAACAGCTGCCCGCATTGCGCCGGCAAGGGTCAGAAGATCACGAAGCTGTGCCACCAGTGCAATGGCGACCGTGTTGTTCAGCGTGATCATACGCTGGCGGTGCACATTCCTGCTGGCGCGCCGGAAGGATACGAGGTCGTCTTCACGGGAGAAGCCGACGAGAGTCCTGACATGGACCCCGGAGATGTCATCGTTCGTGTCCGCTCCGACCCCAAGTCTGGTCAGGGCTGGACGCGGAAGGAGGGCGGCCTCATCGGACGGGTGACGCTGAGCGTGGCGGAGGTGAGTATCGGACAGCTGGCTGGCTTTCGTCTTCAGCTGACAGACAGGCGCTGCTTGGATTCGAGCGCAATGTTACGACACTGGACGACCGGATTATCACGATTTCGCGCGATGGTACGACGCAGCCGAACGAGGTCGAGGTCATCGAGGGCGAGGGAATGCCATCGTTCCACGATGTGCCGCAGGGCGACATGTTCATCGAGTACAGTGTCGTCATGCCCGCCGCGGTCTCGGATGCGACGCGGCGGAAGCTCGTGGACGCCTTTGGGCCGCACGCTTCGCTCCGCGACGAGCTATAGATGTTAGACTACTACATATGCATGCATGGGATATCAGAGTTATCCTTCCTTCTGCGGGCCACAGATCAGAGTATGGTGCGGAAGCAAATTGTTTTGGTCGCCACCCGCAATGTTCACCACCAACTGGCGTCATGGATAGTTGCCGATCACAACATCCACGACGCAACATGCTGGGAGGACTCGCCGACTACGGATCCGACTCGGGCTCTGACTCCGAGACCGAGCAGGTCCAGGCGCCCAAGCTCGCCTCCAGACCTGCTCCCGCCGCGGCAGAGCCACCGAAGAAGAAGCGCAAGGGGCCGCTGAAGATTGGGCTTGATCTGCCGAAGCCGACGGACGAGCCGGACGAGAAGGATGAGGACAAGGGCCCGGCACCGAAGCCGAAGAAGGCCGTTGGAGCGGGATCGTGAGTTTCGCTGGGTGCTCTCCCTAACTGACAACAGCTCCGCGCTGCTCGGCATGCTGCCGCCGCCGAAGCGAAAGCTCCCCGTCTCAACTGCGGCAAGCAGGGGTTCGTCGTTGTCTGTGAACAAGAGCATGGCGGCAAAGCCGACCCCGGCAGACGACCTGAAGGCGAGCTTGGGTGCGGCGAAGGTGGACGAGGATGAGGGACCGTCGCTTGTTCCCGCTGCTGTGAAGCGGAAAGCGGCGAAGGAGGAGGAGCTGGACTTGTTCGGACTCTGTGAGTTGTGTTCGATCTTGGTAGAACTGACACACAGCCTCTGCTGCTGCGCCGAAGCCGAGCCTGCCGAAGACGACGACGCTGAAGCCGCCAAGTGTTACCTCCGCGCCGGCCGTTGCCGACTTTGTTCCGCCCGAGCCTACGGCAGCCGACCCGTATCCAGGCTACTACCAGCTTCCCTCTGGGCAGTGGGCGGCGTACGACCCCGCTTACTACGCTAAGTTCTTCCCGGCCACCGACTCGGCTACAGATGCGCTTCGATCAGAGCACCAGGCGAAGGAAGCGCGCCTCGGCAACTGGAAGGAGCTGGACGACGGGCGTGCGGCGATTACGGAGTTCGATGTCGGCGCGACGATCGCGAGAAGCCGCGAGGAGCAGGCCAAGGTCCCTCAAGCTGCCAAACCAACGTACACCGAGACGTACAATGCGACGGGACAACACAAGGGTCTCGCGAACGAGCGACACCAGCTTACATCCCTTCTCCACAGCGCGTTCTCGCAGAGGGAGGAGCTCGAGGAGCGCATCAGGCAGAACAAGAAGTCGAAGCAGAACACCCAGAGGCAGTATGGTGAGTTTAGCTTCGGGTTGAGCGTAACTGACGGTCACAGGATTTTAGACAGTGCAGTTCAGACAATAGTGTATCATCATTCATTCAAGTCATTTCTATTCATGTACGAGGTCGTCGTCGTCGGTCAATGCGTGAGATGGGCGTGTTGCGTGCAGGCGTGTCGTGGGCGTAACTACAAAGGTGGTACAGTATTGACAGAGGGAATAACGGCAGAAGCTGCCATCAAGGCTGGGCAAGCCGCGCGAGGTTGAGTAAGAGGTATAAGGGGTCCGACGAAAGCGCGGAAGATTACAATAAGTGCGGTATTGAACTGAACATACAAGTCTAACGAGGTCGGTGCGACAACGGGTTCGACGTGGGACGACGTGGACAGTGACAGGTGAAACAAACAACAGGCAATGGCCACGGCCACGGGTATACCACAGTTGATGTGGGCGGTCGCAAGGTCAAGCACGGGGACCGCTCCCGGTAAGCTTGGTTCGTGCTGGGTTCCATTCGATCCGTCTGCCGAGACTGATGGAAGCCTGCGAGGGGCCAGATGAAGGCCAGCACGATGCAAGGGGGTTCAAGGCGGGTTTCAGCCTCAGAACAAAAGGAGGCATTCTTCGAGGGAGCGGAGGACGATCTGGGCCTCGGGTGCACCCATGTCGTTTGCTCCGCCTCGGAAGACGAGCCACCGGCTCACAAACGCATGGATGCATGCGCCTTCCTCTGGTGTGCTGGGTTGTCAGCGTCGTCACCTCGCGCCCGGCGCAACGTACAGAGAGTTGCCGCTCACGGAACGTCGCTTGACCATATTTGTCACCTTTTGCACGGAGCGCAGCCAGCCGCGCATGCCGGCTGGGTACGGCGCGGCATCGAGGAAGGGGATCGCCGACGCAAGGCTGCATGTTAGCTTCTGGGTATGGAAAGTCTCGGATCTGGGTGGGATGTGGGATCTGCTCGCACGCCTCCTACGAAGATAGACGCACGCCGCGACGCCTCGCGGGATCCGAGAAGCTGGTTCTGCTTCGGTCCGGTCGGAATGGCGCTCCCGCACCTCCGCGAAGCCGCGAAGCATCACTCCCCGCCACCCCGCAAGCCCTTGAGCAAGTCACCGCACACGGACAGTGGGGTGCAAGCCGGTGCCAAAGCATGCGGCAGGATAATGACGCAGTGATGGTAAATCACTCAGTCCATGCCCAAGAAGCTTGGGATCGAGTGCCTGGTGCGAGAGGCAGAGAGTTTTAGGGAGGAAGGAGGCTCAGCAGGTGACGCGCGCCGTGGCGCACGGACGCGGGAATGTGTCTCGTCCTGTCTCAGACAGGCTCATCATGTCTCATCCTGGAACGCAATATCGCGACAACAACAGCGCCTGCTGCTATTGCTGACGTTTGTGCGGAATGTACACGCAAGCAAACACCGCGTGCGGTGGGCGAAGTGCCACATGCTTGTGGATTGTGGCAGTATTCTCGGGCGAAACAAAGGATGAAGTTTCCGGATGGCTGGAGCACCCGAAGATTCTCGAGGCGGCCCGGAGGGTATGGGGCGGATGGAAGAAGACTTACTTGTCAAGACAGTCGAGGGATCGACCGATATCCTGCGCCTCGATGCAGGCTTCGAGCTCGGTCAGGGAGGCGTAGTGAAGCTGTGCAGCGTACTTGTGGTAACTCTCGGGCGAGTGACAGTGCGGGAACGGAACATCGGCGTAAGGTGAAGGAGGAGAGTAAGGTGAGTAGGGAGGTGTTATCGGGTTCAGAGCCGAGTGACTAGATAGCGAGGAATGGGAAGACTGCGAGGAGTAGGAGGAAGGGACCGAGTGCACGGAAGGGGCCGAGTGTGCACTTTGCGGAGAGCCTGCATACGGTGATGCGGGGGCGGGATACGCGTAGACATATGGCGAGGGATAGGCCGGTACACTTATCGGCGCAGAAACGGGCACTGGCATCGGCGCGGGAGAGAGGTGCACCGGCATGGGCGTGTAGTAGGGGTAGTACTCGTGCGCCATGGTTGTCATGGAAACCGAGGAGAACGTCGAAGAAAGGAGGTGGCGAGGAACGCGATGTCCGTGATGTCGACTGATGGGAACTGATGGGCCAAGGGCAGTGACGATCACTGATAGTCGCTGATGGAAAGTGTTGCTGATGTTCGATGAGGGCGATGCCAGGCGATGACAGCACGGAGATTTCCTAGTTTACTGGGTCGTTTGGAACGATCAGGAGTGACAATACTCGTGACAAACAATGATAGCGAAGACGAAGGTGAGCAATGATGATCACTGAAGGGTAGTGATCGAAGATATGAAGACTGATGAGCCGTGATGCCTATTGATGGCTAGTGATGAGAGGTGATGCCTATTGATGGCTAGTGATGAGAGGTGATGCGGGACTTGGAATGCTAGAGAGGAGGGGATGCCGTCCACAAAACAGTGCGTGAGCGATTATAACCACCACGCGCTTTACGACTTTGTTCTCGACCCGGTTCGATGGTGTGCGGAATGCAACCGGTCTGATGCGGGATCACTCGATCACTGGAACGGCGGGGATGGACAAGGACTGGCCAGCGTGGCGAGAAAACAGATTGGAGTTGATTGAGAGCACTCTCTATTGTCAGCTGCTGAAACGCCAGGCACCCTCACCAGCCTGCCTCGGCGGTCTTGAGCAGCTGACTGCCTGATGGTCAGTTGGACGAGCGGACGGACGAGGCCGCAGGGTGAGCACGAGTGCGTGAACGCTGACTGGGAAGATAGCGCGTGGTTGTGTTTCCGAAGAGATGAGAGATATCCTGGGTCTGGTGTCGATTCGAAATGTCTAAGACATTATGAAACGGCGCCGAAGGAGACCAGACTTTGCTGGTGGCTATTGTTCTCTCGATCTCTTCTCTTGTCGAGATTGTGGTTCTTCTGAGCCGAACCGGGTTCAAGTGTGTGATCGCCTTAGGCCTGGTCTCAGCCGGTGTGAGCTGCCGCTAGCCTCCAGTGTGCGTGTGACGCGATGAGGGCCGTCGAGGCGTGAGAGAGGGGTGCTGGATACGCGCGATACTTCTAAGCGGCGTTCTATACGGCGGGCCGAGAACGGGAGGAAGCTCGTGAAGGCGCTGAAAGGCGCAATAAGGCGTGGGGCGGCGCTGACGGGCGCACGCCTCGAAGAACCAAAAGCGATATCAGGGGACTCCGGACGGAGAGGCGCGAAGGGAGGTTTTACTCGGGCTTGCTGTTTGCGCGATTTGCGGATCACGCGCACGCGGATGGGCGTTTGCGTCGCGGCGTGACAGATACCTGTCGGAGAGGATGCCCAGAGAAAGCTGGTGTGGCAGGTGGACCGTTGCAGGCGCCGGGGTAGTGGGCCAGGCGGAATGGTCGGCTGGGTGCGACTAGTGGTTGTCCGATGGTCCGGCGGCTGGACGGCCGCTGGGCCTTTGGGTTGTCTAGATTGTCTGGGCGGCGGACAACCAAGGCTGGCAGGTCTGGGCCGGACCGGGCGTTTGAGGCCACTTGGCGTGCGGCGTGCGGCGGTGTGTGTGCGGTTAACTGCGATTGACCTGGGTCCGGATTCGGGGTCTGCGATCGTCTCGCTGACGGATATGGGATATGGGTCCAAACAAGGCTGACAGTTATCTCTCGAGATCTCAAAGTGGACCTGTGGCAACAGTCTGGAACGAACGGGGAAAACATACGCCCAGCCAGCTTATATGACAATGGGCTGGCAGCTGACAGCGGCAGTGGCAACGGGGCTGCTTGGCATGGGGTGAATGATACGAGGGCTGCGCTGCGCTCGGAGGAGAGATCTAACAGGTGAGCCGCGAGAGAAAGCCCGCGACGCTACGTGGTCAGAGCCGTAGCAGTCCCCGAGTGCAGAGCATAGTGTAGTGAGCGAAAGGCGTCATGGCCAGAGCCTTGGAGAGCCGCGGTCAGGCTCGTGCTTTTCCGGGTCGCATTTCCTGTCCTTTTACCCTTTTCTGTGCCTTTCAGAGGTTTAGGCTGCATTCTCACCAGGGGCTGCGTCCTGATCTTGTTGCCTGTTGTGGCCGGAGTGACCATGCGGAGCTCGTCTGCGCTGCGTCTGCCCTGGCATTCCGCCGTGCCCTGGTCACCTGCCGAGTGTGCCGGTGGTGGTTGGCTGGCAAGACGTCCTGTGCGGGGCATACCGCTGAGGGTCAGCACTGACATGCGCGTGTGCGCACTGATCCTCATTCCATCAGATCCTGTCGATGTGAGTGGCCCCTCGTCGTATATCCAGCTCGTCCCTGTGCCTGGCCGTTCCTGCAGTGCACCTCGGCGTTTCATTAGTGATGTCTCTGCGCAGTTGCCGTGGTAAGTAACTTGAGCGGATGAGTCGAATGATAGGAGAAGACACAGGCGATAGCCTTAGCGACTCGATGTCAGGTCCCAGGTCCGAGTTCATCAGCGCTCGGGCTCTCGACGCGCAACGCGACGCCTCTCCGGGCGTTGCAGGCCTGTTGGCGCCTCTGCGCTGCCGTGCTTCGCCAGGACGCCGAAACGGAATGTTCCCCACCCCTTCGAGAACCGCGATAGCGACTACAGTGACACTAAGGCGTGCTCTGTTTCGAGACCTATCAGATTCCACCCGTTCCCAACAGCATGCGGCGCACAGTATCTCCGCAGTCCCTGCCCCTCAGCGTCCCACTACAGTGGTTCCGCTACCATAGGGTGCACAAGGTGAGCCCAGTAGTATTCCAGGACTACGACGGCACAATGACGGCGACGAAAGGTCACTGGGTACCTTCTGAGACAGCCGACATGACATCGCGCAACTCCGCATTCCGCGCGATAGCATTCCATATTCCATTTCCCATTGAACAGCCATGATTGCCGCTGATGGAGCGTGCGGGCGCCGGCGCCTGTTTCGCAAGACTGACGCCATGCGGGACCGATACTTGGGGCTCGCTATTGTGAGGCCTCCTCGGGCGTGCATGATACCGGTGCGATAGCTCGTGCTGGCTGTGCAGTTGACGTGAGAGGAGTGGGGGCAAGTGGGGAGACGCGGGGTAGCGCGGGGCGCAACGGCTCACCACGGCACAGTGCTCGAGCACGAGATAGAGGCTGAGCGGACAGAGCGGGGTGATTGCGATTGCTTCTGAAGGTCACACAGCAGCGCCATACGCGCACTGGGTTTGTTAGCGGTGCTCTGAGACAAGGCCGTGGGCGGGCACGTCGCCGCTGTAGCTGGCGCAGCTGCGAAACGCCTCGGTACGCTCTGCTCGCGAGATGTTTGTGCCTGGCGTTTGTCGGCTGACCAAGACACGGAAACTGACTGGTGTTAGCTGTCTGGCAGAACCAAACAGAGGGGGGAAGGAAGTGAGGATGAGAGAGCGGGTCGCGAACGCCGCCCGGCCCTGTTGGCACTGCGGCTGCCGTCGCCACTCTGCCCATGACCATCCGTGGAGCAATGTCAACCACTCGGGTCTCGCCGCCGTTATCAGCAGTCAGTCACGAGCCTCGTAATACCCCCACACTGTTCGTCATGTGAGGGTGATGCCAGCCGAAGGTCAGTTTGGGTCAGCATAGGGTGCCGCCGCATTCCGCAGGCTAGGGAAGAGACACGGCCGAATCGACAGGTTCCTCAACCAGCTGGTCCGGTGAGTTAGAAAACCGGGAGAAGTGTTAACGACGGACTTAACCTGGCCAGTGACTGGACGGCTGGGCCAAGCCACCATCGTCCGGGCCTAGGAAGTGGCAGAGGTGGCAATGGCACTCGGCTACGCTGCGCTCACAGCGCATCCCGTAAATGCAGGTCCCAATCCCTCTGCGGCATCGTCCGGTGGGAAAGGTGAGTGGCAGGTGCCTGGCGGCGCACATGCCTCGTCCATCCTCGTCCCCTCCCAGAGCTCCGCCACATCCATTGGCGACCCGCAAAAGCTAAGGGAGTGAAGCCACCGGGGCCACCACCACTCCGCGGCCCCTAAAGGCCCCACGACCACGAGTGTGGGTTGGGCTTCGAGTCCTGCCCAGAGTTGCCTTTTGCTCTCTTTTCCTGGCGAGCCGGACGACAGTCTCTGCCTCTTCGCCCTCGGCGGACGCCTACCCCTCTTCATGGCTCGAACGGCATAACCTCCTTAAGCCGGAACAACTGGGCTGAAGGTTGGTAGAAAAGCCCAACCGAGCCAAGCGGACGCGTGGGAGTGTGCGTCTCCAGGAGCGATGCTTCTTCTTTACTGTCACCAGATCTTCGCTGTTAGAGAGCTTGAGGTACAGTTATACGGTTTCCAGGAAGAAAACCAATTCGTATCCGAGACTAGCCGAATGGCCCCTATTGCGGCACCCCTGTCATCCGGCAAGGGGGCTCAGGCGCCGCAGAACGGTTCGGAGGCGTCCAATATCGATCGAAGAGACAGCGAGTCAGAGTGTGAGGGAGGAGCATGGCGGAGAGGACAACAACAGTACGAGGGAAGGCCAGTGGCCAATGTTTGCTGGGGCTTCACATGTTGCAGTTTCCCTTGGCTGCGCACTTGCTTGACCCGGGCAGTCCGGGTTCGCGGAGGTAGCGGGCCGCTTCACGGTGTCGTTGCACGGCTTCGCGGGCACCTGAGCCGTAAGCTTATTCTCGAGAACAATAGGAAAGAGGGAAGACCGGGCCCAGCCGGACGTCCTTCTTCGCGCGACGAAATGACCGATCAGATAACGCCCAGGCACGGTGTGTGATGGCGCCGCGGAACCTTTCTCCTGACCTCCTAACTTCCTTTCCGCCGCTGTTCAGTGAAGTAAGGGTAAAGAGATGACTGGACTGTGGGTCCGTGGGTCTGTTGCAATGTCTGGTCAGTGACTGGACAATGGGCAGGCACACTGCTGAAGCACAAGGCAGAGTAAAGGCTTTTACATCAGTGGGGGCGGCATGCGCACGAGCCGGGGCGTGCCGGCTGGTCGCTGCCCCCCGCTGGTTTTGATACCAACATACTAGTCGATGGATGGGGATGGAAATACTAAATGGCTGCTGCTTGCTGTCTCTATCATTATCATATGCATGATGCGTTTAGGTGAGGTCTGGATGTCAGCTTGGCTCCTACAGGGAAGACGTAGTGGCATTTTCGTCCATGCAGACGCAGGGTGACTTTGCCACTCGACTTGACACTCACTGTACTTGGGACCACCACCGCCCTCGGGAACGGTCCAGGTGATGTCCTGGGTAGGCGTCTTGATGGAGCAGGTCTTGCACTGGATATGTCAGCGATCGCTTTCGTCATCGCGCGACGGGCCGGAAGACTGCGGGTCCGGCTCGGCAATCAACAGGGACTGCCGAATACCGAGCCTCGAGCCGATCCGAAGCTCGGTGCCCGGTTCGCATCCACCGGGAACCGCAACAAAAACAAAGTTACTCACGTGGATGCAGTTCTGCGAGTTGATGACGAACTTCTTGCCCTCGGCGTCCTCCTCCGCTCCCTCGGCGTCCTGGTACTCGTAGACAGCGGCAGGGCAGACACGACCAAGGAGACCAGCGTACTTGGAGACGTTCTCCTCAACGTGGTGCTGGCGAGCCTCCTTTCCGGGAGGAAGACGGAGGTGCACAGGCTGGTTCTCGGCGTGGTTGGTACCAGTGAGCGAAACGGAAGTCAGAATGTCGAACGAAAGCTCGTTGTCGGGCTTCGGGTAGTTGATGGGCTTGTGGTGCGAAGCAAGCTCAGTGGCGGCGGAGTCCTCCTTGGGGTGGTGGAAGGTGAAGGGGACCTTGCCCTTGAGGATCATCGAGTCGAGACCAGACCAGGCCATGCCTCCCCAGAGACCGAGGGGGTTGTGGAACGAGGGACGGATGTTGCGGACCTCGCGGAGCTCGTCGTAGACCCACGACTTCTCCATCTCCTTCTCGTAACCAGACATGTCGATCTGCTCAGCCTCAGGGTTCTCCTGGAACTGCTTGTAGATCTCCTCGGCAGCGACCATACCAGACTTCATGGCATTGTGGGTTCCCTTGATCTTGGGGACGTTGAGGAAACCGGCCGAGCATCCGATAAGAGCTCCACCGGGGAAGTAGAGCTTGGGGATCGACTGAAGACCACCCTCGTTGAGGGCACGGGCACCGTAGGCGAGACGCTCACCGCCCTTGAGGATCTCAGCGAAGAAGGGGTGGTGCTTCATGCGCTGGAACTCCTGGTAGGGAGAGAGGTACGGGTTCGGGTAGTCGAGACCGACGACGAGACCCATGGTGACCATGTTGTCCTCCATGTGGTAGAGGAACGAACCACCGTAGGTCTTGTAGTCGAGGGGCCATCCCATGGTGTGGATGACCTTTCCGGGCTCGTAGACCTCGTCGCGCACACGCCAGACCTCCTTGATGCCGAGACCGTAAGTCTGGGGGTCCTTCCCCTCACGAAGGTTGTACTTGTTCTGGAGAACCTTGGAGAGCGAGCCGTGGGCACCCTCCGCGATGAGGGTAACCTTGGCGTGGAACTCCATACCGGGCTCGTAAGAGTCCTTGGGCTGGAAGTTCTTGTCGAGACCGACATCACCGGTGCAGACACCCTTGAGCGAGCCGTCCTCGTTGTAAACGGGCTTGGCGCCAGCGAAACCGGGGTAGACCTCGACACCGAGAGCCTCGGCCTGCTCAGCAAGCCAAGCGACGACACGCGAGAGCGAGACGATGTAGTTGCCCTCGTTGTTCATCTGGGGAGGGTGAGGGAGGGGGAAGGCCATGTTCTGGGTGAGGAACTTCATGGTGTCCTTGAGAGCGGGCTGGTTGAGGGGAGCGCCGTCCTCCTTCCAGTTGGGGAGGAGCTCGTCGAGCGCGCGGGGCTCAAGAACGGCACCGGACATGATGTGGTTTCCTAGGTTTCGTCAGTTTCGGACCCCCGGAACACTTTCCCGAGCCGTGTCGCGGCTCGGTACTCGGCAGACTTACCGGGCTCAGCGGCCTTCTCCAGAACGACAACACGGAGCGAGTCGTCAGTGTCGAGCTGCTTCAGGCGGATGGCGGCACTAAGACCAGCAGGGCCGCCTCCGACGATACAGACGTCGACCTCGTCGGTGGCGCGCTCGACCTCATCCGGGTTGAAAGCCTCCTCGGCCTCAGCCTCGGAAGCGTAGAAGCGGGCGCCGGAGCGAAGAGCGTTGCGGTGAACGGTGACGCGGGGCCTGGCGGCGGCGGCGGCGAGCCGCGTCCTCGAGGATCCAATCCAGCGCTGAGCAAGGGACATGGTGTACCGAACCTGTTCTTGCTGGAGCTGAGGTGTGAGATACAGTCAAAAGACAAACTAGATAGCGTGGTGGTGCGATCTTTCAAGTAGGCGGGCTGTGGTGGTTAGATACGCGGGGGCGGTCATTGGCCAGTGGGAGCTGCGGGGGTGTGATTTCTGTTTCCGCGTGCTCGGCTCGGTATAGGTCCGGCAGTTAGACGCGCGACACTCGGTTAAAGTGCCCGCAAGCAACCGATCGTCATGAACAATGACCGCACCTGGAGCCTACTCCCATGCTCCCTGGATGTAAACCCCGTCCTTCTCCGTGGGATCCGTGGCATCATCATGCACACCACGCAACCCAAGCCTAGTAGTGGGAGCTGTGAGCGAAAGGCGGCCGGGAGACCCACCCCATGGATCCCTCACGTCCTCCTCTCCCGAGTCACCCCTCAGCCCCAGCCCCGCACCGTCCAGCCAGTGAGAACGCCGATGGCCTGCTCCGTACTGTCTCCGCCCCAGCGCCCGGCGCCCAATGCCCCTCCACAAGCATATCGCATGGCGCCCAGCCAAAGCCAAAAAAGTCAGCCAACCGAGCTGCGAGCCGACAACGCACCGTCAGTGCTCGACCGGCTCACTTGGCTGAGCTTTTCGCGGGGATACTCCGAATTCGCTCGGCCTCTTACGGCTATTGCGCCTATCTTTATCCCTCCACCGCACATTTTAGGCGCAGCCCTCCACGCACCGTCCAAATGTCAACAAGCCAGGCGCGCACAGGCTCCACACACTGGCGAGCTTAACGTGATGCATAATCCACAGATTGACAGCGCTGGCCCGCAGAAGCGAGCTCTACGCTACCTCAGTTGTCGTAGGTCAGCCGTAGTGAGGGTGGGCCGCGATCTACAGACTCTCACGACCACATGTAGAGTGCTGGCGGATCATCGCACCCCCGTCACCGGACCTTGGCATGGAGCGGGGCCCAAGAACGCCCAGCTTCCAAGCTCCAGGCGACGTCCTCGGTACTTGTCACAACGGCCGTGCTTTCTCATGAAGCCGTGCAATCCTCTGTTGGAGCCATGAAATCGCCATTCTATCGCATCAAGGCGGTTATGCTGGCATGAACGATTTGCTTAGGATCTGGCTGGCAGCCGTCAAGCCAATTATGTAGACCTCGGCGGTGCAGACTTTGGATTATGTGTCTTTCTACCTGGGTCAATGACTAGTAACTGCTCATCCAGTAATTTCTGTGAGCTCCATCCTCCGTTCATCCCTTCACACCATGCATTATGCGCCTTCGTGCAAGAGGCTCTTCACATCGGTCCTTTCCCGCATGCCGCAGCGACCTCGGCGTCCATCCGATCTTCGCAGGCCTAAAGGCCGCTGTGACCAGATAGGCGCAACCACGTGCTTATCCCGTTAATGACCTTCCCGCCCCTTAGGCACGCAACCCCTAACGATCAGCGTGGCGCGGGGTAGTGACGACACGACAATATCGCTCTCCAGCATCACCTACCACCCAAAACCATGCAGTTAGCAGCGCTGTTCGGTGCGCTGAGCGCTCTCTCGGCGGTCTCAGCGGGTGCTGAGATCCGCGGCCTTGATCCAGCTCGTACGTCTTCGTCTTCCCTCCTCCCTGGGCTTCCTTCAGACCTCGGTGCTTGAGCTCCGTGACTAACCGCAGTGGCTTCCAAGTACACCGGCGCCGATGGCAAGTTTGCGTGTCTCGATGGGTCTGGCGTGATCCCTTTCTCGGCCGTTAACGACGACTACTGCGACTGCGCCGATGGCTCGGACGAGCCGGGCACGAGTGCCTGCGAGGGCCGGCCGAATGCGTGGTTCTACTGCAAGAACGAGGGACACATTCCCGGCCGTATCAGGTCGGGACGGGTGAACGATGGTATCTGTGGTGAGTAGCCCAAGACGCGACTTAGAGCTGGAGTGATCGACGGGTAAGCTAACGGCAGACCCCGAGTGCTGTGATGGCAGCGACGAGTGGGCGACTGGAGCGTGCCCGAACCGCTGCGCCGAGGTCTCAAAGGAGTACCGCGAGCGGACAGAGCGGGAGGCCAAGCTGCGCAAGACGGGCGGCAAGATTCGCTCCACCTACGTCAACTTTGCAGGCAAGGAGCGGCAGCGCCTCGAGGACGAGCTGAAGAGCAAGCGCGCCGAGCTTACGGAGAAGGAGGCGGAGCTGTCCGCGGCCCAGGCGGCTCTCAAGCGCGCCGAGGACATTAGCCGCGATGACCTCGAGAAGAAGAAGGCGACGCGTGAGTTTACCATCAGGGAAAATAACTGACACGGCAGCCCTGTTCCGATCCCTTGAGCGACACCGCGATGCCGTCACCAAGCTCAAGGAGGAGACCAAGTCGCTCCGCTCTGACCTCGAGAGCGTGCTTGCTATCTTGGGCGAGCTGTCCAACAACTGGAACCCGAACGGACAGGATATGGCCGTCAAGGCTGCTGTTGTGGGATACCGCGAGCTCACGGGCCAGATCCCTGACTCTGCCTCCGAGTCGACGGAGGTGAAGCAGGAGGAGGGCGAGGAGCCCGTCGAGGGTGTCTTCATCACGGAGACCGAGGAGGATGACGAGACGCCCGAGGCCGAGCCGCTGCTGTACGCTCTGAAGAACCCCGACGGCGCGATCAGCGAGTGGGAGCTGAACCACCTGCTGCGCGAGGACCTCGAGGGTCTGCTGCAGAAGGACACAACGGCGACCTCCTCAGACGACGACGACGAGGACAGCTTGCGTAAGTCTGCGAACCAGCTCCGGCTTCGACGGCACCGAGCTGACATATCCAGTGTACAAGCTCGAGGAGTACATCCCCGACAGCCTGTTCGAGTACTACGACGCGATCCGGGTCGGGCTCGTCGACTTCCTGACCTCGGCCGGCATCCTGCGCAAGCGCGAGTACGAAGTGGCCGAGGACGGCGCGCACGTCGCGAAGGCGCGTGAGCGTTCGAACACGGCGCAGCGTGCCGTCACCGACTTGCAATCCTCGATCACCTCAACCGAGCAGACGCTCGACAAGCTGACGAACGGCGAGTACGGTCCCGACGGGGAGTGGAAGAAGCTGGACGGGACGTGCATCTCGACCGTGGCGGGAGACTACACGTACGAGCTGTGCTTCTTTGGCCGCGCGACGCAGAAGAGCAACAAGGACTCCAGCTCCAACAGTCTCGGCAACTTTGAGGGCTGGGCCGAGGGCGCCGAGAAGGGCACGCTCGAGTATTACTCCAAGCAGAGGTACCGCAATGGCGCCAAGTGCTGGAACGGCCCGTTCCGTAGCGTCAACGTCGAACTCAGCTGTGGCAAGGAGAACGAAATCCTCAGCGTCACGGAGCCCGAGAAGTGCGAGTACAAGTTCAAGGCGACGAGTCCGGCGCTCTGCTGGCCCGAAGGCGACAAGGTCCAGGCTCAGACCACCGAGGAGGTTCAGGTCAAGGACGAGCTGTAAAGCTCCCTTCACCTCATCTCTCACCTCTCTCCTCTCGGCCGTGTAGAACGGATAAAAGTAGACTTAGACATGCATGCGCATCCCCTGTATTCTTCTACAGCTACATAGCCCTTAGTGGGCGTGGGGGTTCTTAGCCCCGTTGGAGCCGGCACCAGCGCCGGCGTGAGCGTGCGCCGCAGCAGCACGCTTCGCACGCTCCTGGGCCGCAATCTTGGCCTTCTTCGCCTCAACCTCGCGGCCGTGCGCGGCGTCGTCGCGGCGGCACGGCTCCGGAATCGGCGAGTCTGGGTCGATCTCGGGCAATAGCGCGCGGCCGACGTGCACGTACTTCTGCGCCATGAAGTCCTTCCACTTGTCGAGAGCCTGCGTGTCAGCTTAATCCTCCCAAACCAGCTATCTGTGGGTACCGCGATCGGGAGTAGAGCAGACAGTCCCGCTACACTGGAGCGGGCCAACCCAGTTCTGCGGAGCGCTCTCGGGCGGGAACAACGTCGCACGAGGTTGTTGTCGCAGCCACCAACATGCGGCTGCCGGCCGAATACGGACTTACCTTCAGCTCGCTCGCCGGGATACCGCGGAGGTCGTGCGTCTGGTGCGTGTCGAAGCAACCGGTGATGAAGGCGCGCGAGGCGTCACGGCCGGCCCTGGCTGTCAGCTATCTTCTCCGGCGCGCTAAGTAGCTCTTCCGCCCCCGCCATCTCTTGGAGGCATTGAGCGCCGGTGCACTTGGGTGACCTCGACGAGGTGCCCTGCAGAATTCATCTCGCACTCACATCATGTTGTAAGCGGCACCCTTGCCGTACATCCTCTGTCCGCCCTTGGTGACATCGTACACCTCTCCGTCAATGGAAACAAGGATGGGGAGCTTCGGGTCGCTGCCGTCGAACTTCTCAAGCTGCTTGAGGGTGTAGACCTTCTTGGCAGGTGCGAGTGGCGAGGCGCGGTACACCTTCTTGGCGTAGTGCTGGATCGCGGGGCCTTGGCCAAAGTGCAGCGTGCCGGTGAGGAAATAGGACAGCAGTGGCAGGAAGACAAACAGCGGCAGGAGGCGGGAGAAGAGCGACTTGCCGTCGTCGCGTTTCTGTCGTTAGCTTTCCGGGGCCTGCTAAGCTCACCTTAGTCTTGGTCTGCTTGACCTGGACGGGCTCGACGACCTCGACCTTCTCGACTTTCTCAACGGGGACGCTCATTGTTGTCGTGCGATGGGTGAGTGTGCGATGGCAAGAGGACAGTTACGTGTCATGGAAGTTACGTAGAGGTCGATGATGTGACACGTACGCCGCATGCGACTGGCCAGCTGGCTCGAAGCAGGTTGACAGCAAGCCCAGAGGATCGGCTCGGGAAGGAACAGAATTACGCTAATCTTGTGTGTTTCAGCTCGACCTGGCCGCAATCTCCCAGCTGCGACGCGACGAACGAGGCTGCGACGCCAGGGTGGCCAGGATCAGCGAGCGGCAACGGGAGTGGGGCACGTGGACTGCCCTATTCGGGCAACCAATATACGGAGAAGACGACTTCGGAGCTGGAGTACTTATACGTTCCGGTCTTCGGACGGTGTAATGAGCGATTAGCGGGAGTATTCGCCGAGCATCCGGTTGAGTGCGCGGCTGCATTCCTCCCACACGACCGAACGATGTGACCCCGGACATGACGTTGCCGCCATTGTCCGGGTAAACCACCGCAACCTCCATCTCTCGACCTTCCACAACCATCCGTTGTCTGGTCCTCATCAACCAAACTCTTGCTGATCCCATTTCTCAGCCTCGGGCTAGTTCTACGTTTCGGGCGTCACCATGAACATCGACAACACGACCCTCGTCCTCCTGGGCATCTTCCTCGCCCTCATGCTCTGGCAGCGCATGAAGCCGCAGTCTCTGGTTCACCCTCTCATGCTTGGCAAGCAGGCCGAGCCGGGTCCCGTTCGCAAGACGGGTGAGAGTGCGATCTACCGCTCTTGGGCGACTGGCCATAACGCTCCGGTATGTCCACTTTATCGAGCTAACTCTACCTGCTGGATGTAGCTGAACTATCTCTACTTGCTGGATGTAGCTGAACTATTTCTACCTGCTGGATGTAGCTGACAACGCAGCTTCAACTGCGCCCTTCGGGCCAGGCCAAGACCGTCCCGGACATGATCCCCAAGGACAAGGGTCGGCCCGAGTCTCGCCAGCTTCTCGGTGCGGAGCTGGACAGCGCTGGCCTCTCGCAGACTGCGACGATGCTGCCGGGTGGTCTGCGTGAGCTCTTCCCTGACCTTGCGAGGGCGACGAAGGACTCTCCCGCGCCGATCGCCGCGTTGATCCCCCCGTCCACGGCTACTGGTCTTCCTCTGCTGCTCCTGTCTCTCGCTTCTCGTCCTTCGACTCCTCTCGTTGTTGTGCCCCGTCCCAGTGCGCTCCCCGCCGCCCTCAAGGGCCAGGGCATGCCGCAGGCTCCCAAGCTCGTCGTTCTGCATGTCGCTTCCCTCGACCGTCTGCCCGAGATCGAATGCTCCGTCCTGCTTGTCGGAGACCCGCAGAAGAATGCCGCCCCGCGTGTTGGAGACAGGAAGAATGTTCAGTGGTGGGAGGACGTCTGGGCTGCTGCAGAGGTCGTGCCCAACTACACTGAGGAGGTCAGCTACATCGACACGCACAGCTACAGGTACAACGAGACGGGCACCGATGTCGCAAAGGCCATGCACGTTGTGAGTATCTCTTCTGCTTGCTCAGGAGCTGGGGGGCGCGGACCCTGGAAGCTAACAACAGAACATGACGGCCGGCGTTGCGTCGCTCCTCGCCATCTTTCCCGCCGAGAAGCGCCCTGGTCCCAAGGACACGATCGCCAGCAGCCAGAGCCTCAACACGCCGTTCGGCATGGGCATTGCTCTCGCTGCCGTTCTTAGTGGTTCCAGCATCAAGCTCGTTGGCTCGCCTGAGCCTGTGTGGGGCGCCTCGAACCCTGCTGCCGACATGATCGCGCTTGCTGCCAGCACAGGTCCTCGTCCCACGATCCTCATTCTGTGAGTAGGCGCCAAGGCGCCAAGCTTGATTGGTCGGTGAGGTAGCTGACAGTCAGTACGCCCGCGCAGGAGGCTGCAGTTCTCGCCGGCCTGTACGACACCTACGCGAAGACGCCCTTCTCCTCCCTCGCCGGCCGGCACATGCTCCGCAACCTGTCCGGCGGCCACGTCTCGCGCGAAGGTGTCTGGAACACGCTTGTCTGGAGCAGCGTGCGCGCCTCTGTCGGAGGGCTCGCCGCCGACGCGCGAGCGAACATTGTCGTCGGCCCCGTCCCCGAGTCGCTCCTCACGCCCGCCGCTGCGCTATTCTCCCTTCCTCTCATCCGCGTCACGAGCTCGCAGTGGGCCTCGGGACCCCTGACGGCCACGCACTTCTACGACCTCCAGAGCCCTGGTGGCGAGATCGCCCTGCCCCGTCCCGGGGGACCGATCGCGTCCGCCGGCCCGCCGGCGAACAACGTTGAGCTCCTCCTCAAGGGCGTCGCGGAGCCTTGGCCCGAGACGGGCAAGGTTGCCGGCCACGTCTGGGCGCGCGGGCCGAGCGTGCTCGACATCCTGGGCGTGACTGGATCTGATGGATGGGTCGACACGGGCTACGAGGGAGGCGTGCTCCCAAACGGCACGTTTGTCGTGGAGGCGTAAGGATAAGGTAGATATGCATAGCGATTTTCGTATGAACATACAACATGGGCTTGAAGCGAGATGGTGGTCGTGAGCTGTGATACAGATGGGAAGAGTGGACTACAGATTGGGAATCTTGATCCGGTCGCCGTCCTCGAGGCAGCGCACCTTGATGCTCTCGTCCCAGGTGATGGGGGCGGCTTTCGATTCCTGAGCTGTTAGGTTGTTACATCGGCATGACACCCACGAGATCGAGGTGGTATCTGTTCCAGAACCCAGCTGCCAGACGACCGTGCGCGTCGGAGCTGGGATGGAAACAGTCGACGTCCGAGACCGCCTCGATGGGGTAGTTCGCAATATCGACAGCGGAACCAGGTTGCCTGTTGTCAGCTACGCCACATCCTCTCAGCTATATGCCTCGCACATCAGCAACAGTGCGAACACGCACCATACAACAGCAAAGGTGGGGTCACGCTTCGCATTCCACTCCCTTATCAGTTGCAGAACTGCCTGGTCGTACTCGGCGGTGAGGGCGTCCATTTTGCGCCGCGTCCAGTCGCCGAAGGGGCCAGGAAGCATCGCGCACGAGCACTCGACGGGCAGGTGCGGTAGAGGTGGAAGGTGGGTACTGTTGTCAGTTACACTGAGGATAGCAACTTACCAATATGGATCGTCTTTAGTGAGGGCATATATGTCCGAGACCTTCAGTACGCCGACTGGGCATTAGCTCGCGGCCGATGGAGGCATGTAGGGAGCTGCATACCGATGTTGACGATGAGCTTGGCTGTATGTCAGTTTCGATGGGACTCGGACAACTCACGGACAGCTGCGCGTACTGAATCAACCGCTTCCCGAATACCGCGCGCATACTCCTCTGGCGTACCCGGTCCAAAGGGCGAGTTGGCTGCTGTCAGCTTGCGGTTTACCCAGAGCGTACAAGTCATGCAGAACGCGCACTGCCGTTAGCTTCCAGAACTGCCGGCCCTCAGCTATCTCACAATATCATTAGCCCCAACAGCGACGTTAAGCAGTGCCCAGGCCTGCTTATCGGCCCCGCTCATGTTGCGATACGTCGGCACGAGGTAGTCTGCCGTGTCAGCTTTCAACATCGGGTACAGGAAGCTCACCATTCGCCTGCTGAGGAAGGTTGAGCGAGACTGCGCCCGAGACGGCGGCGTTCAGGGCGTCATCGGGAAGGTGCTGGCAGCTCGCATGTGGACACGCAAGCGGTGGGTGGTTGCCGTGCGACTGTCCGTGCGGTTTCGTGTACCGCTGCAGAATACGGGGGATCGTCACGCTGCCCCGGTCGCCGCCAATCGCGTACGACACGCCGCGGTACTCTTCGAGGTCCACTGATGTCAGCTAGGTCCTCAGTGCGGCTCCACAGCTGGTAAGATCAGTGAGAGAGTCAAATGGACAAGACAAAGTGTCCGGTTCTTGGGGGAAGGAAGGTCCGTGGAGAACATACCCAGTCCACCAAGCACACGTTGGTCACCAAGCCAGTCCGACTCCGTGGGAGGGGTGGCGAGGAAGCCCGCGGTGATGCTGTCACCAAGCGCCATGACGACGCCAATGTTATCGAGCCGCACGTCGCGGCTGTTCTTGGGTTCATGCGGGGCGAGATCAGGGCACTGGTCGAGGTTAGAGAAGCGGACATACTTGCCCGGGATCTTCGGGCCGGGCAAGGGAGCTGCGACCGCGGAGAGCGGAGCAAGCCATGGAAAGGATGCGAATGAGCGTAGCGGGAAGAAGAGGAGTGCAGCGACGAGCGCTGGTAGTGGGGATAGCCTGCGCATTGCGTGAAGGAGTGTCAAAGTGTTTGTCGTGAGGAAGGTCAGAAAGTAGAAGTAGCGCAGGTGGCGAATTCCGGGCCCCAGCTTTGGCAGGATCTTATAGCCAGGTTGTTTTAGGACCCGGGGGAAGGCGTAGCGTCTCGCACCCTCGTCGCAATGTGACTGCGAGCGGAGAGATACGCGTGTGTCTGGGCCTTCCCTGCACACACACAGAAGGCGATCATGCATGTACAGAAGGAGAGTACGAGCATACGCGATGAAACAAACGCACTCGGTGACTTAGGCCAGCTCTCCGACTGGCTCTGACGTCGTCCCGCCTGGGTGACTGCCATCGGAGGAAATGCTTCCGCCCGTTGGCTCTTGGACATGACGGACGATATACACTCTCAGTCAGCCGAACTTTGCCTCTCACCACCACCTCCACCTTTCATCACGATGCGCCGTTCAGCCCACCTCCTGCGGCCACTGCGCTCCGCCCTCCCCTCTGCCACGCCGCTGCGTGCGCGTACGCTTGTCTCTCTTCCTCGTCCTACTTCTTCGACGCTCGCCTTTGCGGCTGTCCGTTCAGCCGTTCCGCGAACAGCCCTCCGATGGGCCTCGACCGAGGCTGCTGCGCCCTCGACGGTCTCGGTATCCGTTGAGGCGCCGGACCTTGCCGCGATCAAGGAGGAGGGATTCATCGAGGACCCCGAGCTCGTCCCGACCGAGAAGGCGACGCTGGCCATCACGCCCGAGGCGACAGCGCAGCTCGCCAAGCTCAAGGCTGGCGAGCCGGCCGACTCGCCCATGGCCCTCCGTGTCGGCGTTGACTCGGGCGGCTGCCACGGATACCAGTACATCATGGAGCTGACGGAGGAGAAGGGAACGGATGACTAGTGAGTTTGTTCTCGTATCGCGCCCCTGTTGCTTCTACGTCTTCCTTCGCCCGTGAGGAGGGCTGCAGCCTAACGAAGGTGGACGATCTGGAGCGGAGTGGAGCAGCGGATGTGGTCCAGCTATCCAAGGAGGCCTTGCTAGCTAGCTAACGCTCAGCGTCTTCCGGCCCCAGGGCGTCGACACGATCCCGGTCTACTGTGACCTGACCTCCCTCGGCCTGCTGAAGGGTAAGCTGCGTTAACATTTTACAGCTAACAACCAGGCGCGACGCTGCACTACGCGACCGAGCTGATCGGCTCGTCCTTCCGACTCCAGGACAACCCGCAGGCGAAGACGGGCGGCAACTGCGGCTGCGGCGTCAGCTGGGAGGCCAAGACGGACATCTAAACCATCCCCCGACCTCGATTACTCAGCACGGAACAAACAACGCATTTAGACCGACAATCCGAACAAACACCAGATGTATCAGTATGCTCATACCCCTCTCACTGTCTACTGATCAGATTCGCTTGCGGCTCGGTGTTCGGGCGAATTCATACATGCAAGTTTTAACTGACGAGACACTAACGAGACTGAGCTTTCAAGACTAGCGAAACACGGAACGCAGAACAGGCGAGAGCAAGAGTTCTTTTGGCGCTGTGTGTGGAGTGATGATGGGTGGTTGGATGATGTGAGATGAATGATGATAGTGTATGCGAGAGACGGGGAAAACTCTATACAGCGTCCATGCGCTGGCTGCGCCGGCGGACCAGCAGCCGGAGCGCTTAACCGCCGAAGAGGCGGATGATGAGGTACATGGTCGCGCAGATGAAGCGGAACGCGGCCATGGCGGCGACGAAGACGAGGATGACGAGCATGTAGATGCCAGTGCGGTTGTTGCCGTCAGAGCCGTTGAACGTGTCGCCAGCGCCGCCGCCAGAGAGAATCAGAGACGCGAGCAGCGCGTTCGAAAGAGACCACGCCAACAGCAGGTTGGTGCGGAAGTTGGCGTAGATGTCCTTCTGCTTCTGCTCCTTAGTCTCCTTCTTGGGAGGGACCTCGTCGGCGTCGACCTTAGCGCGCTTCACACGAATGTTGTCGAGAGCGTCCTGGTACGCGCTGTCAATGTCGTGTTGCGCACTGACGAGCGCGACCTCGACCTCCTTGCCGACAACCTTGACGTGGCCGAGGTCTTCCTCCACTGTGTCAGATCCCTTGGTACCCCACGACAGGTCGTGCAGGTTCGAGTAGGCGTAGATGTTGAGGATGTTAATGTACACTGAATGTCAGCTGGTGATCGTAACGCGCGAAGCTGGGTCACTTACTGGGCTGGAAGAGCAAGAACTGGAGGAAACAGGTACCGATGTGCCACGGGTCCAGCGCGAGAATACTCGAGATCACGAAGATACCGTACGTAGCGATCAAAGACACGACCATTCGGGAAAAGACGGGCGAGCCGATGTTTTCGATGGCGACTGCAATACAGAGCACACCGCAGATCAGCATGTACACCGTGAGAGCGGCGAAGATGTAGATAGCGATCTTGTACTTCCAGGGCGCGCCTTGAGGCCTGTTGCCCATCGCGAAGATGAAGCACGCGACGAGCGTTCCCAGATATATGTATTGGAGAATCACGTTGAAGACGTGGATACCCTTGGCGTGGAACTGAGGTGCCTCGAGAGCGGACGTGAGGATGACGAAGAAGATGTAGTAATTGCCGAGCGAGAACCAGCCGAAGATCAGGTTGAGAGCATTGTAGAAGAACTCGAGCATGAGCATCGACTTGCGGATGAGACTGTGACCGGACCACCAGAGGCGGCGAGAGTGCAGGAGAGCGTAAACAGCAGCGAAGAAGGAACCGTTGAGCCAACGACGACGCTGGCCGATGAACTCGGGGATCGTGTCGGGACAGTCCGTCTCACCAACGGCCGACTTGACATACTTCAGAACCCAGTTAGCCTTGGGCTTGGCGACAATTTCGAAACACAGCACACGATCCTCAGCGAGGTACATGTTGGCCGTGAACGAGTCGGCACCCGAGCCCTCGAGCTTCTCACCCATAAAGTAAGAAGCGAGGGGACCCTTTCCATCGGCGTCGTTCTGAAGAGCAATGTAGCGGTACGCCGAGAACGCTCCGGGAAGCACAGCACAGTAGCCGAACAGCGACTCCATGGGCTTGTCGAGAATGTTGGACATCTTGTACTCGAAGTTCTGCGCCGCGACGAGCGGGTTCAGGAGCAGCCTCCAACCTTTGCCCTTGTACGTGGCGATTTCACCACACGCGCCTCCGACGTTGGAATTGACATCGAACGCCTTCCAGAGATGGTAGATCGACTTGGGGCCGGGCATCGTACCAACATCGAGCAGAATACACACGTTCGGCTGAAGGAGAGGAGCAAATGCGTTGAAGAACCAGCGGTGCGAGTTGATCTTCTTGGCGTTCTTCTCCTTCATACAGAAAATGAACTGACAGGGAACGATACCCTTGTCCGGGTACTTGAAGTGAAGGTCGGGATCGAGCGCAAAGGATGTCGTGTACTCGAACACATGGGCGGTAACCGGACGGTCCTGAACCTTGTTCGTCATTGCACCCTCCTGGTAGATACCGAGAGCGGCAAGACAGTCGAGGACACGAGGGTTGACGTTCTTACGACCGTCGGCCACAATACAGACGACGACCTTCTGCCAGCCATTGTGGCCCCAAACACGCGAGTTCTTGCGTCCACAAAGGTGCGCAATGTTCTTCATGACGCCGTAGAGCGTACGACAGAAGAGCTCGGCGTCCTCATTGTACATCGTGATGACGATGAAGAGCTCGGTCTGGCGAGGCGGGTTGAACATGTTCTGCCTGAGACGCACACCGGAGGTAGCAAAGTCATCGGGGTCGGTGGTGACGGCAGTGTAGCGGGTAGTCTTCTGCTCCGCAACGCCCTTGACCGGCAGGAACTGAGCGAGACGGGACGGGATCGGCATGTCGACCTGGAACATACCCGACTCGTCGAGCTGCATCTTCTGCTTGATACGGCGGCCGGCATTGTTACGACGGCCAACGCGGCCAGTCGGTGCAGGACCAAAGTGCCTGGTCTCCTTCTCTTCCTCAACCAGAGGAACGCTCTCGAACTCGTCATCGATGGGCGCCTTGTAGGTGCTATTGGGGCGTCCATTCAGACCCAGGTTTCCGCTGTCGAGAGCAGACTCCGAGCCGAAGGGGTCGTATTTGCGGTAGGCAGGCGCGATGCCGTCATCGTTTGAGTCTCCCATGAGCGCCTGTTCAACATCTCCAGGTCGGCCATTGTAGCGCACGCTGTCGTCAAAGCCGGGGGACGGGGAGCGGGACGGCTCACGCATCTCGCGAGCGTACCGGAATGTTTGCGAAGGGATAAAACCAACCTGGAGGTCCGGGTGGTTCTGATCCGGCGGTGGGAGGTAGCTGGGAGTGGGCTGCATGTTTGACGGGGGCGGAGACATCATGTGCGGAGGCGGGGACATGATCTGCGAAGGGGAAGGAGACATCATGTGCGATGGAGCAGGCGACATCACAGGCGGCGTCATACCCTGGGGAGGAGGGATGACAGGAGGAGCTTCACCTCGAGTGTAGGCTGCTACACGCTCGAACGTCGGGAGGCGGCCGGTGGATGAGATCGGGGGAAGAAGCGGTGCCGCGCTGCTCGCAGCAGCGGAGGGCGCAAAGGCCGACGAGACGTGGGACGCATCCGAGCGGCCCGAAGAGTAGTTGGGCGGGTTGTTGGCGTACGGGGGATTGTAGACTGGGATGTTCAGGTTGAGGGAGCTGTGTCCATTGGAAGGAGGGGAGAGCGGGGTAGGGGTTTGCTGGGGAGCATAGGGGGGCACGGGCGATGCGTTGCGGAACAAGCTGCTGTTGCTGTGCGAGTGACGAGGGTATCGCTGGTCCCCGTCGTTGGGGGGAGCGGGTCCGCGCTGTGCCATGTCTGGAGAGATATGCACAAACGTTAGACAGGCAGCGAGGGTTCTGTCGGATGGATTGCTGTTGACGGATGGAGAGAAGAAAGAAAGAGGAAACACAGGGCCGATGGTGGGGGCAGGTAATGTTTGTGTTGACCCAGTGTTTTGCCAAGATGAATTAGTATGGGAAGTCACGTGCGGAAGCAACAAGCGCAAATCACGTTAAAGAAAAGCAGGCGCGCCCCTTGTCTGTGCGACCAGGAATTACCGTTCCTGGAATCCAGCTGTGCCTAACGTTCCTGCACGTGACCTTCTGGCCCGAAGAGGCGTGCGCTTGGACGAATGACGACACTGCGTATGTTGTTGCGGGCATACACGACGAACGACTGACTACGGGGGAAGGCGTTGCGTGTGTCGACGTCTCGTCTGTGCACAAGCTCACAGACGCGCGCATGCACACCAAAGCCGCAAAGGAGGCGATCGTCTGTGCGCGAATCTGTCGCAGGTGCCCCTCTTTTCGCACACTCGCACGCCCAGCTCACGGTACTCACACACGTAACCTGGTCGGTGACTCTCGCCATTGCCCACTCCATCATCGAGTCTGACCATGACCAACGCTGGCGAGCAGACCACTCCGCCTGCTCAGGCTGAAGGCGAGCCGATCAGCTATCACGACGTCTTTGGTAAGAAGCCGCCCCCGCGCGAGCTGTTCGAGTCGGTCGTGGGCTCGCTGGAGGACTTCAAGGCGCAGCCCATCAGTGTTCCCGCCCCTCCGCCACCTGGCGAGGTCCCGTACACGGACGCGAACGTGCGCAACGGTTTGAACGGGTGGCAGGACCAGGTCAACAAGCACGCAAGAGACAGTCACGGCCAGCCCTTCATCGATTCGACTATCAATCACTCGCTCGAGGCGCAGGCCAAGGTGGACGAGGAGCGCAAGAAGCGATACCGCGGTCGTCACACTGAGCGTGTGCAGGTCCCTGCTGCCGATGCGTTCAAGATCGGCGATCCAAACAGTGGCTGGGTAGAGCCGCTGACGTGCATTCGCGACTTCGACGAGTGAGCTAGCCAATTGTGGTGAGAAGCTGACAATAGGTCTCGTCCGCCGTTCGCCCGACGTAAGACTCGAGGGTGAAACAGTGACTGACAGCAGTGCTCGACGCCGCCTACGATTTCTTCGACACGCGTGGTCCGTGCCTCCTCTTCAATAAGAAGGACCGCCACTACTGGAACCAAGTGAGTTGGAAATATGTTGGGGAACTGACGGCAGATCCGCTGGGCGATGGGGGTGAAGGCTGAGTTTCCCGGCTTGCACTGGCCTGGTATCGGTCCCAAGGCACAGGCGTACGGAATGCAGTCTCGTGCTCGGCGTGATGCGACACGCGATATTATGGACGCTTACAATGCTGGAGAGGTCGGCGAGATCTGTCCGCTACTGAAGCACACCGAGCGTGCCGTGCGTGGCTTCCTCGCATGTGCGAGGCGTGAAGCTGAAGCCGTGTGGTGAGCTCCGTCTTCGTACACTTAACAGCTGACAAAACAGGGAAGTTGCGGGCGCGATCCGCCTCGCTGGTGCGTCCTCAAAGAGCCTCTGAGGCCCATAACACATAACTGACCTCCAGAAATCTTCGCTGCCTTCCTGGCCTTCGTAGTGCACCACCGTGCTCTGCCAGATGCCTTCCTGGCTCCCGCCTTCGACCGCGCGCTGGCAATGGCGCAGACTGGTCCGCGCAAGCTCCGCGAGGCCAAGGCGTGGGAGGCGCGGATCGACGAGGCGACCGCGCTCAACATGTCTGGCTTCGCGCTTCTGTGCGGGAACTACTACACGCGCTTGAAGGGCGTCAAGGCTGGATTGGCCTGGGAGCTGCCTCCCGAGACTGAGCCGGAGGAGAAGACCACGGCCGATACGACTCCTGAGATGGATGATGGCGGTTGGGGACCTGATCCTAGTGAGCTATCGATTGGGCTTGTAGCTAATGGCAGATGCCCCGAAAGTCAACCAGGTCGACGAGCCGACCGCGCGTGAAGGTGAGCTCTTTGCCCCGAGACTTCTAGCTAACAGCAGCCGCCTCAAACCTTGAAAGCGTCTTTGCGCCTCTCCCCGTAACCGACGTCAAGCTGTGGAACTGGATCGCGTTCGACCGTCGCCGCGTGACTGCTGTCTTCCCTCCTGACGCTCCCTCCGAAGGTGCGCCCGCGTTCACAACGCGTTACCACCGTTTCCGCACTGAGCCGGCTCCTTGGAGCGAGGAGGAGGGCTGGAAGGGACGAGCTCCGCACAAGGCGGCCGGCGACAGCACTCTCGACGGCAACGAGCACGTCTCGCCCGGCGGCGCCAAGTTCGAGCAGGAGAAGGACACGTGCCCGATCCCCGCTGAGCTTGACGTCTGGGTCGACTGCACCGGCATCGATGACTTTGACCCGCAGTGCGTTGTCGGCATGGGCATTCGTGCGCGCTGGGCGCAGATTGGCACCGAGGACAAGAAGTGGTGGATCTTCAAGCTCAAGGATTGTGAGTATAACACCTCCGTACTGGCCGCTCGGCGTCCAGGAGCGGGGGTCATCACCGCCCGTGACAAGAAAAGACGGACCACGTCAGCGATGCGGAGAATGCGGAGCGGCGAATGAGGAGCTCGCCTCATGACGACGAAAACGGTGGAGATGTCGCTAAGCGAGATGATCGGGGCCCTCCTGGGGCCCGTTATCGTCTCGAGGCCCCGTTATCGCTGCGATAAGGGGGTGTCTCCACGATCCTCATTCTCAACAGATCTCAGATCTCACGAGGCACACAGCCACCCCATATGCTCCGCGCAGTCACTCCACATGCTCCGCAATCTGCACAGCGAAGCACGCCACAGTAGTCACCATTCAGACGAGCCCAGCGCCTCCGGTACCGAACAGCCCTGTGTGGTGACTGCCCTGTTTCACTCAGTCTTCCCCTCATCGCAGCTGGTTTCGAGTGTCTTAGCTGACATACAGACGTGCTGCCCTCGTTTTGGCGCTCGACGCCAGAGGAGCTCGAGATCCAGGCGCGCGACCCGAAGCCGCCTTACGGTGACAAACTGCCCGCGCACCTGATCCCGAAGGAGGATCCGCGCGAGCCCTCCGAGGGGGGCAACAAGTTGAAGGCGAAGAAGAGCGAAGCGGACGACGAGAGCAGGGCCAAGCAGCACAACAAGCCTGAGAACAAGAACGACGATAAGCCCCTGTCTCCACCTCGCGATAACGACACCGATAAGCCTCAGATGCCCCAGAGTGATAAGCACGTCACACCCCGCCAGACCGAGAGCACGAGTTTAGCGGAGAATTCCAGCACCGCGGACAAGGTTGCTGGGAAGATCTTCCCCGAACTGGCGGTGGACACTCCGCCTGTGCCTCCGCCTGCGCCAAACGTGATTCCAGCCCAAACCGCCGCCAGGAACGCTCCACCCTCTTCTGACAAGGAAGCGAGGACTGCGGAACCTACGCAGCGTGTCAACGAGCCGGACATGGACACGAAGCGTGCCAGGCAGAACCTGGCCGATGCGAGCGAGGCGAGCGAGAGCCGGGCGAGCGTGAACCAGGCCGCAGAGGAACAGGGCCGCCAAGCCGCCCAGCTCATGGCCGACTTCACCTCCTCTATCCCTGCCCAGCCCCGCGCCGCACTCTCCGCACCCTCCATCAAGGCCGTGCTCGTGGGCAAGTCTGACCCGGACTACTTCAGCAGCGCTGTGCGCGCATTCGAGGCCGTCGACCAAGACGACGACGGGTACGACGCCGTCGCTGCTGCCCTCGAGGAGGAGTTTGACGAGGACGACCTCGTCGCCTACGCCCCGGACGAGGAGTATGAGAGCGACGAGGAGGACGAGGCGGACAAAGACGCCGCGCACTGGGAGCATGTTGTGAAGGGGGCGAGGGGCAAGTGAGCGCCGTCAAGGCGAGGTCGCGAGGCGGCCTCGCGAGCTGAGCCAGCGGAGCCGGCCGAGCGTCGCTGGCATCGCTGAAGGTCATCGAGTTCCGAGACATGCCGGAGAAGGAGGCGGCGAGACGGAGGATAAGGAGGATACGGAGGATCTGAAGTGGTCGGAAACATACTCCAGGAACGGCTCCGACGCACCAACGCCTTCGTCAACGTCATACCCAACCCGGACGCAGCTCTGGCCGACCCCGAAGTCATTGCCTCACCCAACACACGACTTGCATCATTTCACCGTCCCCTCACACTTGCATCATATGTCCATACTGCGCGACCGTTACGACCCTACCACCTTTGGTGCGTCCCCGGAATCACCCCCGGCGACCTCGGGAAGCGGAGAGCGTACCCGAACGCGCACTCTTCCCCGCCTGTCCATAGATAGCCCACGACGTGTACCGCACACCTGTATCTCACACCACCATGTCCATGCCGTCCCACTTCATCGTGCCTTCATTACCACACTCGCGTCATGCTCATAGACCCTCCTATGCAAAAACTGTGTAATAGACTGTGTAACTGCGTCGGGGGCTCGGGGCTCGGGGCTCGGGGCATTGGAGCAGACGCGTGGAGCACGGGCAAACTCTATATTCATTTTTTCATCCTAGGCTACTTGGCTGGACTTGCGTTGGACTTGGAAATGTGGTTGCGTTGTGGGTGTGGGTGTGGGTGTGGGTGTGGGTGTGGGTGTGGGTTGAGGGGATGCTAACTGAACAGGGTTGAGCTGCTACTTGCTGTATGTGTTTGTATGGGTTGTGTGGGCTACCTGGCCACCAAATGGAGTAATAATAAAGAACAAACGAAGACTTATGTACAAAAGATGCTTCACCATGAAGCGGACTTGGAGAGACGAGACGGGAAACTCTATATTGTGTTGAGACAGAGAAAAAACAAAAGGCTAGTGGCCCAGATCGATCAGACGGTTGACCCACATGAGCTGGCTGAAGGAGACGTAGAGCCAGCGGAACCACACGAGCTGGGAGCGGTGCGCAAGCATGGCGCGGATCGCCTTGGCATAGCGTACCGGCGAGGAGATGAGGGTCGCTGCCTCTGGCGCGTCGCCCTCGGGAGACGAGCCCAGGACGCGCGCAGCGAGTTCCCGCAGCGCGCACACGACGGCCCAAATCGGTCCCGTGTACTTTGTCGCGAGCGGGGGCGACTCGAGCTGCAGCAGCACCGGGCGCGGGACCTCGTCCGCACTGTCGAGATACGGGTTCAGGTGCGCGTGCACGTCGGCGAGGGCAATGTGGTTCGGGTGCTTGCTGACGCCCTGGTTGTCGAACGTGACGAGCTGTGCATACGTCAGCACGTGTTTCGGGGTTGGTCGAATGAGGCAAGCAACCCAAAGAGATGATGCAGATCACCCAGGACGAAATTGTCCTGAAATCATGGATCCTGAATTCACAACTCCATGCACTCTGAATGGCGGCAGAGCTTAAGTTAAATCACGAGATGGTCAAGCATCACACAAACCCCGCATTCGCGTGCTGCGGCATCGGTCTGGATGCCAGACGCCATTCACAGAATGCAGGGAAAGGAAGACGAAGGCGCTGTCCCGAAGCATGGCTTGGCTGCGGCACAAGAAAGAGATGCACTCACATGCGTGATTCCGTTGCGGTCAAGGTAGGGAGCGATCAGGTTCGCAACGAGCTGCGAGTCCCACATCTGCGAGGCGTTCATGCTGTCCTGCAGAGAACTGGAAAAGTCGTTAGCACACACGTTCCTCGAAAGAGCTGCGCAAGCCGGCACCGATGACGGAGTGAAAGCATGCACGACAGCGGAGCAGGCACCGCCCAAGCCAACTTACGGGTGCGTGATGAGGGAGACCTGGTCGGCCTTGAGGCCAAGGCGCGTGTACGACTGGTACAGCTCCTCCGTGCGAATGAGGCCGAGACCGTCTGCATTGCCTGTGACATGTCAGTTCTCCGTATGTGGTTGCGGCCAATAGCCAAGGATCCCGCCAAGAATAGTATTTTGTCAGGCACTACTCACCATCGGAAATGCAGATGGCGTGCATGTCCCAGCCGGCGTCGACCATGCTCAGGATGCTGGGAGCAAAGAACATCGCCTCGTCGTCCGGGTGCGCGGTGAGCACGGCGGCGCGGGGCTTGGCGACATCACCGGCGAGGGCGGAGAGCTGGGCGTCATTGCTGATCGTCGTCGTCCACTGCAGGAGCGCGGCAAACAGAACAACAATGAGGGCGAGGACGGGGCTGAAAGCCTTGCCAGAGCCGAGATCCGGTAGCGGCTTGGTCTTGCGCTGAGGACTGTCAAGCTCCGCGGCAATGTCAATGTCGTCCGGCTGTTCGTCAACGTCCGGCAGGCGTCGCGACGATGAGGGCGGGGACGCAGGCACACGAAGGCGCTCGATCGAAATGTGAAGGGTTCGCGTAATGGCTGATTGTCAGTCAGCACTGGAAGACCACAACGGGAGGATGTCGCAGGTGCGTGAGAATCCAGGAATTTTGGGACAGGTTCCAGGTAACCGAAAACATGTCGCTCAGACCACTGATCATGTGCGTTCCGAGTAACCGGTCGTGTCTTCACCACAACAAAGGCTGCGCTGGACAGGTACTGGGAACAACCATACCGGACCTGGCAACGAACAGAAGAAGGATCAGAAACACAAAACTACTCACCGTATGCGACGAGGTCGAGGGCCATGAAGAAAAGGAATGGAGCAGCCATCACGATGGCTAAAGCACGGAACGCATATGGGATCTGTGCGTCAGTCAAAGAGCACCGGTTGTAGCAGACTCACGTATCCGAATGGGAAGGGAAGTGTCGGGGTGAAGATGAGGTGGAAGAGGTCGCCGGTAGTCTGGAGAGACATGTTGGGCTATGGACGGTGTACCGTTGTTATGATGGTGGAAGCTGTTCTAAGATGGTGGTGATGTTGTAGTAACTCGGGGGAAGGCAGTCGAGTGTCGGACCGCCTACTTTTGAGAATGCTGTTGTACGGGGGCGATGGGAATGAGGGAATGTGTAGTGGTGGAATGTTGATTGCTCAGTGCAAGGTAGATGCGAGGCGAGAAGAGATGTGTAGATGTGCGGTGGTCAGGTGGGAGGTGAAAGAAGCGATAAGTCGAGGTCGATCTCAAGGCCGCAGAGGCAGATTGATTGCTTGAGCTGATCTGCTGGCTCGAGGAGGCTTGTGGGCTAGGCGACGCTAGGCTGGGCGCTACTGCTCGGTGCCGTTGAAGCGTTGCGGCAAATTCGTCGAGAATGGACGAAGGGCGAAAGAGCGTGGGAGTTGGGGACAATCGCGGAGGCCGGGGGGCGTGAAGAATGTTTCACGAGTGAGGCGAGGTGTGAAAGAGACGAGGTGGTCGAAGCAATTGAGAAGGAAGAGGGAAGAAAAAGGCCAAGGAGGCAGCGAGCGAGCGACCAAAAGGTCGGTCGGGTCGGTCGTTGGTGACAGAGGAGATATGTGGAACACGGTACCTTGAGTGCAGGACCAGGAGCTTGGCGGCGGTATCGGTATGCTGGGCCGAAGCACCGAGGGGAGCTTGGGCTGGTCGGGAGGGAAGGAAGGGCAGGGGTGATGAGCAATGAATGATGCGGTGGCCGATATGTGGCTTGGGACCTGTGGACCTGGGAGGCAGCTGGCTCTGCCCAGGTACGGATGTTGGTACGGCTGGTGGTACGGCTGGTGCGGCGGCCAGATGTTGCGTCGAGGGTGAGCTCGCTGAGCTAAACGGAGCACTGATTGCGATATGGCCAGGCCAGGTATCGCGACCTAGCGTGCTTTCACTCACTGTGTCCGCTCTGCCCGCTCTGTCCGCTCTGTCCTTGCGCACTCTGTCGTTGACCCTGGAACAGTGCCTAATGGGCGCTGCGTGGTGAGTGCACAGAGAGGAGGGCGTGCACAGATGGGAAGGGCGGGGGAGCGTGTGCCGTGTGTACCGGGCTCGCGATCAAAGGGGACCCGCGGGGGTGATTGTTGCAGAAGAATTTCATTCTCGTACGCTGGCATGGTTGGTTGCCATCTTTGGTCGCCGTGGGCGGTGAGGGTCGGACTCTTTTGGGCCCAAGAGACTCCGAAGCCTGGGCGTGATGCCAGAGCCGCCGGCCTGCAGCTTGTTCGGGACAGCGGCGAGGGTCCTCTCCCGACCCTTTGCCCCGTCCCTCGCTGGTGGGAAAATCGCTATCACAAGCCCAGGCACCCGGTCCCCTCCGTCCCTCCGCCCTCTGCGACCACCGCCCTCTCCATACGGGGTCTCCTCCACCATCCCTCCGGCCCTCCTGCCCCCGCTTTACGCGCCTCGCTCGCCTTGGCGACCGTTCCCTTTCCAAGCCTCCCTTTCAAGTGCACCCGAATCTCTAATCAGCCTATCGCACGTTCTGATGCCTGCGCATTCTATTCCTCGGATCCTCGCAAAGATCCCTCGACGGTACAACCTTACCACTGCCATTCCTATGTTCCTATGTCAGCCGCCCCGTCTGGACTCCCCACCCTACGCTGCGCTGTCCGCCGGCTTGGCCTTTCTCGTACATCTATTCTTCCTAGACAACATTTGACGCCTTCCCCCCACCTTATCCTCTGTTGCACGCACCCAACTGTCCGCTCAGTCGCCGTACGCCGTAGGGCCACGGCTCAGCGAGGTCGAGGACAGTCTGCGCTAATTGCGCCCAGATCAGTTCGCAATTCATTTGTTGCACAGCTCGACAGCTGCACGGGCGGCGGACACGGGAGCATGACAGAATGCCGTTTACATCAGAGCAGTTTGCGAGGACTCGCCGTGGGTGGCGGCGCATTCCACTGCTCGCAATTTTACCAGACCTAACGTTAACGCGTTACACTCGGACCCTGTCAATCCCTCTCAACCCTGCGCGTCCAGGCTAAATCAAGCCGGAACATCTTCGGCGTTATCACGTGACAACCAAATTATAATCGCGTGGCTTGGGACGATCGGCGTCTCGTGGGATTCGTGCGCCAACCGCGTGAGCAAAGTAGCCGGTTATTGCACGTGACCTGGCGCGCCAAAAGTTGATCCCTCTCAACTCCGGTCGCACTTCGACCAACGTCAGTCGGCTCAACGGCGTCGAAAACGCATCTGCAATCTCTCCCATCCAATCCGCGCTCCGGCAGACCTCTTCAGACGTCCTGATCTCAGGTTTAGATTTTCTAATCTGGCCCAGCCTTGCGATATATCGGCGTCAAAAATCTAGCTCCGTCCGCTGTGCGCCCCTGTCCTGTCGTCCTCGATCGAGTCGTTTGCCTTTTTCACCGAGGTGTCGTTCGCCCAGCTCTCCATCGACCGCTAAGCACCATGTCGTCCAACAACCACCAGGGTATCCTCGTCACCGCCTCGAAGGTGCACGTCCCCTTCAAGGCTGAGCTCCTCCAGGCCATCAACGACCCGCGCTTCCAGAAGCGCGCGCCTCACCTGGTCGGCATTCTCGCGACCAAGAAGGAGGATGCCCGCAGCTACGCCGAGGTGAGCAGGAAGAGAGAGGGTGTCGTAATCGAGGCAGCGCAGCGTTGAAAGTAATTGTATTATGCGCTTGTCCTTAGTGGCCCCGACCGAGCGTAATCACGTCGATCCAGAAGCTGACGATCAGTTCACAAAGCGCGCTTGCGAGCAGATCGGCATCAACTTCGAGCTGCGCCTGGTTGGCCAGGCCCGCGAGGGCATGGACGGTGCTGGTGTTGGCATCGGAGTCGAGGAGGCCATCCTCGAGGCGAACGAGGACGACGACGTTGACGGCATCATGGTGAGCAATCTCGGAAGCTGTAAGCCCGGCAAGATTGCAGCTAATCCCAGGTCTACTACCCGATCTACGGCGACCGTCAGGACCAGTACCTGCAGTCCGTTGTCTCCCCGGTCAAGGATGTTGAGGGTCTGAACCACCAGTTCCTGTTCAACCTCTACCACAAGTGAGTCACCGTTGTTTGTGCCACATGGTGCCGTGGCTGACCTCACTAGCATCCGCTTCATCTCTCCCCTTACCCTCCGCCCCGTCCCCGGCGCCATCGAGACTGGTGACCAGCCTCCTGAGGGCACCGTCAAGTCGATTCTCCCGTGTACCCCCCTCGCGATCGTCAAGGTGCTCGAGCACGTCGGTGTCTACAACTCGCTCATCCCGTACGGCGACCGTGCGCGCGGCAAGGTCATCACGGTCATCAACCGTTCCGAGGTTGTCGGCCGCCCGCTGGCCGCCCTTCTCGCCAACGACGGTGCGCGCGTCTTCTCCGTCGACATCACCGGCATTGTCGAGTTCTCGAAGCGCCCCTCGAAGCAGTCCAAGTACAACCCCCACCACGTCATCAACCCGACCGACCTGAGCCTCGAGGAGGTGCTCGGCCGCTCGGACGTCGTCATCTCCGCCGTCCCGAGCCAGAGCTACAAGGTCCCCACCGCGCAGCTCAAGGACGGCTGTGTCTGCGTCAACGTCGCCGGTGAGAAGAACTTTGAGGCCGACGTCCGCGAACGCGCCTCCATCTACGTCCCCTCCGTCGGTGTCATGACCATTGCCATGCTCCAGCGCAACCTCCTCCGTCTCTGCAAGTACCAGGACATGGTCAAGGAGGCCACTCAGGCCAAGTCCGCGTAAGCTACGAGGGAACTGCGAGCGAAGCGAGCAGCGAACGGCGTACAGCGCGGCGAGTCGTAAACATCGGCTCAGCCAATTTCTTGTCACTTTTAGATAGAATGTAAACGAAACGGCTTTATGCAATAGGGATTTATGTTGCTTTTTAGAGCCTGCATCGCATCTCCACTGCCTCGCTTGACATTCAGTCACCAGACCAGCTCCTGTGCCTGCGAGCGGTGTACAACAGTCGAGACCGTTGACGACGTCTACACGGAATGCCGCTTGAGGTGCTCCAAGTCTACACATTTCCCAGGCATACATGACAGGCACGCACGGACATGTCCGCCTGTCCGCGGACTGGTCACGATAAGGCACGAGAGGTGTCATCGGAATGTCATCGGAGTGTCATCGATTGTCATGACCTTTCGCCTATATAAACAAACCTTTCGACGACCATATCTCCCCCGTCGCTCAACTCACACCCCCCATGACACCCTCTACTGACTCCCCCAGCCCAGGGCTACCACCCAGGCCAAACAGCCCAGAAGTGTCATCGTCATCGGAGTCACGTGATTTGGCCGTCGCTGCTGCCCAGGACCAAGACCAGAACCAGGACCAGGACAACTCGAATGCTGCGGCAGGCAACCGGCGACGCGAAAACACGGGCGACCCGGATGACCCCTTGGTCGCAGCATTCATGGCTATGGAGGAGGGGACGGCGACTCGGAACCAGAGAAGAAGGGTGCGCATGTTTCTCGGCCGCGCTCCGCGGGGCAGCATGATAGACGGCAAGAGGATGAAGTGCCTTCTCGCGTTTCCGAGCGAGATGATGAAGGCCTGGGAGGACGTGTGGGAGCGCGAGCAGCGCGAGCAGCACGAGCAGCACGAGCAAAGCGAGGTCGTGGATGTCGGCGAGGTTTACTCCGGTGCTCCACCCGCAGGAGACGCAGGCACTTCCGACGATACGCAGCAGAAAGAGCAAGAGCCGAACGTCCAAACCACCAGCGACGACAAGCTCGAGAGCACCGAGAGCGCCACAGCGACCGACATTCTCACCCGCGTCCGCAAATTGATGAACAGGGTCCTCCAGGGCCAGTTCCAATACGACGAGCTCGGCAGCGACGTGCACGTGTGTGCGCGCTCGATCGACTCGGACCTGCGCGAGCTCCTCACACGCGCGCGCGCCGAGATCGACACCGTGCCCTTCCGTGACGTAAAGTCCGCAACTCTGACGCAGTACACGGACGCATGCTTCCTGCTCGCGCTCTGGCAGCTGTTCCGCCCCATGGCGCCCGCCTCGGTCCTGGGCCCGGGGCGGAAACGGCGCCGCAGCTCTGCGTCCGACGTTCATGCGCGGCGGTGTCGCGCGTGCCGGGAGGTTCTGCCCGAGGTGCAGATCAAGGTCAAGACGCGCGTCCAGGGACTATGTGTGTCCTGCAGCGCTGAGGCGATCAGGTTCGCGAAAGAGGCGGGAGATGGAGACGGGGGCGAACCGCTCGCTGACATGTGGGCGTTGGCGGAAAGGTGGGTGCTGGAACATCGCTCGGCGTCGCCCACGCCCCCTGCCCCGCCTGCCCCTGCGGTTTCTGCTTCTGCCGAATCAACCGAACCCGGCCGACCAGTCGGACCAATCGACCCCTCAGCTCTCATCGAGATCCCGGACGAGCCTCAGAGGGAGAAGACGATTCCGCGCGCATACACCGCCAGTCCACATACTGATGCGGACCCCTGGATCTCCGACGCGGGCGACGGGGCGCGCTTCATCGACGCCGTCAAGATGCTCGATCTCGCACTCATAGTAGCCGGGGGCGGGGACGAGGGGCGTCGCGAGCTCATCCGCAAGCTCGATACGGAGCTCCAGCGGCATATAAGGGAAGCGAGGGAGGGCGAGCGCGACTTTGACGAGTTTGACTGGCCCCGCAAGTCGAGGAGCCGGGCCACCACTCCCGCCGCCGGGCCACCACTCCCGCCGCTGAGGCCGCCGCTGAGGCGGGCGAGGCTTCAACAGGCGTGGGGGACTTGACGTGTGCCCGCCAACCCATTCCGAGCATCGACCCGCCCAGTCTACAAGCATACTCCTCCCGCGACGCCGGCGCTCCCTTCGTCCTCCGACGCTATGCAGCCAATGGCGAGCACCATCCCCGCTGGCAAGCCCTCGATCGCTGGCAGAGGGCCAGATACCTCCTCCGTCGTACGGGACGGGGGCGCGTCGTCCCCGTCGAGCTTGGGGGGAGCTACACCGAGGCAGGCTGGGGGCAGGCGATTGTGAGTTGGCAGCAGTTCCTGGCCCAGGCGGGGTGGGAGGGACCGATGGTGCCCGAGGAAGATGTCGAGGACGACGAGGCGATTGCGAGGGCGATGGCGGCCGACGGGGATGACGAGGAGGGCGAGATGTGTGAGGCGTTGGATAACTTTGCCCCTGCTGCTTCTTCCAGGGCGGGTGTACAGTTCAGTCGACGCACGAGCGAGGAGATGGAGAAGGAGAAGAGTGAGGAGAAGGAGAGGGAGAAGGAAAGAGAGAAAAGGGATGACGCCGTGCCAGTGTATCTCGCACAGCACGGGTTGTTCCGTCAATTCCCTGCGCTCGAGGCAGACTTCTCCGTCCCGGACTACGTCTTCTCCTCCCCAGAGGCACAGCTCGTACCCCCCGGTGTCGCATACGCGCCACCCTCCGAGCCACTCGTCAATGTCTGGATCGGAAGCCCCGGCGTGCTCTCCCCGGCTCACACGGACCCGTACTTCAACTGTTATGTCCAGGTCTTGGGACGGAAGAGGGTATGGCTCGCCCCGCCCTCGGTCACGGAGCACATGCACGCGTTTGGCGGCAAGGAGAAGGATGGCGAGGGCATGGATGTGGATCCGGAGTGGGTCATGATCCAGAAGATCCGGAAGCGCGCAGACGCGGAAGACCAGGACAAGGACGCGGACGAGGTAGAGGACAAGGTCGAGGGAGAAAGTGAGGGGAGAAAGGTGGGTGATGAGGAAGGGGACGAAGAATGGGACGACGAAGAGGACGAGTCGCTCTTTGCCTCGCTCATGACCAACACTTCGCGCCTTCCTTTGCTCAAGCCTGGCCAGAACGTGGACAGCATTGCGGCAAAGTACCCCGACTTTGAGAACGTGCTCCCGCACGCTATGGAGACTGTCCTCGAGCCTGGAGACATGCTCGTGATTCCGCCGGGGTGGTGGCACGCTATGCGCCAGGAGGGCGATGGGCCCGGCTGGAGCATCTCCTTCTGGTACTGAGCCCGTCATTTGTAATGACACCCAGGGTCGTCGAGAAGGACCCATTGATTGTATAAAGTAATTGTGAAGAGCGTAGTCAATCATGTCAGAAGCAATGAACAATGAGTAATCCGCCGCACGCACGCTCAATCTAACCTACATCGCGAATCTACAATGCCCCCGCAAAGAGCGCAGGCTGAAGGGTATATTCTGTCTTTTCCAATCCTCCGCATCTCTTGAGACAAAAACGGACAAAACAGACATGGCTGGATTTCGAAGTTTTCTCGCGTCTCCTTCTCCTCGCTGCACTCGCTGCACAAGCATGGATTACCGGTTGCCGGCGGCCTGGGGCTGGTTCCATGAGAGCACTGGTGTCAGCTAGATCGCGAGTTATCGAGCGAGGGAGGGGGGACTCACGGCTCATGTCTCCGAGCTTTCTCGGCTTGATGAAGTGGCGGATGAGGCCGGCGATCGCGAGCACGACGCACAGAATCGCGACGGCGACGTACGCCCAGCCCAGGAACGGCTGCTTGCCGCCGACCCAGGCGACAGTCGAGATCAGGATCGACTTGGTGCCGCCAAATTGCTTGACGGGGTAGTCTGGAAGTCAGCTAAGGTGATGTGTTCCGCAGCTCTCCGCATGGACTCACTCATCATCGCGACGGCCTCGTACGTGCCGCTCTTCATGACGTCGTCATCGTTGCGCGCCCACAGCTTGCGGAATGTGGGGAGCGCAGCAACACGCATCCAGACGTGGAAGTGCTCGTCGGCCTCGAGGTTGGGGTAGTTGTCCTCCGAGTAACCGTTCGGGTACTTCTCGTGCCAGTTGGGAGGGGGCAGGTAGTCGGTGATGTTGCCGTACGGCTTGTCGACGTAGTTCTTCGCAATACCGTGCCAGGCAATGTTCTTCTCCGAGAACTGGTACGTCTCATTGCTCGCGCCGTTCGACGGGTTCAGCAGCGTCACCTTGCCCGCGTTGTACGTGTCGTTGAAGTACGAGTTGGCGATCAGGCCACACGGGTAGTACGCCTTACCGCCAGAGCTCGTGACGGGCTTGCAGTTGCCGTCGTTGATCTGCGAGACAGTGCGCTTCTTGCCGAGCAGCTGGTCGGGGTCGAAGCTTTGCACATATCGACGGTGGTTCTGGTAGCTGGGCAGGTCAGCTTGCAGCCGTGCAACGCAGCTTACTAGTTGGTCAGGCGGTAGTAGAAGAAGACTCCGGGTCCGAGATCGTAAGGAACGTCAAACTGAATGCGGCACTGAGCACGCTCGCCAAGCGGTCTCGACGAGACGTTGGAGAAAGACCACTTCGGGGGCGGGATGTCGCTGGCCTTGATGTGGGACCCCGTCTTGAGCGAGTACGAGTACGCTCCCTTGGGCATGGTCGCGAACGTGCCATCGGTAGGGGCATCGGCGTCGCATTGCGTGTAGTCGAGGGTGATGTCGGTCACCTTGCCCGAGCCCCAGATGATGAGGGCTCCGATCGGAGCGAAGATGATACCGATGATGAAGAGTGTTGGCAGCACAGCCGCGGGCGTCAGGATGGGCTGCCATGCCTTGAGACGCTGCTGCTTGAACGCCGTGTCTGGAGATGGTCAGCGAAAACAAGTGACTGAGGCCGACGCCGACGCCACGCCACTCGGTCATGACGAGTACACGCTTGGGCTGAACTCACTGGCGGGTCGTTTAGACCACTTGACCTTCTCCTTGGGAGCGTCATGGTTGTTGGTGTCCTCCGATTGGAGGTTGTCGTTGTTTCTGTTTTTGCGCTTGAAGAGGCCCATTGTGCGGATGGGTCGACGAAGCGTGGATGGACGTGTGGTTGATCAAGAGTGAGATTTGGTCGAAGCGCTAGGAAGCGGCAACGTTGAAATCGAACACAGGGCCAGGGCTCCATCCGCGAGCCCGCGCTGTGCACGCGCGGCGGCCTACGGACACACAAGCACACAGCCTGGCGCAGGCGTCAGCACAGGCAGACGTCGTTCCCCGGGCCCGAAGCCAACCCCTTAGGCCCGCCAAGAATTCGTAGGTGTTTGGTCCGCCGGGCGCCTTTCGGCGGCCAGCATCACGTGATTCGCCACAAAGGTGGAGGTCGCAATGAGATTTCGGTGTCCAGATGTCTGAACCGGGAGGGAAGACACAAGGTTCAACAATAACACACCCGGGTCCAACGTGCACCATGCCCAAGGCTACCAAGAAGAAGAAGGAGAAGGTCGAGGACTTTAAAGTGAGCTGGTAGTTTTTGGGACGTGAGCTGACGGGCAGAAAGCGAAGCTCAAGCTTGGCAAGGGCAAGAAGCAGGCATCAAATGCGACCGACACATCCTTCAAGGCGCGATGTAAGTGCCTCAGTGTGTCACGGCTGACGTCAAGCGATCGCTCTTCCATCTCAGAAGCAGCTTTCAAGAGCACTCGCACGCGATGGCCAAGAGTCGACCGAGACGCCGACAACGTCTTCAGGCTTGACGCTTGACGATGTGCTCATCCAAATGCGGCACGTGAACGCCGGTGTGAGGAAGGAGTCTCTGAACCACCTGAGAGAAGTTCTGCAGGCTGGCGTGCGGCTAGGTATTAACTTTGGAGATCGACACGGTGAGGTCTCCAAGGTTGTGAGGGCTATCGGAGGCATGGTGACGGATGACGTGAGCTACTCAGTTGTGGCCAAGAGCTAACGACCAGGACGGACATGCGCGCAAGGCGTTGCACGGCTTCATCGAGTGGTACATCGCCCGCCTCCCTCGGACAACATTGGTCCCTTACCTTCCGTTGCTGGAGCTGCAGATCGCCTCGGCGCTCAGTCATATCTACCCCGCTGTGCGATTAGATGCGTGCAAGGTGGTCGAGATCCTACTGGACACGCACCCGGCTGAGGTGATCGGGTCGTGGCCGGCACCGAGTGTGAGCAGCAGTGTTGCGGGATCAGGATCAGGATCGACGATTTTCGAGGGACTGCGACTGGCTGCTGGCCTCGGAGGAGAGAAGGGGGCGAGCACGCAGGGCGGCTTCCGGTTAACGGCGGGCAGCAAACTGGTCATCCTCCGTGCGATCCGGACATTCATCGCGAAGGCGCTGGAGCCGTTGCTTGCTGCTCCGGAACTGAGCCATCCGGAGCCGAAGCTTGGCGAGTTCACTCTCCAGAAACTCGAGGTGCTCAGCGCTGCTGGACCGTGGAGCTTGGGCGAGTACGACTGGGCAACGCAGTGGGAAGAGCCGGATACGAGCTCCGCGGGCGACATTGCGTCGCCCGAGGCCCTCAACGAGATTTCTGTGAGCTGAAGACATGCCGATTCCAACTGACAATCAGCGAACGTACCTGTCTCTTCACTCCCTGCTGGTCGCAACGTTTATGGAGGCTGCGCCGAGCGCCTTCTCTGTCTCATCCACGGCGACGACGGACCAGGTTGCCCTCGATCTGTGCAGCGTGTGTGTCGACCTCGTGACTGTCTGCGCTCGTGCGCTGCTCGGACAGGCCGACTTCGCCTCCCTGGATAGTGCAAAGGAGCTCCGCTCCGCCTTCAGCGAGTTCCTTAAGCGCATGGCTGCGTACTTCCCCTTCGGACGTGGAGAGGGAGCGGCGTCAGCGGCGTCCGACGCCGTGTTCGGCATGTCGCTGAACTACGCCAAGCTGGCTGTTGCGCTCGCGCCCGTTCCGCCAGCAATCGCGCCTCAGCCCGTGTGGAAGCGTCGAGTGCGCGCGATCGACACCGCCTGGCGCGGCGTCAGCAATAAGAGCGACCCTGCGCTCGCCGCTGCCGCTGACTGGGTCGCATCGTGCCTCGAGCCGAGCACGGATGCGCTCGCCCCGCAGCTGTCGCCGACGAGCTACGCCGAGCTGCTTCCCGTCGTTCGATCCCTGCTCCTTCGCCCAAGTACGGCAGAGCTCGGCACGCAATTCGTGCACGCGGTCCTGCGTCAACAGTCAGCCAGCGCAAAGCGGCGCGCTAGCGATGCCTTCCTCGCCTCCCTCTTCCACACGCACGAGGACCGATGGGGTACGCTTCCCTTCTTCGTTCCGCTCGGCTCTGGTCTGCGCGCAGGATTCGCAAAGTGGCTTCAGAGCGTGCCGAAGACGCTCTGGGAGCTCGGCAACAAGGACCAGGAGGCGACGGAGCAGCTGCTCCGCTTCCTCCTCGATCTGGGGCGGAGGGCACCGAACGGGCTCGAGAAGCCGTACTCCCTCGTCGAGGCTGGGGAGCTCGAAGGTCTCGCTGCCAAGCTTGCACCTTTCTTCTGGGTTGCGCAGCGTAGCATGCTCGGACCCTGGGGACGATTGGATGACGGCACGCAGCGACTTGCGCTCGACGTCGCCCGCGTATGGGCGCCGATGGACGAGAGGCTCGGCGCGGCCGTTGCTGAGGCGGTCGAATCACGCCCGTGGGCAACAGAGTACTGGGCTCGGTCATAGATAATGTATGCAATAGTGTACTAGTACAGATCCCTCTAAGAACTACACGAAACTAGACGAACAGCTTTCGCGCGACGTTGCGCACCGCTTCCTGCGCAGGGGACGCCTTGCGCTTCGTGCCCGACTCGGGGTGGGGCTTGGTCTCTATCGGCCCGATGTCGCGGGGCTTGAGCTCGGCAAGCGGCTTGGGCAGAAGTACGGGCGGCGTCGGGCGCGGCGCACTCGTGAACCACCGGTGCGTCAGCGCCGCCTTGGCGCTTATCCGCTGCTTCGGGTCGTACTTCAGCAGCTCGCGGCAGAGATCCTGCCCATCCTTGCCCAGCGACGCGACGAGGTTCCACCACGGGTTCTTCGGGAACTGCGCGACCTCGGTGTAGTCCGGAAGCGACTTGTGGCCCTGCATGTCAGTTAATGCGGCTACCAATGAACTCACGGGCCAGTCCTCGTCTGTTGGCGTACCCATCGCGTGGAACGTTTTCTTCAGCTGGTCGATGTCCGAGTCACCCGCCAGGAACGGCACGCGCAGTACGAGCTCGACAAGGATCGTTCCTATCGACCACATGTCCACTGCCGTAGAATAATAGCGCGCACCCCACAGAAGCTCCGGGGGTCGATACCATCTGGACTGTCAGCTACGCGGCAAAACTGCCATCACAGCTTGAACTCACCGAGTGATGACCTGCGATGTCATCTTCCCTCCCGCGTCGCCAAACTCGCGCGCGAGGCCAAAGTCTGCAATCTTGAGCTCTCCGTTCGACGCGATCAGCAAGTTGTTCGGCTTCAAATCCTGTCTGTCAGCTCTGCGTAGCGTCGATCGAGCTTACGCGGTGGAGCACGCCGAAGCGGTGGATGTACTCGAGTCCTCGCAGACTCATGACCGTCCACGACTTCATGTCTGAGGTTTGGAAGATCAGGCTCTTGTCCCGGATCACGGCCTCGAGATCCGTGTCGAGGAACTCGAGCACGAGGTTCACGTTCTGCTTCACACTGAATACGTCCAGGAGCTGATGTCAGCTGACAAATACGGCCGGATAGCTTACCCCAATGATATTCGGGTGGTGTAGCTCCTGCAGGAACTTGACTTCGCGCAGCGCCGTCATATCCAATCCATCCTTCATTTCGCCGACCTTGATCTTCTTGATCGCGACTGAGGGTTAGCTCTCTAGATGAAGATGAATAAAGCTCGCGACTGCGGCGATAGCGGCGCTCGACGGTGATGCCGGCGAGGCATGGCGTCGCATGTGGGGCGGATGCATACCTTTTCTGCCGGTCGACTTCTCAACCGCTGTGTACTATCAGCTACGACGAAACCTTTTTCAGCTGTCACCCCACGTACCCTTGTAAACGTTGGCGAAGGTACCCTCGCCGATCTTCTTGCCCTTCTCCCCTGCCCGTCAGCTCGCAAGATCCGATCACTAGCTTACATCTTTCGGCTCTCCTCTCATTCTCCTGAGCAGCGAGATCCATCTTACCGGAAGATGTAAGGGGTGAAGAAGTGTCAGAATGCGCCGATTGATAGCCTGAACAAAGGATTGTTGTCGCCCCGCTCCGCCTGGCCGTTATTGACGAAACCTCCACCCAATTCCACCTCCACCTCATGGAACCAAATTCACGCGAGGACACACGTCATGTACAGCGCTCACATCATCCGAGCGTCGCAGCAACGAGGAAGCAGTTGTGCTCTGATGCACATGGATGTCTCATAAATCGTGAACTGTGAACTACAAATTTCCTAAGCCTATAGTTGCCTACACCTTGTTGCCGTGCTGGAGCAGAATGGCAACGAGAACGAGAATGACCGCAATGATGAAAGCGATTACGCTGAACGAAACACCGCCGAAGCTTGACGGGACGACGATCGTTCGGATCGTGTTGTCCGCGCTTGCGGAGACAATCATCGTTGCGGACGGGTTGAACTTGAGTGCTGTCGGCGGGAACGAGTGCACCTGCAAGATCTTGAGGAGGGGCTGGGGTCAGCTGAAGCGTACTAAGGCAGCTTACAGAAAGGGTTTTGGCGTCAAGCAGCCCGATCGAGAGGTCGGAAGCTCCGAACGCGACCAGTCCGTTCTTGCTAACATCCAACACGGTGATGGGCTTGCCAGCGACATCCCGCTTCAGCGTCAGGTCCCACTTGTACTTCGGCGTGTCCTTCTCGTCTCCGTCCTGGCCCGGAAGCTCGCTCGCCTCGTACCGCGCGATGTACGCCTTGCGCTGTCCCTTCTTTTGTCCGCGTTTCGGCAGCACAGAGTTAAGGACAGCGAGGATGGAGAGGTTGTTATCGTTCGATGCCGGTGTCGAGCTCGGGGTGAAGAAGCGGGCGGCGCGGAACTCGACCTTCGTGTCGTCGATCACCGGGGCGTCGATCGTCTGCGAGATCTCCAATCTCGGCACAAGATCCTTCTCCCCAGCCTCGAACTCGTAAATCGCAAGTTTCGTCGACGTTGTGATGGCAAGCTGAGCAAAGTTAGCTAGGTCAAATAGGGACGACTTACCCAAGTGCCGCTGGGGCCTCCCCAATCGAGATCGACAAGATCGCCGCCCTCAGGGTTGATCACGGTGATCGGGCTGAGGGAGGGGAACCGCAAGATGGACACCTTATTGTCCGTCGTTCCGACGGCGACAAATTCTGACGATCCAGACTTGGAGGACAGGGCAGTGATTTTCTGGTAGGGGTAGTCGTCCGAGTACGGTGCATCCAGCGTCTGCTGTGATCGAACGGGTGAGATCCTGCAAGGTCAGCTCTGCGGGTGCGCTCTTTAAGTGATAAGACTAACTCGTTGTCTTTGTATGAGAACACGCGACAGTTCGCGTTCTTCCCCGCCTTCAGCGACGACTCCGACTGGTTGATTCCCGTGACGAGCTGCGACGTCTGTCTGTCAGCTTCCGGCAGTAAGAAGTTCAGCTTCGGGTGACTCACGCCGCGATCCAGCGCCAGCGTCATGGGCGCGTCCTCGTCGCTGCTGAGGTTGAGCTCAAAGACGTCCTCGACGTTCTGTCCATTGTTGGCTACTCGACAAAGTTTCTGCAATGGCGTCAGTCCGGGCGTTACATTACATTACGTCTGCGGCGCAGCTACGCGCCGCCGGGTGGTCTGTCGGCGGCGCATCGGCTCAGCACGGTCTCCAGACTCACGAATTTGTTCGCGATACCAGACTTGGTCGCGCCTCCTCCTCCTCCTAGCAGAACAGTGTCATCGTCCGTCCAGTCGAGACAGTAGACAGGGAATGACTTGGTCGGGTGCGCGTAATGTTGAGTTCTCGTCATCGCGGCTGGTGGAAGCGGCGGGAGGCACGGGAAGGGTGCTAGGTCGCGCGAAGGGGGGTTACGTCGGCAATCGTCCGGTTCGTCAAGGAGTGTGAGGGGATAGATGCGTTGCGGGGATGGCACCGGGTTGTCTGATGGTGAGAAAAGATGGAGTGAATATGTCAAGTGGCCAGAGACGCGTGACAAAACACGTCGTACAGAAGCGGCGAGCCGGCGCTGAAAGCACGACAGCCTGACGGCGTCATCTTAACCGAAAGCTGGGCGACACGCTGCTTGCACGTGTTTTTGCTTCCGACATGTCTCATGTCTCAGGCAGGCCCCCTTCAAGATTCAGTCACGTGCACGTCAGAAAGGATCGACAGAGTGGCAGACAGGCAGTCTGAAGAGGCGGTGGGTAAGAACACAGGTGATGCATAGGGAGTATAGGAGAAAAAGCCAAGATCAGTCTTACATGATATACGGCCGGAGCGCCCCAGCACCAACTAGTACTGACCTTCACAAGGTGACCTGTGGCCGCTGTGAACATTGCAAGGTGATAAATGACCACGAGAGCGCGGTGAAATGTGTCGCTCTCCGTTCCCCAAGGAAGACGTATCAGCGGCTGAACTCACTAGTGCAAATCGACAGCCGCCCTCAGCCTCCAAGTGCCTCAGACACTCCTGAAGATGACGAATCCACCGTGCTGGAACCGATCGCACCAGGTATGCTGCATGCGATCGATCGAGAGCACTCTAGCACTTATCGTTCTCATAACTGGGGTACCTTTTCCGAGGTTGAGGACCAGGTAGGAAGGCCTGCATTCAGCGCGCGGATCACCGGCGACATCGCCGCATCTGCAATCACCGCATCCGCAATCGGACTGCGTAAGAGCTCACCCATCGCTATGGTGTGACACGTGCGACCTGCAATTTCGGCTCTCGGAATGGGAAGACCGCCGCTGTGAGATCTGAGATGGTCACATGCGTTTAGTATGCAGTCGAGGCGATTGTTTATAGTCTCATTGTGCAGGTCAACAGTGCTCCCCAGGGACTTCACTGAGAAATGCTGGGTTTCACCTCTACGACGTGCCACTCATGATCTGATCAGTATTGTTCGAGCCGACTTGGGAAGACACTTGCACTTAGAACAGCCAACGTTCGAAGCATTGCTAAACTCAAAGCCGAGGCAGAGATCAACGACCGCAGCCTAAATCTTTCCATCCATGATCTGGCTAGTTTGTCTGCCAAGATCGAGCTGCTTATCGTAATCCTCGCTCTTGCGGAATGATTCTAATCCTCGCTGCAGGTGCAGCACAACGCATTATTTCTCCGCTGATTGGAAGCAAGACGTCCCTTGGCCGTAGCGATCGGGCGACCCCGAAGCATGGACACCTGGAGCAAGGCTTCGCCCTCGATGGTGCTGCCCCAGTGGCGAATTCCTTTGATGCTCGGGGTTGTCTCTGCATGTGAATCAGTCGGGCTCGGATTCCAGGCCACAAGAAGCGCCCGACACTTGGAACGCACCACTGGAACGCAGCCCAGACGAATGTCCGCGTGTTCCTGCGCGTTCCTGCCGTAGCATCCTTTAGCGTGTCGCGAAGAGCCGCTTCGAACAGGCTTGGCGCCACTAACGTGTGTCTTCGTCACGTTGTCGGAGTATCGTCGGATGATTGGCGAGACTAGCCCGTCACCTTGTTGAAGCGATCGCGAACCATTGCGGTCCATCGTGAGCGATTGCGAGCTCCGCGACGCGGGAGCGGAGACGTTCCTGCACTCCTGCGCTTGTGAGGAATGGTGTACATGTGTGGGAATTGAGCGAAGTCGTGGGGAAGGCTGGAACACGGACCTTTGTGAGGGAAGGTCGAAGAGACGGACGACGACAGTGCGGCCGCCGTATCACAGGCTAAAGTGTCCAGAAACCCCTTACTCGTAGCTCTCGCTGGGTTGAATCTGGCGTCCTCTCTTCAGAACTCATAGACACTAAAAGCTGAGCCGTTCCCACAAACGCTACGCCTAGCCTTGTGTCTGGCGCTGTGGAACCAGCGCTCCAGAATAGTCTACTGTCGCTTCCATCGGTTGTGTCGCCTAGAACGTCCTCTAGCGGCTCTTGCATAAAGAAGGAGAAGTAGCCTGTCGTTCGGACAAGTTCAACCGCTCGGCGCCCTCCGCTGTGGCAGTCGGGTCATGTGGCGGCGGACCAGGCGGCGCATTGTCGGATGAAACCCGGGAACAGGTATGAAGGCACCACCAAGACTGCAGGTCACGAGGCCACTGTTCGTATCGACAGTGGCGAGAAGGAACCGCCGTCCCTGGCCCTAACGGAGTTCCGCTGTGCCACGATTGTGTGCACGCACGGTGTAGCGGCAATATCGCGACGACTATCGATGCACTGCAGGTCACTGGCAGTCGGGCACTTGTAGGTAGCCGACGGTGTTTCTCGCAAATTCATACAGTCGCCAACCTTGGTGACGCGCAGACAAAAGGTCAAGCGCTTTTGCAGCTGATTCGAAAGTCCGTCGAAGAAAGATCGTGCTCGATAAAACGTCGCTCCATTGAATAACCACAGATCGATCATTGGGAGAGGGCCAGCGCGCCACAAATGTCCACGCAGCAGAGCGCCCCATGAAGCTTCCCCATCTCTGCCCAGCATGAGAGAGATGCTGCATTGGATTACCCGGGTGCTGAACTGCAGAGTGTCCTAGACGGATGAATGGAGTGCCTCGAGGTAGACAGTCACATAATCGAGGTCTTCGCTAAGTGTTTCCTGCAATGTGGCGCTCTCGCTTGAGCGATCCTTTCCCTCTCATCCAGCCCGTCTTACGCAAGAGCATTCGTGCTCCAAACCCACTGCGGGCAAGTCCACGGATCTGGTCCAATCTGGTCCACTTCAGCATCTCCTTCTCCAAAGGGTGGCACATGTGCCCGATCAGCCGGTCCAGTCAGCCAGTCCAGTCAGCTGAGTGTTAGTCTCCTCCCCCTCCTTTACGAGAACCAGATTTTTTTCCGACGAGACAAATCCTCGGGTCACCTCCAGAGGCGTCGTCAGGTCATGCAGGCGGCGTCAGCGGGGCGCGTCGTGCGCCCTGCCTTGCTTGTTGCGCGCGGACTGGGCGTCGTCGCCGGCTGAAGGGGGGGCGATGCCGCGGCCCTATTGCGGTTCGACGATGCTTCGTGAGGTTTATCTGTTTTTCCGAGGTTACTCCGCGGATCTGCACCTCCGTCCATATGTCTCATTCCACCCTTCTGTAATGACGCACGCTGCTCGGGCAAGGCGCAAGGGATGCTTGTGCACTGCGTGCAGGTCTTCGCCCTCGCTAGCGGTACTAGAGGGTCGGCTCGATACGGTTGCCCGCAGTCAATTGTAGAGTAACGGAGAGTGGGCGAGACTTGAAGGTCAGACATCGCTTCTGGCGGAGTTGCGACATGCGACCTGTTGTGAGCAACTGCCGCCATTCTCATGACCACCTTATGTCTCACTTTGCCTGCCCCAGATCCGTCGATGCCGCACATACCGCAGCAGAAGCTCGGTGTGCTCGGTCTCGCTTCTGGAGATGAGATCCGGTCGCTTATCGGGGGTGGAGGTGTGGTGGACTAAAGCGCCACTCGGACTGGCGGAGGTGGTGCGCTCCAAGAGCGGCGCTGGCCGGCTTCGCGGAACCTGCCGACTTGGGCGAGCTGCGCATGACAGTGCACATTGGGCTACTAACCGCGCCCCGCATGGTGTTGATTTCCGCTGGACATGTGGTTTTGTCGCAGGAGGTTGACGGTGGTGCTCGGCGACGGAACTGCGTTACTACAAGAAATACACCCCCGTTCTCCGTTTAAATCCAACCGCCGAGCTGCAACCCTCCCCCTTCTCAACGAGAGTTCCCTCCGACGACCAGGAACAGTGACCCGACCCGACCCACTTTTCGTATGTTACCTTGGTAGCCCTACAGGCACCCCGATCGACTACGAGTGCGGTGACATCGTTGCTGGCAGCCCCACCCCGTGCTGAGAAGGCTGGCCAACCGGGGCCCGGCAAGCGAGAGCCCAAATGCGATGCAAGCACCCTGCGAGTGCTTGGAGCATGGTGACGGGCATCGGTATGCTGCAGACGAAAGGGGAAGTGTGCAGGGTGTCGTGGTGATTAGATGGTGTTAAAGTTGGCGGTTTGCATTGATTGTCTGAAAAGGCGGAAGTGCATCAGAGGGTGGATGGCATAGATGCGAGTGGATGCGTTGGCGGCGTTGGCGACCCAAGGAGGGTCAGCATGCCACACTCACCTAAAGCTCTCCTAAGGCTGAGGGTCACAGGGCACGAGGGGTGACCTGAAAAATGCCTGGACCCCGGACCCGTCGGACCGTGAATGGTATCACGTATCGGTGTGTCGGATATGTGAGCTTGGGTACTGCCCTGCGCCGGGCCCAAGTTTACCGTACGCGCGACATGCCTTGCACTCGACAAGGGTTCAGAAAAGGGTACGAAGGGCACGCAAGGGCATCGCCGGCATGGGTCAAGTGCATTGTTGAAGGGTACCGCCTGCGATTTCTCCGCCTGCTTAGCGTGTTTCCGGTAAACCTAATTCCACAGTCCTGTTTCGTAATAGGGCTCATAGGGGCCCATAAGGGCGTGCAAGGGCTAACAAGGGCTCGCGACACTGTGAAAGGGCCGCTGAAGAGATCTTGCTTTTCCATTCTGAGCTAAAACTCCAGGTTCACACATGCGGCCATGCTTGCAACATGCGCACCTGGCCTGCACATGCTTCTTGCGTTGCAGCGTACCTGTGCTTTACCTGTGTGCGTAGACGTTCGTGTCACTCTTTATTCGCCGTCGATGCCGAGAACATTTGCAGGGTGGAGCGCGCTCAAGCGCACACAAGCGTACACAATTACCCGTCTGAGGAAGGCGGGTGCACGTACGCACTACCGTCAACCAAGTCTTGGAACTGTCAGGTCACTCTTGGTCGCCCTCGCTGGATACGTACCCATTAGGATCCGAGTTCTCCGAGCTCTATGCCGATTTGCTGGGTACGACGACTCACACTACGCGTACCACTCCCAGCCAATGCGCCGACAAGCTCAGAGCAGATGTTACTAGATCGTGAGGTGCCTTGGATGCTACGTCTACGAATCGCGTTTCGTTCCAAACGCGTCGCATGCTGTGCAAGGGCTTCGCACCGTATCCAAGTGAACCGACGTGCGTAGAGAGTTCTAGGCATTCCAGACAAACTGTATGTTCACCAACGCTCGACGTAGGCCGTCGGGGCTCGGAAAAGAATGACGCTGGTTCGCGCTGGGCGCATTACATGTCGTCAACGACGTAGATTATGTGCTATTGAGACAGAGCAGGGCAACTTAGGTTCGTCGCAGCGTCTGTCTGGCTATCTAAAAAATCCTCTAACGTAAACCGTCGACCCACCACTGTTTCAGTCGCGTAGAGTGTCCAACAAGACACCCTACTCTGTTGAGCGATGTGAACCGTCCCAGCACTGAGCAGGGGAAAAACAGACGTTGCCCCGTTCAGTCATAACGGCGACTGTGACTCGGATGCGCGCTATGGCCATGAGATGGATGTCCACGGGGTCCGTGGGGACCTAAATCCCGGGGTGGTGACCAGCTCGGTGGTGGCCGCTCATGATAGGGCGAGTACATCTGCGGAGGTGGCCCGCTGTGAGGATGGGGAGGTGACAGGCCATGGGGCGGAGGTTGCAAAGGTGGCAGTTGGAGTCCAGACCTGCTGTGATACGGTCCGCCCATTCCAACGGAACTGCTTCTCTCCCTTCCATAGCGCGGGGCAGAGTAGGAAGGAGCAGCAGGCGGAGCTGTGTGCGGGGGAGCTGACGGGTAGGGTGATCGGGTATCGTAGCCACCTAGACGAGGAGGAGATCGAACAGGCGACACTGGTCGACGCGGCCCTTGGTGCACTACGGGTGATGGCGCGGGAGGTAGCGGGGGAGGTAGTGCCGTAGGGACCGATATCCGCGGAGAGGGTTGTCGAGGGCTTCGCCTTCTCTGCTGGACAGTCAGCGTCGATGTAATTGGAAGGAAAGACTCACAATGTCCCCGCCAGCGTCCGCGCTCTGGAACCGCAGATTCTGTTCCCACTTTACCCATTGGTCGAGATTGGACTCGAGGTAGCTTATCCTTTCCGAGGCACGCTTGAGTTCATCTTGAAGTCGCCTGTTCGCCGACTCCAGACTTGCAACTCGGAGCTCTGCGTCAGCCGTGGACGGCGAAGCGAACCGGGAAAGTCGACTCGTTGACGCCGATCTACCAGGAGCACCCGGGATGACAGAGGGGCTCTGATCGAAGCGCCTCATCAGATGCTCGCCAGCATGCGGACCGTGGTATCCTCGTCCAGCGTGACCCTCTTCTGCATCCTCCAACCTCCTGTTCAGGATCGCACGTTCTTCCTCCAGCACGCGGATCCTTTCCTCCAAACTGTCCTGATATCCCTTCTTTCGATTGCGAAATCGCTGGGCCGCTAGACGGTTGGCTTCGCGACGCCGCAAGATCATCGATTCTTCCCCCGGATTCCCACTCGATGAGGCAGCCTCATCCCATGTCGGAGAGCTCGGCCGCTTCCTATCTGGTCGAGCCTTCGAGGATGCTGCAGACGACGATGACTCGCCTGCTCCTGGGGTAGCGGCAGTAGATGTCATTCCGGGCTTCGATGGAGACGACGAGCGTCGCCGGCCTGGCTCTTCAATATCACGCTCCCGCCTTGTGGAGCTACTAGTGCCTTCCGCTGGTGTATTGGTTTGCTGCAAGTGTCGCTGAGACGCATGGGGCTGTCGTCGTCGTGACCCAGGCGAGTCTGACATATCGACCGGACACGACACAGGCGGATGGCGAAACAGCGACCGCCACTGATAATCAAAGAATGCAAGAGAGCAGTGTCGGAAAGTTATCAATCATGGCGATGGTCGAGGGGCCTAAGAAATGCTCCTCAGGCTTATGTGACACAAGCGCCCGATACGGACAGGCGGGGAGGCGACCTTAGGTTCCAGAGGGTTGCGAAGCTAGCGTGGTGGCCCTCGGCGCGATGAGAACCTGAGTAATGTCCCGGTGCAAGCCTAACAGCGGTTGAGTTGTGATGTACCAGATTGATGGTAAAACCTAGGCTCGTTTGACGTATTTTGGATTGCTTGATTTGATCAAGCAGGTCGAGGCTGTCACTAGATTTGATAAGGGGCGGAGATCGGATGGGACGGCTCTTTCTAACGGACTGGCCAGGCCAACCTTGCCTTGAATTGGAGGTGTTGGATGGGTTTCCTATGGCAAGTTAGCTCAATCGTAGGTATGCAAGGGGGGGAGCAGAGTGGCGCGAGTGAGGGTGAAAGGGTCAGACGCCATGCACGTTTGGCTGACGCAAGCAGACAGCTGAAATCGACGCTAGATCTGGAGATCTCTGGGATGGTGTAACACCGGCCCGCGGCTATTGTGCTTATCCTACTCTGAAGCTGCAGTTCACGTTGAACCAACAGTCGAACGTGAATTGGAGCCGGCCAAAGCAGGAGGCTACAGACCCGACGCCGTCGGCTGCATCCGTATTGACGCCTCACACATGTCGGCGGTGGACAGTCCATTAGCACGAATGTACCAGTGTCCCTCCCGTGCCACTTGTCTTGCTTTGCCCTTCCGTGATTGCAACAGGTACTAACGGTTTCAGTGAACAGCCTTCCAGTAGCAACAGTGGCTTGGTGATGTCGTTGTGGCTTGAAGGGAATTTCCGACACTTGTCTGTCCAGCGATTGGTCTTGTGATCTTGACAGTGAGCTCGGTGGCCCTAACCGGCTATGAATGAAATCGATCGATTCGGTTACCAGTTGATAAGGGAAGGCTGAACCAACAATGGGAGCGAAGACGCCCCCTCGAAGGCACTACTGAGAACGTTCGAGGCTGCGCCCTAGAGGGAAGGTAGATGCGCTTGCAGGTGACTGCGGGCACTACTATTGCAGAGCGGTCGAGAATGGCAACCCAACCTGGGCTAGACGGTCGACAACAACGGGTAGCGAATGCAGCGACTGTTTGCAAATTGACGAGCAAGCAAACAGTGGAGAAGACTAATCGGTGTGTGTGGTGGTGCACGATGGGCCAGCCGGTATAGGAATTGAAACGGGGTTGAAGACCGAAGGAATAAAGTTCGAGAAGAACGAGGAAGGTGGACCGAGATGAGAGGGTGAAGCAGAGGAGGTGGTATAGGAAGGTGAGGGAAGGGGATGGGACAGGGACGAGGAGGGCGGCCTTGTTGGAGTCGATGAAATTATCTGGAGAGTAGAGTGAAGGAGAGATAGGAGATGGAGAGTTGCCGACAGACAGAGATCTGGCGAGAAAAGAGTTTGGGCTGGAGGAATGGCCGGAATGGAGTGTAGACGGGCGTTGGTTACGGGGAGTTGATTGATTAGGGAGATCGAGAAAGGCACAGCACCGAGCGAGGGACAGCAAGGGTTGGGAGGATCAGATGCACAAACTCTGCGTCCGTATATCCCGAACCGCCGCGTGTAATGTCAGAGTGTGCGGGGATACGCGGGGTGTGCGGGCGAGATGACAGTGGTGGATGGATGGTCCTGGCCGGACTCACAGGCTCACGCTCGCAGAGGAGGATATAGGAGGATGGGAGCGCAGGGATGTGAGGCACTTACCTGCGTGCTGCGGCTGGCTGGCTGGCTGGTGTTGGCTGAATGATGCTGCTTGTTGGTCCGGGGTGGGGTGCGTTGCAGGTGGTGGTGGATGGCCCCTGTGCGATCTGTCTTTGGTGGCCGGGGTGGGAGCTCGAGCGGGCGAGCCGCGAGCCGCGCGAGTCATCGAGCCAGGGTGCGCTGGTGCTGGCGGCGCCGCGGCGTCGATAATGTCAAGTTTGGGCTAGAGTAACCCTTAAGGACATGCAGCACAGGGTGACTCACTTACGTGGTCGGCTGAACTTTGCCATGTCCCAAACCGTCACCTTCATTGTGGATGCATTCTCTGCCATTACTAAACAATTTGATTCCAATTCAGCCCAGGCCACCTTAAGGGGGGCGCTTTTCAGACGTGGAACCGTCGTCGACGTACGTACGACACGACCGTTGGCCCAGGCCGGTGCCCGCAGAGCGCTGCCAGATGACCAGGCCCCGTCTGCCCTGGGCCTGCCGGCTTGCGCGTGTGCGCGGCAAAGGCACGGCGGACGGACGACAGCAGGAGAGGTGCAAGGGGGCTGGGGAAGCATCACCAGGAGGGAAACGAGATTAGCGGCCCCGGAAGAACACAAGCACTCACGTACAAGGTCATCAGGTAACCGGATGGACTGGGAATAAGAGTGTGTGAGTAGCAAGGTAGACAAGGGACCGGCCACAGGGCACAGGTAAAGGAGCAGAGGAGAGGGCAGAAGGGCACAGGGAGCAAGGAGTCGTGCAGCTCGGCATGGCCCCAGGCTGGTCACAGTGTGCTTGCACTAAAGCTTTCGTGCCGTGTTTGGTCGCGGGTGTCACAGCTCCAGGCTCCAGTGCTGTGCCGGTTGTGCCGTGGTTGTGCATGATGCGCTGGTACGGGGAGTGGGTCGTCGGCTGACACGGCGGTACGGTGGGTTTGACCGTCTCGAACTCACGGGTGCCGGCTTCATTTCCATGCACGTATGCACGGCGTTGAGGGATCCCTCAACGTTTGAGATACCACAAGTCGCAAACGCACAGCGAGACACCTCTGTCGCACAACCGACAGGCGCGACAGGTGCACAGCGAATGAGGTCATGGTGTCTCCGTTCATTGACGGCTTGACGCCCCGAACGGAAGGAGACGACCAGTCGGTGATCGCTGAGCTGATGGGTGCGACGTGTGCGTACGGCTGTCCGCTCTAGAGTTGAATGCCGTGGGGTCTGGGGGTTTGGAGCGGTGATACTTGCTAGCTGGCAGCTCGTAAACGATCAGAATCAAGCTCAGATGAAAGACAGTGCAGGAAGCAGGACGCTGTAGTTTATCTGAACGCGGGCAGGGTCTCCAGGGAGATCAGGGTAAATGAGCATAGTTTAAGGGTTCGTCATCCACTCTGGCTGGCCCCTGTGCCCTGCATGCCCTGGTGGGTCGTGCGGGTCGTCGAGATACGCCAGACACGCTATTGTAGACGCTCTAGACGCTCCAGTCAGCCCGGCCCAGTCGCCCAGTCACCCTGTTCATCAACTCATTACTGCTCGCCAGGGCCGGCAGGCGCGCGAGCCCAGGAGGAGTGCGTGGTCTACGGCCCATCGGGGAATGCGGCGATCCCCACTGTTCTTATACTTCCCTCGGAGGATACTCTACAGCCGAGCCGACAGAAGCAGAACCCTCGTGCAACGTGCAACAAAGCGCGCTTGACTGCGCCTGACCATGCCGCCATGCCTGTTTCCATCACACCGGATCCCACCTCGCTACGATCGCTACTGCACCACTCACCTTGAGCTCGCTTGCGGTCAGGATACTTTCGGGCCTTCCTTTGCACCTCCGACAGTCAGGCTGCACGTTGCTTAACTTGAACAAGATGCCTAGATCTCGGGAATCGATAGTGGACGGTCGCATGTGTCTCTCTGGCTCGGCTCACCATCACCCTCATCAAGTTTACGTACCTTGCCTTAGGACTCCCAGCTCATCTCCTTGCAGGCCGCACAATTCTCGGGCCAAGGTTAGACAACGTTACCTCAGAACGCACCGCCCCTCTGATGTCTGACTGTTTCCCCCAATGACAGTCTTGTTTAACAAAATCAGCCAGTGGGACGCGGCTGGATGGACGATTGCCCTCCCTTGCTCCAACATCTTCCCCTCTCGTACCCTGCCCCGTTCTCGAGAGTCCTTATCCCTGTCCGGCACACCCGCATTTTCTGTCCCAATCCAAGGTTTGACGTTATTAGCCAACTACTGAATCTGTGGGATATCAAACACCGTACTCGTCGTCCTCCCTCCCCCTTGTCCGGGAATCAGCCTGTGCATCTGTGAGACCTTCAGCTTTGCTCGGCCGCATTTGATAGACCCGACGAGATTTTTGCCTCGGATCTTCCCCCTGACACACTCCCAACCCCGATTTACGAACAGACCGAAGCCGTGCCGTCCTATTTCTTCATCTAGCAGGTCACGCGGACCACTTGAGGTCACATTTGCCTCGTCTATGATGTCTGTCCTCATCTTCCACCCCATGCCCCAACTCCTCGTGGCGGGCGGACAAAGCTGACGGGGGATAGTGGGGCTGATGGGGTATGGACTGAAGGCGATGACGAGGCAGGAGACAGACGTTATCCAGGCACCAAGATTCCAGTAAAGCTCGCGGTGCCAGGTTTCAAAGTTGAGGACCAGGAACCCACGTACCACGGACCCTACAATGGCCTCGAAAAAAATGAAAACGTGGGCATCCAAAAGCATCCACACGACCGACACTGTGTACTGGGGCGCAACAGGACACCTTCGAACATCTTCGTCGAGGAACCGGTGACAACCTTCGGTCCGGGAACTTCTTGCATGCCGCAATTGTCCAAGTGGCCGGGTTGTCGGAGTGCAGTCGAGTTGCCTCTGTTCTGACTTCTGCGACCGTATCTCGAACCAGTCTGACCATCTCTCTGGCAGTGATTGTCACCCCCGTTGTCTACGCCTCACAATTCCTTCTTGTCCGACAGATCAGCTTGGTAGGACAAGTCCGGACTGGAACATCCAAGGTATCTGGTCGTGGTCGGGACTTGGAGACGTCGGACCTAGCCAATGACGTTGTTATTACGGGCCTTAAGGGGAAGAGTTGTGATCGTCGTCGTCCACGAATTGCTTGTGGCTTGGGGCCTGAGGGCTGTCGGATATTGGGAGTCATCGATCGCGCAAGGTGACAGACAGGC